TGTTGCGCAATAATATTTTTGTAAATGGTTATAGTTTGTAAATCGTATATGAACCTTATAAATGGACTTGGACCTGTCGTCCAAGGTACGAATCAATAAATTATCACAAATAGGCATTTTTCAGTGTTTACACTGACAAGGATTTGTTCTTCTTTCTTCATTGACATTGTAAGATGTCATGGTTACGTAAGATACAATGATCGAGGGCAAACTATCATTCATCAAATAAAGGAAGGGGTAAGGAGTTTAGAGGGAGGGAGAATTAATGAGAGAGAGAGAGAGAGAGATAGAGAGAGGGAGAGAGAGGGAGAGGGAGAGAGAGAGAGAGGGAGAGGGAGAGAGAGAGAGAGAGGGAGAGGGAGGGAGGGAGGGAGGGAGGTAACTTTTTTGGGGGGCAGAACAAAATCCGTATTACCACCATAATGGGCAATTGTTTTTAAGGGGGGAAGCGGATATTGACAACAATCAGAGTCGCTATAAGAATGTGGAACGGGCACTTATTTGAAATTAAAAAAGGGGCGCTTATCTGAAGTAAAAAGGGGCGCCTTTTTATGAAAAAGATGCACTATAACTTATGGGAATTTTTCATTTTCCAACAAACGCATATAAGTATAAGTAAAATTTACAAAAAAAGTGAGAAAAAATCCTGGAAAATCATGTCATTTCAGCAACAGTATTTTGATAATCACTGGTACCGAATTAGATATAAACTACGTTTTAATTGTATTCATGCACACATCCCAAGATCCGTTATACTCTAGTTCAATGCGTGTATCAGGGCCCAGGGAGGGCGTCTCCAAGTTAGGGAAGGCATACAAGGTGCTATGATACCCCACCACCTACGACAATAAAATTCAATATTCATCATTGATAGGTTATCTAAACTATAAGCTTGAAGAAAAAAAAATGCCTATAGACTATCAGGAAATATAGACTTGTGGTTACTCGTCAATCCAGTGATTGGTCTCGGGGGGGGGGGGGGGGGTACTATGCAGAATATTCATAACTTCCAACGATGGACCGAACAATATTCCTATAATTCCTACACTTCAACCTCATATCTTTAGATGAAAATTAATTAGACCCGAAACTATAATTCGCTAGAGAAAATATCGGGATACGATCGAGAGGTATAATTATCACCCTCTTGCGGAATTTTTCGTTTTTTTCCTTTGATTCTTCTTTGGCGTTCGTGAGAAGAATAATTATTTCACTCTCGTTTGTTCTGCAAATACGCGAAGCATATTACACTGAAATTGCCCGTAAATGCTAGCCCTACTGGATTGGGTCAAGAGGCAGACCACAGATACAAAGCACATATATTTATATATGAATTATTATTTTATTGGGGCTTATTTTACTTTCTAATGGTTCCGTACAACACGACAGAGAATTTGATGGGGGTGGCAGACTCCTTGCTGGGGGTTCCGGAGCAGAGCCCTGCAGGACGCTCTTGAGTTTGGCAATTCAGAACATCTAGATAGCGATAAAAATTCTAATCCATCCCTTGAAATTGAAATTGCAATTCCCCTATTGTGTGCTCTTTTTAAAGAGTACAAAAAGCCTCATAATAGGCATTCCATCTTATTCAGTAGTAGATTCCGAACAACATTCAATGAGATGATGCCCACATAATTGAAAACGCATTTCTGAAACGCATTTCTGGTAAAAAACAAAAATGGTAGAAGAATCCGTCCGTGCATGATAAGTATTAATCCTTCACTAAATAGGGATAGTTACATTTCTTTGCTCCAGTGATCTTGAGGCTGCAGACAGCAAGACATTGTATAAATAATAAAAGGTACACGGGAGTGTTTGTTAGAATTTTCATACCGAAAAGTTTGTTGCATTTTGCGAGTCTGCCTATCCGCGAGTGCGAGCCAAACCTTTTCCATAGACCTGTGTACATTAATTACAAAAACGTTGAATTTCTTCTTTTATAATTATCTTTTACATTGGTCAACTAATCGAGCCAGAGGAAAAAGAAAGTAAATGTTGAATAAAAATGTAAACTGTTGTCCACACAATAATGTTATCGTATCTTCTGTAAAATTCGGGCCTTTTTTGTTTTAAAACACTCCTTTTTTTCTTTTCACACAAAATCAAAATGCCCCATACACGTATGTCTATTTTTGTGGCGGAAATGAACTGGTGGAAATGTCTAATAGAAGAGCATAAGAACATAGTATAGTATTAATGACTGCTTTGAGAGAAATAGTTGTTTTTATACGCTCAAGGGAAGGTTAGAATTGTGCTATTACCCGAGGCGTGCCGAGGGGAATATCCCAATAATTGTAACCTTCCCGAGAGCGTATAAAAACAACTATTTCTCGAATATTAAAGCAGTCATTAATACTTTTATATGCCGAAAAAAAAAAGAAAAAAGAAAAAAAAAGCTTTTAACGAAGATGGGATTCGAACTCTTGCGTATCATAGGTGATGTAATTTAAGTCAGCGCATTAAACCGCTCGGCCAGCGCGCTTTGTCACCATGTACAATAGTTTTCTTTATTATATACATTAAAATGAATTGAAAACTGCTTCGCGTGGTCGATGCTTCGCCGCTGCTCCATTAAACAGGCCCTTCTTTTACTTTTGCAATGCATATTGGCACGAACTTAGATCAAGATCTATCGGCAGATGTTTTTTTGTTTTTGGAAGTTTATTTTCGTCTTCATGTCAACAATGCAAGATAAAATTGTCGGTAAGATCGATCGAGATTCAATTGTATTGAAATTACCGACCAATTCTTTGCACACGTACGGTATCCTCGATCGCTCAGACCATTTTTTAACATGTAAACCTATGGGGTAACCATGGAGACTGACCTATTTTCCCAATAACCATGGTTATTGGGATTTTGAACTGTTTTTTAACCATGGTTACCGGGAATTTTCGGGAACAGTTAAAGTTTATGAATGCAATTTCGACCAATCAGATTGCTGGATTACCTAAGTGAGGTATATAATTTGGCCTATTTAATCGTCCTTCCCATTGCCTTTATAGAATTCGGGCCGTTTTAATGAAAGATAAGTGCTTTCATGGGTGTCGATCCGTAACTGATACCTATTCATCAGGGGGGGGATGATCTATTCATTCATCCCCCCTGATGAATAGGTATTACGTAAGGATCGACACCCATGAGTGCTTTCTTTGGGGAAACAATATTCAATAAGATGATGCCCACATAATTTAGCCTGAAACGCATTTTTGGTTTTAAAAAATTGTAGAAGAATCCGTCTGCATGAAAAGGATTAATCCTTCACTAAATAGGGATAATAGTTACATTTCTTCGCTCCAGTGATCCCGAGGCTGCAAACAGCAAGAAATTGTGTAAATAGTAAAAGGTACACGGGAGTGTTTGTTAGAAATTTATATAAAACTCAGTGGGAGAGCCTTTGCCTGGAGTCTTGGGGGCGGAGCCCCAGGAAGTTTTTGATTTTTTTTTAAATTTAGGAAATTCAAAATATGGGCAAGATTATGACAAGCGGCTGCCTTTGCTGTAAATTTCCTGAAACATCACAGACTACAGAAGAAGTACTTATCAATTGCAATCCGCATTCCAAATAATTCTCTGATTTTCTGCACTTCTAAATGTCTAATCACTTTTGTCAAGTTAATATTAATAATATACTAAGATACTGCCCACAAGGGAACAGTTAGGCCTATTTACCAAAAAAAATTACCTTTTGACTCAAATTTATATTTCACACACTACATAACTCAACGAAATTGATATTCTTCTTCAGCTTCTCAGAGGGGCTCGTCCCCCCTCAGACTCCCCTCTGTCTGCCCAAGCGGAACGCGGCGCTGAATAATAATATTTTTCTCACGAATTGCCCCCCCCCCCCCGCTAGCTGGCTCCGCCCCTGGGGGGGGGGGTCCTGCCCCTGTGTGTGCCTATATAATGGCAGGGTTTATCCTCTCGCTCTACTATAACTTACCAGTGGTGGATCCATCGGGGCTGCAGGGGCACGTACCCCGACAAAAAAGTAGAACTTGTACTTTTTTTTTGGGGGGGGGGGAGGGGCATGCTATAGGCTACACTCATGCCATACTTGTCCCAGGCCCATCCCCTCCTGCTAGAGAGTCCTGGATCCGCCACTGCTTATGGTGGGGAGGCATCCTTTAATTTGGACTTGACCTTTTTACCCCAGTAGAAGACGACCCAATGGTCTGCATGCCAACAAGTCATTATGGTATGCTAGGAATGAGAGTCGACGATGTATACCATACGCGTGGTACTGGTAACATAATTTATCCACACCATTCGTTTGGAAATCTGTGTATTAAATCCTAGCCCTACATCCTCCGCCCCCCCCCCCCCCCATCTGATCTTATTTGTTTGTTTTCAAGTGGAATAATAACGGGTCAATGAGATGATACGCAACATAATTAGAAGCAATATTGTATTCCAGATTTACAAATTTTAATAAACTTTTTTAATAGGCGGCTACGATGTTGACCCTGATTTTTGTTGTGATCCACGTCGACTTTATACACAATAAGACGCACTTTCAAACTATAAACCTAAGGTAATGTCAATAACCTTTCAGCGACCCTTTGAATTGCTCAAAACAAACAGTACACAGACATAATAATCAGACGATGATTCCTAATTAGACCGTATTAGGGTAAAGTCCTTCCGATCGTCTTCCGTGCATGTCAAAGTCGATGTATTTATTCACTTGGCTATTCGTTTCTTGTTAACGAGACTAAGCTTATACACGTAGGATTATGAAGGGGAAAAAAAGATACCTTCTCCGACGTGTCTATCGCGGGGGGGGGGGGGGGGTACATGGAGCCACCCAAGGGTAACTTGATTCCCAACACCGATACATATTACAATTAGTGGACGACGATCATTCTGACGATATAGTGATGATAAAAATAAAAATAAATCGCATGATCAATTCTAGAGACTTACTGAAGCACAGCGATGACCTGAGCGATGCCCCTTGGTCTCTAGCGCTAGCTGAGCCGCCCATGTATCGTTCACTGTAATACGTACGTGCTCCGCGCACACCATTGATATCGCAAGTAATTGCGCATATAACCGTAGATAGCGCATATGCATTACATGCACGGTATTGATTTCAAGCTAGCTGCCGCGCCGAAGTACAGTCATCTAGTCTAGATATAGATCTAGCGCACGTGCATATACTATCTCCAGTAGGCTTAGTAATTCTTAGATCGAGTCTACAAACCTTTCAACTTTCTGGGATCGTCAAGTTAGCAGGCAGGAAAAGTGTTACCAAAGTTATCAACTTCAATTTGAAACTTCTTGTAAATCATGGCTGACAAGATTTTCTCCTCCGGTGAGGACTGCAAATCGAGCTGGAATGATGCAATGGCAAATTTTAACCAAGCCGACACGCACCTGGAAATCATGGGAAAGCCCGTTATGGAAAGATGGGAAACTCCCTACATGCATGAACTGGCTAAAGTTGCTTCGTCTAAAGGTAACTTAGATTTAAAAATAAGTTTTTTTTACGTAAAGACTGACATGTCGATCTAGTAGTAGAATATTTACATCAAAATGTTGTTTGTCTTAGATCTAGGTCTAGTGTTACTGTTAGTATAGATCTACGACACGGTACACCTAGAGTAGAGATGATGGATCAAACAATGACGATAAATTAACTTAAGTTAGACCCTACTTTAGGCCTTCTTTACTTTACTTTAAGTTTAATCCAGGGATGTTATGCCTATATGACTGTGCCTGTTCATCGATAGTACCTGGAAATCATGGGAAAGCCCGTTATGGAAAGATGGGAAACTCCCTACATGCATGAACTGGCTAAAGTTGCTTCGTCTAAAGGTAACTTAGATTTAAAAATAAGTTTTTTTTACGTAAAGACTGACATGTCGATCTAGTAGTAGAATATTTACATCAAAATGTTGTTTGTCTTAGATCTAGGTCTAGTGTTACTGTTAGTATAGATCTACGACAGTGACACGGTACACCTAGAGATGATGGATCAAACAATGACGATAAATTAACTTAAGTTAGACCCTACTTTAGGCCTTCTTTACTTTACTTTAAGTTTAATCCAGGGATGTTATGCCTATATGACTGTGCCTGTTCATCGATAGTAGATGTCTTCTTCAGTTGTTATAACTTATACATTATACTTGTTATTTCAAGTTAAATAATTGAATAGATTCTAGGTCTAAGTGGGAAAGAAAAAAAATGTGTAGAAACTTGCAATATCAGCTTAATATATAAGTATAGGCCTAGCCCTAGGCCTAGATCTAGTACAGCTCTACTACAGGCTCATAGTCACATAGACCCTGACAAGATCATGGTTTTTAGACCAGTAATATTTGTCTAGAGGTCTAGTATATTTTTAAGACAGTTTACAGAAGTTGCTGAGATGTCTCAATTCTATTTCTAACGTCACGAGATCTTTTAACTTTTTTAAACATCACTTTATTGTTCAAACTTGCACAACAAAGGAGAACAATAGCCCAGGACAATTCCATTTTACTGGAAAATGCAGGGCATTAAAAGTACATACATGTAGATATACAGTGAATAATGTTATATAACATCAACAAAAATTAACTCATTTTACAACATAGTGAAAGCTGAAGAGTGATGGATATTCCTAGCTATAAATAAGAGGAGCTAAATATTGAAATTTCATTTGATATATCAACTTAATAAATACGAAGCATACATAATGAGTATTATAAAAGTTTGATTTGAGTTAATATTTAATACAAAGAGGATTCTATCAGTGCCAGGCAATGAAAAGAGGCGAGCAGTAGAAAGAAATATAAGACCGGTTACAAGGTGTATTAACCCTTTTTGTGTTTGAGTAATTACATACTTGAAATGCGAAGGGGAATTTTGGTTTCCCAATATTGGCATTCTTTGAGTAGTAGATGACAAACGAAGAAACAATAGATAGTTTGAATAGAGTCTGTCGAACTTGTTTCACATTGACAGGTTTTCCAATTTCTTTCAACAGCTGCTTTAGCCTCGTCACATTGTCCTGCGAAAGCAAGCAGGTCTAACTTAAAATATCTAAATTGCATTCGGATTTACCTTAGGTTCTTACAGTTTAATAACTTTTGTTTCGTCTGGTTTTCAGCTGATTCAAGGGCAGATTCAAGGGCAGATTCACCCATGCCACTCATGGCCCATGTTCTTGAACTTTAAATCTAACTTTGAGCCTAATTTATGATTATAACATCCAAAGTCATCTCTCTTATTAAATGGACTTTGCGTTTGCATAGCGCATACCGGGGGCAGAGAAGGGACCCAAACAGACTTCGTTAAAACGACGTCAAGGGGCTTGGTGTTGTCTTGTAATAATTTCGGGTTTTCAAATCGGGGCCCGAGGTGCACTGACAATAATGCTCTTGGTGACAAAATCTTCGGGCTTTATTTCGTCAAAAAGAGTTAAGATGCAATTGTCTTTTTACGTTCAGGTTTAGGGTTAGGGCTATTGATGGATATTCTTTTAGACACATATCTAGACTCTTTAACACTTCATGCGGTCCAAAGTTGAAATCACGCATATACCTGTAACGGTATCTGTATTTACCTAGCACCTCGGAGCAATCGTCACCAGATCAGAGCATGCAGGGGCGTCGCCAGAACATTTTGAGTGTGCTGTGGGGGGGGGGGGGGAGGGTGGAGGGGGTTTTGACACTCATAATCTCCGATAGATAGACTACATGTATGTTGCACCGCAAACCAAATTATTCGACTGCATACCGACATTGGTAGATTGCAACAATTATAAGATAGTAGATACGAACATTATAACTAGGTCACATATGAATAGACTTAGTATAGTAAATTGGAATTGTTGATTATTAGCTGTCAATCGGGGCTTCGGGGCAAAGCACAATTTTGTTGTTAACATTATTTATTTGAATTGCACGTCGGCTTTGGTAACTTTAGGTTGTGACTTGTATCTTATATTGCGAGGTCGCAAAAACCGAGCTAAGTTTAGCAGTTTTTATCACAGGTCTGAGCTTAATAACCCCCTCCTGCCTTTTCTCTTAAACATCAGCGTTTAGACAATATTTTGTGACTCTCTAATATCGGGGGACGACCCCCTTACAAGGGAGAGGCCTCGTGCTGTGAATTACCGATCCTCGAATTTTGCAGTAAAGACCCTCCTATTCCCTCTCGTTTGTCTCCATGTAGCTCTTGTAAACACAATTCAATTCCTACCTATGTGAAGTGTTTCATACAATAAGGTTATATCATGGGATATAGAGCGTAGCGACCGAGCGAGAATATTTGTTGTCCTTTATGAATAGTGAGGGCACTGCAGAGCCGAAATATTAAGTGCTCTAGCCCAGAGTTTTTCAACCTTTTCATAGTCGTGGCTCCCTTTTATGAATTAGAAAGTTTTGCGTAACCCTAATTAAAGTTCATTACAGAAGATCTATTTTGCATCACTCTTGGTATACTCGTCAAGTGTCATGTACACATGTACATTATGTTGTACAGATATAGTTGTTTCTAAAAGTTAGCGAAGCGAGCGAGCAATTTTTTAGCTTCAAAGTGTATAGATACGAAGTGTACTGCTGTTAACACAAAAAATACATCCCAGTTAGCAAACCTTGTCATGATGTATTATAACGTAAATAGGTCTAGGGTATATCTTATTACTTTGTAAAACAGACAATTATCAGCCTTGGGCTGCATGTCATGTTGTTTTTAATAAACCAATTCAATTAAACCCGATTATTGTTAATTTCTTTGAGTTAACTTGATTCTCCGACCTTGCGTTTTATATTTAAATGTCTTTACATTTTATATCGTTGGGATTTATACTCATCTACAGTCGGGTTCAGACTTACGTATGTTACTTTGCAAGAAATATAATTATGCTTGCAGCTATACTCATTTGCAGCAAATCATCGTCATACCGAAATTTGTGAAAGTTCTTCATCAGACATGATTGAAATATGCCTACATGCATGAGACTTTACAACGAAATATGCAGCGCAAAATTAGTTTTCTTGAGTTATCATATATTAATTTTGTTTCGTTCTTCTGTCCGTATATAGGCGGTTGTGTACTCGAGATTGGTTTCGGACTGGCCATTGCAGCTACCAAGATTCAGGAGGCCCCCACTGTCACAGAGCACGTTATCATAGAATGTAACGATGGCGTGTTCGATCGCTTAGAAGAATGGCGGAAAACCCAGCCCCATACTGTGACCCCGCTGAAAGGAATGTGGGAAGATGTGGTGCCTACGCTACCGGATAATAAATTTGATGGTGAGACCAGGCTTTCCATTATTTGGGGAAGTAGATGTAGACTCTCGGTCCCTGCTCGGATGCAGAGTACCATTTATAACGTAGAGATTGCATTGATGCGGGGGAAAAAAAAGTATATATATGGCCATATTCATGAGAGCGTTGTATGAAGTTTATTGAAGGGTGAAGATTTTTTTTAGAGTTGCATGGCTGATTTTCAACGAAACGGAGTTAAAAGTCTTTTGACAATTCTGTTTTTTGCTACGTTAGGCAGCCAATGAAAACCAACTCGTTAAATGAAATTATGGAAATGCAAGCATTACTTTAAACAAACAGAACTTTGTTATTCCTACCTCATTTTTCCTGATTGAGGTGTCATATGAAAGGGCAGAAAATGAACTTTCTAGAAATGTGATTTTCTCATTGAAATTCAGATACCATCCGCCAAATTACTTTTGGTACCCTTTCTTCAAATTGATTTTAATCACTCATGTGTGAAATATCCATCATGTGAGTTGCATCAAATGAAAGAGGAGGATCTAAGCTTTAAAAATATGTGTCATTTATTGATTATAATTGTGATTAAGTTATGATAAAACATCGACAATTCTCGGTTTCGTTTTTTCTGGGACGCACCTTATGATAGCAACCTAGAAAAGATAAAAGAAAACAGCAACGTTTTTGTTAATAGTAAAGAAATACTGATCTAAATATTGGCGCTTGCCAAGCTTGCAAAATGAATGAAAATAGTTGTGATTGAGGAGTGCTCTTTCGGCAGGCGTGTATAATACATGTGTGCATCATCATCAGCTATCAAAATCATTCACTCAGCAAAAAAAAAGGGGGGGGGGGGAGAAAAGTGTTCATATTCAATATTTTCAAATAAATATTTGATAATATTTAAGGCCGAATAAAGGAAAACTGGAGAGCATGCATACATTTAAAAACATTAGTTAACAGTTCTCGTATGTACGAGAACGGTTAACTAATGTTTTTAAATGAATGCATATTCTCTCCAGAATTCCAGAGCAGCGTTTCACAAAACCGTAATAAGTACAAGTTTGACGACAACCATTGAAATGCGTGTATTATATTTAGCACGTGTTTCAATGGGATGTCGGTGAACTTGTACTTACGACGGTTTCGTGAAACGATGCCCTGGTTACTAACTACAATGTATTTAATTCACTTGCTATACATTATGGTATTTCTATCAGACGGAATACACTTGATATTTGGGTTGTTAAATCAAACCTTTTGTCAAGAAGTATGCTAAAATTAGTATTCATGTATATCATTTTATTATTGATAATAGTTTTAATTAATAATAAAAACAAAACACCTCAATCTTTAATAAACTGATTAAGCAGAACAATTTGGAGCCGAAACTTATTGCCTATCGTATCGCTTTATATTTATTAAACGAGTCACAATTATGACGGACATTTTTTACCAATCGTTCATATTGCTGTGTAGGTATCCTGTACGACACCTATCCCCTATCCGATGCTACGTGGCACACTCATCAGTTTGAGTTCATCAAGAATCATGCGTTCCGATTATTGAAACCTGGCGGTGTGTTGACTTACTGCAACCTCACCTCCTGGGGAGAATTCATGAAGACCAAGTATACAGACATTCGACAAATGTTTCAGGTATTCCTACTTTCTTTCAGAGATCACATTCGATTTTATAAACAATAATAATAATAGTAATTTTAATTTAAAAAACACACGATAATTATTAGTTGCTTTTATTTTTTAAATCAGGGCCCTATCTTATGAAAATTTGCGATTGATCTAAAAATCGTCACACGTAGTTAAGTATTTTCAGCTTTTACCAACCTTAAATTCAGTGAGCAAGCTTTCATCCACTCCTGTAGACTTTCTTAAGACATGAAGGATCCTTAATCGATTTTACATTGACTTGCGAGTGATTTGGGACTTACGATTGGTTAGGGGACTTGGGATTGGTTTTGAACTTACAATTGATAGGTATCTTCCGATTAGTTCGGGGTTTACGATTGATTGAAGAATTACGATGATTGATTGAGGACCGGCGATAGATCTGTATCAATCGCATTATGTCTGATAAAAAATATGACGTTAAGCTTCGATTTACAATAAATCTGTCGTAATAACGTTGGATTACCCGTGATCAATTCGGAACAATCATATATTTTTGTTTAAACGGCACTTTCTTCCCTCTTTTCTTATTCGAATCTGGTTATTCAGTAAAGGTCAATCACTTATTTGAGTACATTTTTTTTCCTTTGTTGTACAAACAATGTGTACATGTAAACCTTTCCTAATTTGTAATACATTCTAGGAGCGGGGAAATGTATAATATTGTCAATCTACCGTGAGAATACTCTGTCAATTAATAGTTATGTCTAGGTTCATACGAACATAGTATAGTCTTCCGACTGATAATACTTTCCTAAATATTGATAGGAAGATATCTAAGATCGAAAGTAGTTTTGTGCATACCCTTCCTTTAAAAAAAACAAATCGTTTGATCATCATCATACAGCAGGGAAAGATCGAATATTTATCTTGAACATGTAATCCTATTTCTTACGGGACTTGGCAAAGTTGAGTTCTTCTTATAATCAAAACTTATGAATGTAACGTGCGAAATTACTCCATTTGCACATTTGCGATTACATCAAAGAATAATACCACCAATAGACGGGAGTGGAAACAATCTCCTTATATGGCAATGATACTTCTTTTCTGTGCGACCATGTCGACGGGGCGGCATTTCCGACCCGTCGCACTGAGAAAGGGAATAAATTCTAGCGAAATCAAAATCTCGTCGTCGGGGTGGATCTTCCGAACTTTGACCCTTTAGCTTCATACCAGGCTCAGTCAAACTGCCAAACTGACTGACCCACACCCTTGCAAAACGACCGATTTTTGCCCATTCGGGGGGATATAATTCTTGTCCGTTCTCCTGTGGTTCTGATCGGTCTCGTTGGTGAGACAGAGGTTCATGTAGTAATATAACCAGTTCACTACTTGTGTTTTGTTTTGGTCGGAGAGTATGACAATTTGATGTTTTTTTGTCTTTGTTGAATTCCACAGGAAACTCAGGTTCCTTCTCTATGCGAGGCTGGATTTAAGAAGGAGAATATATCCACCGCTCTTCTACCCATCTCACCGCCCAAAGAGTGCCGCTACTATGCCTTTAACCACATGATCACACCGACCATCATCAAGGCATAGTGTTTGAAACCCAACAGTAGCCATAACCAAATGATTTGGCCAATTGTTTATGTTTCTTTCGTTTTTTATTCTCATTATAGACCACATAGTTCAATCAAATTACTTACAAGTTAGGGATGGATTCTCGCGGAAAATATTGATAAATATTTGTGAGTAAATGGATGCTTAAGGGTAATTAATCAATTATTAAATCAATTATATAATTTTTATTTTCAATGAAATTCTGACAGCTCAGTGAGGCGATTTCGTGTACAAAATAAGTACTGAATACGCCGCTGGAATTCTGTTCAAGGAAGAAAATGTTGACATATGACCTGGCTATTCATGTCATTTTGATATTTTTTCTAGACCATCTGAATTGAATGGCAAATGAACAAGCCATATGGTTAGATTAAAGTTAGAAATATTTCTCAACTGGGAGATGTGAGTTGATCTTGCAGTTCACTCGGCTCTCTGTCTGCGCCTTAGTTCACACTGACTTTGTGGGCACCCGGTTCGAAACTTGGTCGTAAATAATTGTACTGTACATGATAAATACATGTCTGTCAAAACCCAATTACACATTCATACATACACGCCCACAACCACACGGGGGATTCATTTCGAAGTTAGGAATACCTTTTATAGGATACATATTTTCTATTAAAAAAAATTGACTTGTTTTTCACCAAAGCTTTCTAGCATGACTAGACTACAATAAAATTGTATATATAAAAAGAAATGTATGCAGAAAAATCTATTCAGATCCGAAACGAAATTCCTTCTTCCAGACGTAAATATCATGCGTTCGATATGCGTCTGCAAACACCCAATTACACCCAACCCCACCCACACACAGAAATATCATGAGGTGTATGCTGTGGGCAACGACTGTACTCATTTTAGAGGGATATTTGTGTTAGATCACAAACTATGCTACTTATCACAATGTTACCATTTCCGAGGCATCAGTACCTTGTGAAATTCCAAATTTTGAGATATTCCAAAATTGTTTACAACCATGTCACCCCTTCCTTTATTCACTCAATTATACCCTATTACATCAAAACTACCCAAGACAAGACTTTGAAAAGTCACGGTGTGGATTGCGCTCATTGTCGTGCAATTAAAAATTTGCACACGTAAGAATAGGGTATAAAAAAAGAAGAAACGGAATGAAGAAATTCCAGTACTGTTTATTGTTTTCAGGTTCAATCGTTGTTAAAGTTTGGGGATTGTGTAAATTGATTCTTTGGCTAGATTGGGATTATAGATAGCATCTTAGATAAAAAAAAATTCTATTTATAATAGGTAGGCCATAATAGGTAGGTTTCGTTGCCTTTTTATATTGTTTTGTTTTGTTGAGAATTTTTTCTGATTAAAGTGTTGTGTAAGTATACAAACGTCCGTCGTCTAATCATGCTTATGTTTCGTGGATGATAAAATAATGATAGTAGTTTGCCAGCCATTTTGTTTTCTCTTAATATTGAGACTTTTCAGACTACTGTCCTGGGGGTGTTTCACAGAGACTAAGATTGACTTTACGTTGGACTTAACTATGGCAGGACGTTCATGCCGCTGGTTGCTCTCACCAATGGTCTCTCAATTTGGATCTTTACATAATATTTTTTCCTTCATTAATGAATTATAAAAAAAAATGTAAATTCTGTAGATTTGTGACCATGATTTGAACGTCTCTTGAGAGACAAATGTCAGTAAATGGTGAGAGCAAACAATGGCATGAGCAGCCTGTCATAGTTAAGTCCAACTTAAAGTCGATCTTGGTCTTTGTGAAACACCCCTGGTCTCTTAACCTGGACAACTATGCCCGGACATCTACCAGAGGACACCTTCCACTCGAACAGCTACCCCTTCATTTAATTACCGCCTATAAGTACTTGCCTCTGGATAGTTTTCCAAGGGGTAGTTGTCCGGGGGGGGGTTCTAGGGTGTAGTTGTCCCAGAGGCAGTTAACGGGGCAAGTTGTCTAGGGAAGTCATCCTGATATGGACAATTATAACTTAGGGAATTTAGACAGAGATAGAAGAGAAGAGAGAAAAAAGAGAGTGGAGTGGAATAGAAAAGAGGGGAGTGAAAGAGGAAAACACAAAAGAGGGTAAGAAATAGTAAAAAAGGAGAGAGAGAAGGAAAGAGTGAAGAAAGGGGAAACGGTGAGTGAGAGTGGTGGTATAACGGATAGAGAGAGAGAGAGAGAGAGAGAGAGAGAGAGAGAGAGATGGGGGGGGGAGGGGGAGGGGGATATTCGAGAATTAACATTTTCCCTAAAAGGAGGGTGGGTACAACTTTTTTTAAGTCGATGAAAGATCAAGGAAATACAACACGGGACTGCAAATAATTCAGTATACTCTCTTTTAATATGTCTAAAAACAAAAGATGAAAATTCGACCTCATTACGATATCTAAAAAAATTGAATAAGCTTTAGAGGTATCAAATTGAATATCAAACGACTTTGAAAGACAAGGATAATTGCACTTTCCGTTGCATCCATACCGGCTAAGCGATTTACACGAAAATTGCATAGTTGTCATGATTATGTACACAGAGTTTGAGTCTACATCTACAATGCAAAAACATACGTAGTTCATGAGAGCATCGATTACCACATTTCAGATGAAAAAAAACCGAACAAAGTATTTTATACAGTATGCCTTCGTTTTGCACCTCGTTTTAGCTACTCTCGATGTTGAACACTCAAGTAAATTTTTTCTCGAAAGACATTGGTCCAAAGTTTTGGTGATCTGGTCTCCCCCCCCCCCCTCCCCTCCTTTCACGAAAACCATATCTATTGCATGTGGCACTATCTATTGCAATCTCCATATTTCAAAATGAACAAATAACATTCTATTTACACTGGGTATATCTTTACATATTTATTTCTGAACACATTACACTGACACCTACATATAAAATCTATAAATACTAAAAATCCTGATTACTCATCTACAATATACACATTAGTCATTTCATAGGGATATTCACCTATTTACAAAATAAAGCGGCTATATATTGTTGTGATAATATTATTAAAAGCCGTTATTTCATATTCTCGTATTCCCGTTAATTGCAATTTTTGTTTATCGTCATGTTTTCTATTTCGATCCTTATCTTTCTTTTGTAATCTCTTTGTAATCATCTGACAAATTCATCATCTTTTTCATTTTGATCATAGTCATCATATATACAAAGTAATCGGTTAGGAATCTATTAAAAGCGCCAACTTGTCAGCAAAATCCACGGGCTTATATCATTACTATATATCACTTCGTTTGAACAGTCGACATAATACTAGTTTAAGGAATTATGTGTATTCCCCCGTGTGTGTTTAAAACGCACTGAGATTGAGGAAAGAAAGTACGATTTCTCTACAAATACATAATCGCTAGAAATCCCTTTGCTTGAAACTAAATTTAGAATTGATTTATGTGCAGTCACATATTATTTTTCAATCGAAATTATGAAATTGTACCTAAAGAAATGCCCTTGCATAAGTAAAGCACATGCAAGTAATCACTTTGTAAGGTGTAATATCTCAAGCTAATAAGGATCATTCGATGAAGGAATAAGTAATGTATACGACATTTGAATGCACTATTTGGTAACTTAGAAGGCGATGTTTAGCCGGTGAATGTAGCAGTAGTTTATTGACTGGTGGTATTCCATATTCCTGTATCTAGTTACTTAGAGGGTGATGTTTAGACGGCGAATGTAGCAGTAGTTTGTTGACTGGTGGTATTCCATATTCCTGTATCTGGTTACTTATACTATAGGAGGCGATGTTTAGACCGCGAATGTAGCAGTAGTTTGTTGACTGGTGTTATTCCATATTCCTGTATCTGATTACTTCGGAGGCGATGTTTAACGGTGAATGTAACAGTAGTTACTTTGTTGACTGGTGGTATTTCATATTCCTGTATCTGATTACTTCGGAGGCGATGTTTAACGGCGAATGTAACAGTAGTTTATTAACTGGCGGTATTCCATATTCCTGTATCTGGTAACTTAGGAGGCGATGTTTAGACGGCGAATGTAGCAGTAGTTTGTTGACTGGTGGTACTACCAGAAGGATGGGAACTGGGCTCTGGTTTGAGGCTGGCGTCCGTCTTTTGAAAAAATAAAGAGACAGGAATGGGCCAAGGAGAGAACAAAAATAGGAGTTAGGGGCTGAATGATATATACAAATCGTGTCATAGAACGATTACAGATGCTGATAGAACATTCAAGTTTGCTTACAAGTGCCAGAATGAAGGAATGTCTCGTCACAACATGATTGAAACAAAGCAACGTGTCTAATTACTTCAATAAAACATACCATCATTGTAGCAGAACAAGACGTAGTTCTTGTGTGAAAGAGATGGAGCTATTTATATCACTATGAACATGACTGACAAAGAAAGCGGACAACATATACAGTTCCTCAGGTAGACAAAGGAGCATACCTTCACTGCTATTATGTAAAAAGGTGAATATGCATGTGACACCTGTTCTACACATTTTTTTACATAATAGCAGTGAAGGGATGTTCCTTTGTCTACCTGAGGAACTGTATATTTTGTCCGCTTTCTTTGTCAGTCATATTCATAGTGTATTTAACCAAGACAAGTTATTCCCATGGTTGTGTAATGAAATGCGGGTAAGTATCAATGTTATGCAAAGTCTAGATAATTCATTGAGTGCAGTCAGTGGCGTAGCATGACTCCGCCCATTGAGGGGCACTCACGTGGAAAATGAAATGCGAATGTACAATGCTACTGATTACGGGGGGGGGGGGGATGGTCAAAGTGTCTTCCGTTCTCGTCCTCTCCTCTCCTTTCTTTTTTTCCCTTTCCCTCTTTTAAAAGAAATCAGAATCCATTGGATTGTATAGACGGGTCCCCCCCCCCCCCCCACTCCGGACCATGCGTGTTCTCAAACTCTCCTCCGACTCGTAACAAAAGGTCTACCCCGAGGTCTACCCGTATTGACTTTACACACCGGAATTGTGCTGAAAAGGGGGAGGGGGTCACTGGGAACACGCATATGCGTACCCTAAATAACACTGAGTGGTGGGAGGGGGAGACGGGTGTAGAGCATAGATAGTTTATGGCTTACATTATTACAAGTTAGTTATTGAACTAATTATTCATGTACAGGTAAAGGGGTGTCACTAAACCAGAGTGTAAGGTTTTGTGATGACACCCTGATAAATGTTATCAGTAAAATGTAGTCGGCGATTGATGAAAATTAAAGTATTATCATTGTCTGCGATATTGTATATGACATGTATAGGGAATCCTTTTCATTTGCTTATTTTTTCCTAGATTAAGTTATAAAATCTATACCTTCTATTAGTGATTATTATATCTAGTGAGCAATGTACATTATCATAGGATGATTTGAATGGAGGTGTGACCCTATATAGGAGCCTACCTTAATACCTTGCATCTCTACGTTGTTTTTGCCATTATTACCCACTTCCTTGCTTGTTCTCTTCCAGCTGAGGCCCTTGGCAGCGGCTCCGGCCTGGACCGCCTTCTCCGTCGGCGGAATGGTCCGCTCCTCTTTGCTCTTTCTACTGGCCTCACGGTTACTCTGACGGGTCTGCCAATTCTGGTTTATCTGCTCGCATTTATCCTGTTTTTTGTCATTTTGTTACGACACATTTCAAATCAAATCAAGGAGAGTTATCTCAAATTGCAAATGGTTGACAGGAGCAAACAGTAATATTGTAATGATTATCAAATTGGTTATCATTTTTCAGAAGCATTATTATTAGGCGCACCTAAAGCTTTTTAGTTTCCCATGCATTTTCACGGTTGCTCTTCTTTTTATTGTTTTAAAAATATCTTGTTGTTTCTACGGAAATTTGTATATTTGAATGGCAACTTGTTCAATGGATATAAATAAAGAAGTGTTCACTAAATTAATAACTCGTTTTAGTCCAAGAACATACAAATACTTTGGGAACACGATGTTCAAGGATTTTTGATGGTGTTCTTTATGTCAAACTTCTACTGGTTATTTAACATTATACAATTTGCTTATGAAAACAGAGCAAACATTTTCTGCCCAGCTCCTCCACAATGATTCCAAACAAGAGGAACATGTTAACGAAGAGAGACTATATACCTCGTATATAGCTAGAGGTGCGTGACTACTATGATAAATTCATCGCTAAATACATTGAGGTTGGATTTTTTTAAAACATTTTGGTACCCCCAAAAATAATAATTACCATGTACTCGGCAGTTATCTTCGTCATCCTGTTGGTTGTCTTACATTTCTGTGGAAATATAAAATCAGAGAGAAACAATGATTACAATTATGATGACTGAATCTCATTGTACCAACGACTTAAAAATACAGAAGAGTGATTTCCTAAAGGTTTGCTACATTAACACTATCAATTGAGTGAGAGAGAGAGAGTAATGTCGATATTATTTATTTTGGAGAATTACGATTAAGAAAAGTAACTCTTCTTCTGAATCTAAAATGGATAAAATGGGAGTTTATATGAATTTGAATTGTGCATTTAAATGTATAAGCGTTTACGGGCATTAATACACAGGGAGGGGGAGGGCATGTTCCCAATCCCAATCCGATATTGAATTAAGTACATGTATCCTCACCTTTGGAAATGGATTAATTAATTTATCCTGTCTCAATTTAATATTACATAATGTCTCCATGATCATGTAACATGTGGTGAACTTCACATCATTTTTGCTAAGTAATCGGGAAGAAAGGAGATCATTTCCTTTCATACTACACTGCACGTGGTCTATACATTCATTATGTATTCGAATGTTATTACGTCATGGAGTAATATTCCCGCTAGGTATGATATTACCATGACCCCCATCCTGCCCGAACGTGAGAGGATAATTGTCTTTATATTAATATCTCCATGCTTGTCTCGTACCTTCGTTGACAGTTTTTCAAATTGGGGGATTTTCTTTACTTTTTAAAATTACAGGATCTTTCAACTTTTCTCCTTGTTTTTATTTTTTCAAATTAATTTTTGCTTTGTTTGTTTCATTGTTTGGGGTTGTATTGCCTGTCGGACAAATTATGTATTTCTGTCGACGGCATTATTTGCCATTTCTAGCGACGCCCCCTTGAGTAAAGGGTAATTTGTTTGTTGGCATATAGAACACATGACTATATCGGTATACACACTCCCACACAGCTATATGGATATGATTCGATTTATAGAGCAGATTCGGGAGACGGGTCTTTTTAGTTTCGCGATCTATCATCGGCTGCGAGATTACAGCATGACGAATTTCCCTTTTGAAGAAATTCCTTCTTAATTATCCCTTTCCCGCGTAAATTCCCGTACATCAGCTTAACTTCCTGTCTCTCCAACCCTCGCCCTTCACCATGCATGCAGACTGCAGGAGGATGGTTGTGCTAATGATAGCATGGCTTGCATGATATGATCATGGACCTACTGATCTCCTTCGCCATTCTTTGGATCTGATTTTACACGTACAGGGTAGATTATAATTATAGAGCCCCTTATTTCTTATTCTCAATACCTTCATCTCTGTTTGCAGAGTTCGACAAGACTAGATAAATAGGTTAAGCATTATTCGATTAATAAATCTTTCTTCACCAACAGGATCAACCCTAATACTCTTTGCAGGATAAAATCCTTCCAATATTTACGGTTTTTTTAATTTTGATGGAACAACTGAAATGTATGGTACTATCTACATGCAACCAAGCATCGCCAACTATTATTGCTTGATAGTGTAGCCTGATAATGTCTCCATTAAAATTGCTTAACATCTGTTCCAGTAAAAAAAATCATCTAAGCTGTCATCTTTTCTGAGAAATTTTCCCATTTTAGAGCAATTGTTTGCTACATTATCGCAGAATGACAAGAATCGGCTTATTCCCCAACCTTCTCGATTTCATCCTCGCTATTTTCGTCGTCATTATCGCTCTCATCATTTTCAATTACTATAATATAAAGTCAATTCTCTTTGTTTCAAGTTATGTTGTTATTTATTATATATTCCTGCAGTACCTTACGACGAAATCCCAAATACATTTTGTATATAATATTTGTTTAACAATCTTCAAATGCATCCTTCACTTAGGCACCACCATCCGTATCATCACCCCAACGACCACTGTAAACAGCGTCATTATTACCATGACTACCATATTCTGTGCTTACTCCTCATCATCCTTACCCTGATAAGGCTTGAGATGATGAAGCCGATGGTGATGTTGAACACCATGCCGGCGAGGACGATGATGGAGATGAAGTCGAACCATTTAGCCCAGTCTTTCTCCTTATCGGGGTCGTTGATCTCGACGACGGCCGATAGAGCATTCTGACCGACCACCAGGCATTGGAAGATGAGACACGACAGCACGTACTTGTCCTGTGGTTATGACGAATAAAAAGGATTATACATGTAGTAAGTGGCGTAGCCCGTCGTGGTCCCTTCGAATGGCGAAGGGGGGGGGGGCGGAGAAGTTGTGAAAAGGGAAGAAATGGCGAGGAAAAGGCAGCGTGAAAAGAAAAAGGCATGGCTCATTCAACAACTTTCGTCTATAATCATTGGCCTTGTTACTTGGCATTTTTATCCATCGCGTACCTGCGAAAGTGCGACACCCCAAATGATACAAGTGCCCTGGAGTTAGTATTTAAAATGAAGGCGATACTAAATGTGCAAGGCGGTCACCTTTTGTTATAGCTACAGGAGAAGAGTTTGACATTGCCCGAGAGTAATATTTCTAAACACGGTTATATAATTTCGTGTAAAAATAAAAATAAAAACAGATGAAAATGGCGGCCAACTATGGCAACCAAAACTTATATTGTAATCAAAGTCGAACCCAGGTTGAGGATAGAGCTTTTTTGTTGTTGGGAGGTATTGATTATTTTTAGAAAAATCCAGTATTCCTGCTTGAAAATGGCTGAGATTAATCAATTAAATAAAAGCCAAGAACGCTACTTACCAGCATGGTTAGATAAGATATGAGTGGTAGAGATTGACTGACGACATACTTGAAGGCTACAGCCGTCAGAAGGAGGGTCACCGTCACACTGAGTCTGTCTGCCGGAGCACCTCGTTCTACTACGAACGACGTGAAGGTTAAGATGACGATCAGCAGCTGGAATCAAAATTAAAATTAAAATGAACCAATGATTAATAATGTTAATAGATAATTCGAAAATGCTGAATGTGCACAGCGAGTCTTGATTACAACCATTGATTAAAATATAACATTTGCTTAACTTTTTTTTTTTTTTGGGGGGGGGGGGGGCCGAGGGTCATCTTAAAAATGTGTCGGCGGAGTCGGCACCCCCTCCCTTGATGAGACACCACAGTCGATATTATTGTCTCCCTCCCTTTATTTCTTATGGGGGTAGGTCGGGGCGTTATAGGATCATCTTTAAAATGCCGGCAAATTCTTCCATCGATTATTTCCCTTTCCGTTGACGACACTGAATTTTCGATTCCGCCAAGCCCTACCCGGCCGCTCGCCCTCTGTCCCCACTCGTACAAATTAGAATCTAGAGATTCTCCAAAATTCCTTTCATCGGCATCAACGAAAATCATATTTAACGACAGAAAATTTGAGTGGGAGGGAGAGATTCATTGACTCTCAAGCCACCAAACCTTCTAGTAACACCCCAGCTTTTACACCAAAACGAGACCGACCCCAGACCGACAACTGATCAAACAAAATATTTCATTACAAAGAATAGCCACCCGGCAATCGGTCGGTTTGAAGTCAGTATCGAGTCGGTTTCCTTTACGATGTGTATGCCTATAGTTCATTACGATTGATTACTTTCTGTTTTTTAATCCCACGTTTAAAGTTAAAATCTAAAATATTTTGAATGTATTTTGTGTTCTAGTATACCACTGAAATGAATTAGAAGTCATCAATGGCAACTTCTTCACTGTGGTATGATACCTCAGTCACACCAGCTAAACCGATTCCACATCGATCGATACTTGGCCATTGGAGGTTATATGTATTTTATTTCTCTCTTTGTTGTCAGTGTCGCGGCTGTCTCACTGGTGTAACTGTGGTATAATACCCTCGTCACACCGCCAACAAAAATGGCCGAGAAATGGTACTTTTGTGTTTGGTCTGTTGTCGGTCTCATTGGTGTGGCTGGGCCCGCTGGGGTACAAGAGAAGACTGGCACTGCTTACCATAATGAGGGCGATATTCCAGATATAGAAGCCAGGTCTTCGTTGCACATGCGTGGTGATGTGATAGATGGGATAAGATCTATGTGCTCCCGTCAAAGCTTTATCCTCTTCAATAGGTTGAGCTAATACGTGCTTCCATAGCTTCCACTGGTGACCAGCTGAAATACATTAAAAATATGGGGATTATAGAACATGAAAATGACTTGTATGACTAATAGTATTATAATAAACTAGATCAAACATCGAGGGCAATATTTACCAGAAATGACAAGAAAATTATAGAAATGTTTAACCCGGAATACTTAATCATCTCAGAGCGTTGGCCGAAATGAAAATACATAAATGGAGAGGGTGATTCTATTTGACTCTTTCTCTCTGCTTTGCCAATTACATCCATATTAGATCCATGCAGAAATTAATAAGAGGCTTTATGGTCAATTAATATTGAATAATGCGTTGAAACAGTTGAATGTGGTTTGAATGAGTGCACAATATGATAATGCTTATTTTCATCACAAAACCACAACCCATTTTTTAATGCATATCTTAGTCGCAAACATCTCTTTCTTTTGTTGACAAAGTTGCAGTAGCTATTCTACCTCAACAGTTATCAATATTACTGAACTGGTATGACTGATTTATTGATCTGGTTTCACCTGACAATATTTTTTCAAATTTTCTTTTAAAACGTTAATTCCAACTTATATTTATTCTATAAAAAGCTTATTTTGTGTTGTGATATTTAGATTTTTAAATGATCGCGTCGGGGGGGGGGGGGGGGGGCTTCAACAGAGTCTTTGTTACTATTTCTTTCAAAAACAAGTTTCATAAACAGTCTAGTCAACATGAAAGATGACGTACAACATAGTAATGACCTTCAAACATGTAACTCTCCCAGGTATACTGTCTATGTACAAATCACATCTAAGAATACTTTAAGATTGACGTCACTATTCAAGATGGACGACGCAACAGGATATATCACTTTCAACATACCCTTCGATCTTTTCCTCTACAGACCTCAAGCTCAATTACTAAATTCAGGGGCGATGGGTTCGCGAGACAAACTCTTTAACTCATTTTCTCCCAAAGCATTAAAATCAGTGCTAAGTTTGGTGCCAGGAATCCACTCCAGCAAGTAATGACTTAAACAAATGTCGACCTCTAGACAAGAAAAGTGGATGACTTAATACACTCCAAAAAGAAAAACAAATTTCGGAATGTTCTGTATGCCAAACAGAACTTTTTTTCAGGAACTATATTGTCGAATACAGACAATGTTCAACAGCTGTATTTTGGAAATGACAATGTGTTTAAAGGGAGCGTGTTTAATGTTTCTTTAATCATACATGGAAAATACACTTTCTGGACTGTATAGCACTGTCGATGGAGGTTGGACTTTGTGAGGGCTAGTGCCATGAGGACCTAGCAGAGACGTATGATGGCACACTATAATGCAATGAGCCATCATCATCATCATCGTCGTCGTCGTCATCGTCATCATCATCGTCATCATCATTATTATCATCATCCTTCTACATTATCAAAGTAATATGAAGTTCTCACCTGTGAAGGTGTCGAGTCTGATACTGTCCTTGATGTTCATATCCTTCACAAACTCAACATCTTCAACGGGCCAATCAGACATCAACTTAATCGTCAAATCCTAATCGAAATAAAAATCAAAGGACATCAAGAAAATTTAAGTGAAGTTAGATACACACGAATTGGAACATTAGATTGATATTTTTAGATTGGTATAGCCCTGTACAATTTGTAGATAAACAGGCGGATATATATTTTCGGGACAATCAAATCAAATTTCAATCAAATTGAAATAATATATATGAAACTTTACTGACGTTTAGGATATGTGTACATTGATTTTGTTATCCCCATGAAAGATAGGTTTCAAGAAGATTTACCGTCAGAAAAGGTCCAGCAGTTTTCGCAATAATAAAACATCTCGAAAGAAAATGGTGCCAAAATCTTCACGGTTTCATTTAAAAAAAACAAGACATTTAAGCTCATTTTGCAGACACTTAAATCATAAGCTAAAATAAAAAAAGAAGAACAATATTGAAAGTCAGAACAGGATCGAAAAGTGATGCACAAAAATAGTTAGGAGACAAAGGAGATGGAAGAATATGGAAAGTAAAAACGGGGAAAGGTGTTGCAGACGAAAACCTCATGGAAACAAAACTGAGTATATTTATTATTGTCTAACCTGGCAGTCGAAAGGGAAATCCTTCAGCTGCATGCTGCACTTGAATGTCCCCTTCATCCTGATAGAGAGACGAACATCCGGGATACCATCGGGGTCATCATCGTCATTTGGCATGATGTAATGGTTGGTTTGCATCTTATCGATGTTCACTGCATTGAAGAAGTAGATTCGAGGATCCCAGTGCTCGTCCCAGTTCACATCCTGAAAATTGAGGATAATGGAAACATGATGAGGAGGATGTCGATGTCGGTGAAGATCATGATAGAGGAAGTTACTTATATGAGTCTAGTTTTTGGAAAGCGAATTTTGCTATGGTGACGGCATTCCGCTGAAAATTGTGTGGATGAGTCGGGGGATGCGAAAAAGGCATATAATTATCCCGTATATTCGACAAGATGTGTATTATATTTTTATGCAACAGAACGGGTCGGCTGAAATAATTATTCATTGATGTATTAATTTATTTATTGATTGGTTAGTAATGATAATTATTCTATGATCTACATGACGCCCGTGAATATCAAGAGGTTGCAAATAATAATCATCGTGAAAACTTCTAGACTTGGAGCAAGCAACACCAGGGAGTTCTTTTTTGTGTCAGGATGGGGTCTTTTATATCGACCACAGTAAGTTTTGGAAAGCGACACTTCGCATTATAAAATTAATTGTATTTGTTTATATTGAAATTGAAAGTAAATTGGACCAACATTAAACTAATCATGTTATTGTACTCACCTCTCTCTTCATGCCTTTGACCTTTGGTTCCTTCCACGTGACACTCAGATAGATCTCTGCAGTGAACAGCTGGGCCACTGTGTCAATGTCACCTACAGTGATGATGTTACATCGAATCCTTGCAAACACCTAAACAGAACAAATAAACTATGGTATAATCTTTAAGTAAATGATTTCTAAGGGCGCTAGCGTATTGAATTGAGTTCGAACCCGGGACCTACCAGTTGCGACACCACTGTGATCTACATGTACCACTGAGCCATAACTTCATCATGCATATTGCATTCTCACTTCAGTATTATAATGTAGACTAAGTATCTTGATTGCAATTGGATATCATCGCGATAACATAATTATGTTGATTTTTTTAAAAATTACTTCACCACCTGAAGGACTTATGCTCAACTATGCTTTGTGTATACCTTTCCTTCACACAGACCGCTTGTTTCCCTTTTGTTGTGTACTTAATTATGTTTTGTACCTACCTATATGTATTTAATTCATTCTTGGAGACCATCCCTTGACAGGTCAATGGCCTCTGTTGGCTCCACCACAGTCTCAAGTATTAATTATAGGTGCTCTAAATTCTCTGAATATTGTTATGCTATTTCCTTGTTTTGTTTTGTTGTGTTAATCAGATATTGTGTGTATATCGTTATATGTTTTTTTTATGAGAAGTGGACATAAATGAAATGAAATGAAATGAAAAATACTCACTGGTGTTCCTTATCATGTTAAATGTTTACCTATGTCCATCAATGCCCTTGAGCTGGCCTGAATCGATATCTTTCATTAAAAGAAAATAGTATTTAAACTATTTATATCAAATACACTGGGAAATATAAACCCAGGTTCATTGCAAACCAATCATCATGATTATACTTATGACAGATGACATTTTGTGAGACGGTTTTCTGCATCCGACAGTCTTTATCTCCGAGTAAATCCTGATCATTTCAATATTTATGTCGCTTCTTCTAATTTTGTCGCGCGGCTGCTTGGGCCAGATAGCACTTCCAGTCTGACGTACTTCTGGATAGTCTTGGCATTCTGACTCTATTCTCAGTTTTGTTGAGTGTGTATAACGAAGGTTGGTTCGTCTAGTGATCCATTCATATTTTGGTAAGAGCACAACTGTTTATGTTTCTGATAATGAATTCATTTTCATACAATGAGTTTCCGTTAGGTACCGTGAAATTTAAATTTGTGGCGTGGGTATTTCAATCAATCAGGCAAAAAAAGCTTTTTTACTACGAAATATAGGCCTACACGTGAGAAATTGCCTTGTAAATAGGAAATCAAAGAAGTATAATTGCAAGGTTTTAAAATGTGAAATTACAACATAAGAATATAGATTCGCTAGAAATGAACTCCACACCCCCTAAAATCTTCTTTCAGACAATTTTTCTATAAAATGTATAATCAAATCAGTTTTTCGTATTGCTGAAGCCAAAAAGTGAATTTCAAATGTTGTCGAAAAATCACCACAGTGAGCCAAATTCATGAATCACGATAAGTCATTTCCAAACTATATTGATAGTTTCATGATTCCTGGGAAAATCCAAACCCTGCAGTTGTGCAGTTTGCTTCAGGATTATTCTTTTCGACTCGGTGCAACCACAACCTCCTAATTCCATCATCTCTGTCGCTCATGTCAAATCACACTATAGAGCTTCTTTTCGCAGGTGCTGAAAAGGGGTTTATTTAACCAGTCCTGAAGTTGTTAGTGATTAATTTAGTCGAAGGAAGTAGCAAGTACCAGCTCACAACCTTGCATTAGGTCTTGACCTCTTCCAACTGCACTATATATCGTAGTCTTTGGGACAAATCATTGACCTTGTATGTACGTTGGACATAATTGACCTACTTAAGGTTGAGCAATGAAATATTGTTAATTGCTCATTCTTTCGAAATTGAGAAATTCATGCTAAGTCTAAAGAGCATGAAATAGGAAAACAAATGATATTCATCTTTCTTTTAATTTTGAAATCACCATCAATTAGACATTGATCAATCAATTACATATCCTTTTTCGTCCTTGAATCTTAATTGAGTTATCGTTATAGGAACACTTATTAATAAAGCGTCTCCCGTGCATGTACTTTCAAATTCTAAAACTTATAATGCTATGAATACTACTAAACTGATGTCAATCCATCTTGTATTGTTTCGTGATTTGCCTTGATGGTCGCCCCCACCTGAAGGATATAAAATCGAGGCGCCGGCCTGAGTTAGGGGCACACACAGTCACGTACAATATAAACGCTCAATAATTTATGATAGGTATAAATGAAAACATGCTTTAGCACTATAACTATATAGCACGTCACCTTCATTCATCAATTTTGATGTTTAAATCATACCTTAAATGGTTGATATAATCCATAGCAATGGAAATTGAGGATATGGCAATGCGCCATGAGAAGTATTTTCATATTTGAACAAGGAAATAGATCTATCATAACTTTAATACAGCCAAATTGATTATTATGGTACTAATATATCGTTTATGATAACCATCAGCATACTTTCTCGATGGCGATATTTTAGTGATACTTATCTCAAAGATCTAATTTTGGTACCCTCTTTCTTGTTTTACTTGTCTACCATGGCCATGCTTATGATAAAAGTTGGAAATTCTCCAACTCGTTGATTCACATAGGCCTAAACCTAAAAACCGCAAACGTGTTGCTTATTTTTGATGTATATTCTCTGTAAAGCACACAGTGACCTTTGTATTATTAAGTTCTCTACAATAATGCAAATGATTTGGTCTATATACCAAGGTTAGGTTTATAGGTCTTGATAATTTTTTTTTCCTGTGGGCCCATCATTAATTATTACCCCAACATTGCCAGGTACTCATTTAATAATACACCTGGGTTAAGAGGGCTATGTGGTCAAAACACCTTATTCAAGGGTGTATAAGAAGAGATCGAACCTATAACTTTTCATATGAGAGTCAAGGGCCTTTACCAATATACCACATTTCTCCGGCATGTTATAATACTTATCAGTACTGTTTCTACTGCATGCACTTTATTTAACTATAGTAATAAAACAAAACTTATGTAATAGAGATGATACAAATATCCACAAAACGAAGTTTGCACATTCTTTTTTATTTTGACATAATTTTATGATACATTTTACTGTGATATTGAGAATACAGAAAGATGTAGAAAGATATAGAATGCGGCATCTTGAAGATTTGATTGTGATCGGATGATTAAGCATGTAGGTCAGTCCTTTGCGATAACAAACGCTTAAAGGTGATCCATACACACACACAAAATATCTTGATGAATAAACGTGTCTGCATGAAAGCCAACTCTTCCCGGAAAGCTTGCACGATATAAAACACTGAAAGCAAACACAAGCATCCAAATAATACCCTCTAATATAATAATGAGAGCATTGATACAAGTCGATCTTAAACGCTTAGAAGCAAATCCGAAGTTCTTCACAAACTTGTTGGAACAAAATGTAAAGACGAGGATGAATCATTGTATCTATGGATTAACATACAGATCAGTGTGCGTGTTGACATGATTCGCTAGGTCTGGCAGGCTTTTCCAAAACTGAGTGAGGATTGAGAGAGAGAGTGGGAGACAGAGAGAGCGAGAGAGAGAGAGAGAGAGAGAGAGAGAGAGAGAGAGAGGCTAAGATAGGATGTAAGAGACAGAGATCATGCTGTTTTGATGAAATATCGAAAATGTAGAATGTTCTTGCACCGGAATTAATTCATCAAAGAACCGGTATTAGAGCCATATCCAAGCACGTGAATCACCCGTAGCATTGGTGCACGCCTTAAGAGGCATCATCAACAGAGCCCATGACTCTGGACCCATATTCCCAGTATATCTCCAGAATTAAGCATTTTAAAAGATGAAATGGCTTGAAATATAGGTTGTGAGAAATTCTACAGAGGGGTTCACGATCTAAAAGTTTGGATAAATATTCAGCGTCAGAATAATTTATTGATTTAGGTCAGTTCACTCTGTTTTCAATTGCTATTTCTAGAGCTTTGCCAGCAATCTATACACATCTTACATCTTGACATTTATTTTCAACCTCCTGACTTTGTTGTAATAGATATTTCAAAACCATGATATTTGCATTATACCTATGTAGAGGAGTTATTCCTTTGGCATGTTTAGCACTAATCAAACTCTTAACTTACTGATTTGGTAAATTCGGCAAAAGTAGGGCAAAGCAAAATATCAGCATGATTGTGTTTACCTCATTTGAAAAACCAATTTAGACATTGTTTTCGTCAAATTTTGGATAAAACAACAACAGCAACATCTATACAAAAAAGGGTTTGCACATTGGTAACGTTTCCTCAATGGTATCTGTTCCTGACCTTTAAAACGACTGTATAAAGGAAAACAAAAAAATAGATCACAGATTGCCAACTCTGAACTATTTACAGACTCTGCGTCCTTGTTACTGCCTGTCAAGTTACCTGTTATGGTTATCACCTATAACAGGGTCTCGCGTCTTATTTAATATATAACAAAGGAGAGTAGCTCAGTTTTATGTCAAATGATAATTCAATTATATATCCTATTAAAAGAGTATCCCCTTTCTGTGTGATGTTATAATAGACCGAATTGAGGTGCTGATGCCTGCAAGGGGTCCCTGGTGGGTCTCTGGTGGGTGTGCTGAAGGGGTCTCGTTTCACTTATCTCGGGTACTCATTGCTTTCCTGTAACTCGACAACCCACTGAATTGGTGTCAAGTCACCGATATTAGGAGCGATGTTTGTGAATGAGCTCCATATAGTAACTTAAAAATAGGTTAATCTGACACCTATTATTTTGATTATAGTATTGAGGAGTAACTTTCTTAATTGCGCGGGTGTTTAAGGTGCAGTTAAAACATTTATCGTTTATTGGAATACAAGAAGACGGGTGGAGTGTGAGTATGAGTGTGTGTGCGTGTGTGTGTGTGTGTGTGCGTATGTGTGTGAGAGAGAGAGAAACGGGGGAAAGGCGGAAAGAGAACTTTAAAGAGAGTTCAAGATCAAGAGAGAGAGAGAGAGAGAGAGAGAGAAGGAGAGAGAGAGAAAGAGAGATCAATGGGCAATACAACAAAGATAAGTCAACAACAACAAAACTAAAGGGAGGGGAAAAGTGACATTATGGACAAATAGCTACAGACTCAATGGTCATAAAGTATAATAGATGACGACACCTGTAGCCATGATCATAATAAAGATGGTGGAAATTGACATCACTATAATATATTCATTTTTGTTTACACCCAAAAAGAATTATAGTGAATGTTTAAAGAAAGGATGATAAGTGGAGAATTTGCATTGAGAATGCAGCTATCTGCGTCTGACATGATTGTCTGTCCTGCTTTCTGAATGCGGTTTATTGTTGTGGTTCCAGCTACCAGGGTAAACAGGAACACACCATAATACAAACCATCCGCCCTATCTACACCAACCCAAAGGATATCAGAGGGGCAAATCTTTACCCATCGCCTAACCACAATATCCTAGTGCGCTCTTCAAAATGCCACCTAATTATCAATGTACAAGGCGATTAAAAAGCAATGTTTCCCTTGATCACGACGTGTTGTGGGGGCGTTCTAGGAAAAACCTTTATATAAATAGTAATATGCAAAAAACGGACGACGACTTTAATTTCGGGTTAAATTTTATATAAATTCATATAACAAGCACGTTACTTTTTGATTGGTGCAATAATACTTCGACAATATCTGGATTAGATGTTAAAGAAGTAGGACATGTGGGAAGACTTCAAGATGGTTAACAAAACATTTAAAGTTCGTGATTTTTAAGGAATACTGTAACAGCAAAACGGATTGTTGTCATGATTTCAATTTGAAACATTGATCTATTCTGTACCTATAGTTACTCAGACATTTCATTTTAAGCTTTAATAGTTTGTCTTTGATGGACTTGAATATTGTCTGGGAAATGAAATTCACTTAAATTGTATCTTATAATGTGAAAGAGGATGTCATTTAAGACACACTCCTGCAAAGATTTTCCCCCAAAAATGTGTCTGAAGACAAATATTAATAAAAGAATACATAATTTGGGTTTCCTTGTGTATGCAGGAAGCCTACATTTTGTACTCTTTCATCAATATTCGACTTCACAAACATTTTTTTTTTAAATCCTTGCAAAAAATTGTCTTAGATTACATCCTCTTTTACATTATGATACAATTTAAGTGAAATTTCGCCATCAAAATTCATGTTTGAGTCTTCCAACACTTTAGAGGGGCTTTAAGCTTCCGTACTTTCTTACAGACTATATTAAGGACCGCCTCCTAAGGCTAATAAGTTCCTTAGAATGCATTTGACCCTGCACGGGAATCCTCTTCTTAATCTGTTCGGACAACGAGGGCGAAAACAGCGTTCTCATCGTTCTGCCCAGGATTGTCTGGTCCTAATTAATACTCCTGTGGTTTCGTTAATCAGACCAAGAACCAGCTGGGTATCCCATAAGACCGAATGACCCTACCTATCGGGCCAAGTCAAAGAACATTCCACGCAGCTGATGTATTCAGTATTCATTAGGCACGAAATTGACCTCTTCCATCATTTAAGAATGTAGTTATTATGATTATGATTATTATTCTTATGATTTGTTATTACTGTCCAGTATATTACTGTATATGAATTACATGTAAGCCCATTAGCTGGTATACAAGCTATTTGTCTGTAAAGGTGTGGATGACGGTGTCGGTAAAATTTCTTTATAATGTTTTAAAACAAGTTTGATTGCATTTTTCATATTCATCCAAATCATCCGTCAATATCATTTGTCAAAAGCTATTCATGTTTCTGTCCCCGCCATTTTCCCTTCAATTGTCAATCCGTTATGCGTTAAATAAACATTTTGCTATGGTTACTGCAGCAGTAGAAATAGCAGGAGATGCAGATAGGCAAATTGAAGACATTGTGCTATCTTTCCTATAGATCTGAGAGTTCTACCCCGTTTTTACCCTAAAAATTCATGAAAAAATCCCAGCCTTAATTACAGGCGCCGCTTTCTCTCCCACACAAGGATATGCCGTCTTCCCGCGCTTCCATCTTTTGGCGGGAAAACTTTGCACTGGGTGATAGATCCCAAAGTTCGACATCCTCTCCCAAGTTTGGGCGAGAAGCTCAAGATTTAGGCAGTGGGTTTAGGCGGAGGACGTGAGTCAAGAGTGATAATATCAGTTGAGGAAAGTTGTCGCCCTGCTTGAAAGGTACCCGTTTTAGAGATGTTTGAGGATCGAGGGTTTTACCCACTCCCAGGGATCGGAGAAGGATGTGGCGTAGAGATTGTAAGGTGTAGCTGTCTCCTCCTAACTTTTCACAACAACTCTCAACGCGATTTGATATGATATGGAATATATTAGATTATTGCTTATCTCGTTTTCAAATCCCGATTTCGATAATTTCTTTAATAAGCTCAATTGAACGAAATTGTAAATAAAAATACATCATATTCCATTAACTGTGATGCTAAAAAAAGAAATATATCTACCTACTTTTTTTTTAACCTTCGAGTACTAATAGTTCTTAATTTATCTTCTTTTTTTCCCTTTTCCCTTTCTCATTTATTCTTTATTTTTCCTCCCCCTTCTTCTTTTTCTCATCCTCCTTCATCTTCATCTTCTTTATCTTATTCATCTCCTCTTCTTCTTTTAGACTCTAAATTTTTACTATATCCCGACAACAAATATCATGGAATCATAAAAAAGCGTCTTTTTGGAGGGAGTAAAATATAGTGATATATATAATCATGGTATTAAGATAAAGTAGTCTTTTTTATACGATACCTTTTGTTTGTCTTCTCTTGGTGCGTAATACTCCTCCGAGTCCCCTGGTCGTCCATTCACCTCAATCTGCTTGAGGGTCATCTGGATCTTATCCATGCTCTGCAGCATGGTGTCCAACTTCTCTGCACTTTGATCACCCGACATCTTAAATTTCTTCCACACCCTAAAGAGCTCCTGGCAAGCTAGACCACTATCACCGGTCGATTTGAGGGCAGAGGTAGAGAGCATGCGAGGCGGTAGACGAAGCCGTGGACGACCGCCGATGTTGGTGCGAAGAACGAAAGGCTGAGGTAGGCTGTTGCGTCTCGAATCGTTCTGCCTGCGAGGGGAGACAGAGTACAAGTCCATGAACGCGGAAACACACACCCTCTGGCAATGACAACCTAGGCGAGCCTTACATAACGAGAAAGAAAGAAAGCAGATATCCTTGGAAATTCGCCTCTTCCCCTTCCTCTTTTCCTAAGCCCTAATAATTTACGAAAAGACAGTCTCGCGACGGGGTTCGAGCGTGTTGCCAAACTTGAGTTGTGCCAACGATCAACATTTGCTAACATCGCTTACCCTGCCGTTGTTGTGTAGAGGGAGGAGTTTGCGTCATGTCTCTCCCTCTCTGCGAAACGGTTGACGGAGATCAGTTAATTGGCAGAATCCGGCTGAGAGGTAAGGGTAATGGGAAGGGGTTCGGAAGAGGGAAGGGGGCGTGATGTCATAGGACTAGATTGCGAGGTACGTGTTTGTTCGGATGTATGGAACATAGTGAGGCGAACTTGTGATTTGATTAGAATAGATTACCTGCACATAAACAGATGTATGTCCATTGTTCTCACACCTCAACTTGATATTATTGTCATTACCTGTACATAATTATTTCTGGCCAGTGTTCATTCCAAGGACAAATTTGGCATCTTTAAAAGGTGAAAAGTGACCCAATTCGAATAGATTTTTGTAATATAACATGTTGGCACAAACACAATAATGTTCTAATCTTAGGTCACTCATCAATTCGAGATTCTATTTAAGTTTGGAATACTTTATTTTGTTTCGAATAATCCAAGACACTTTGGTGATATCTTACTATTACCCTATTTCAACGATATTACAGCTTTGACCATCTAATTTTCTGTGTGTGATATATTTCTGAATCGGATTTGCGAAATCAAATTGCGTAATTTAGGGGCTATTGATTGAATGTTTGATAGACTATTTTAAAAGAGTGCCAAAAGAAGAGGTATATAGTTCCAAACTCCTTGATTGCATGTAAGATCCAGGGACACTGCTATCCGAGTGAATGTCCATATAAGGTAACTTGTACACTCCAAGAATACCCTATTTCCAAGACGAAATGGGACATCCACAAACTTTCGTTGTGGCTCAACCAAGTTTGATAATGTAAAAGGTCAAATCATTACGTCTTCCTCCCCCTTAAAAAAAATACTCATTCAAAAGAAAAGCGTCCTTGATACATTTTCACTACAAATGTATGAAATATTTCATATTTCAACCAAAATATTGGTGAATGATGTGAAAATGCACCTGGAAAATTGTTATTCTTTAGAAATAATTTGTAAAAAGAATAATTGCGGTGTCACTTTCTTCGTCTGTTTTGGTATATAACAATCTAATATTAATGATGAATGTCATGTCATTTGTTTATGTTCTATAAATGAATTCTACAATTAGAAAGATGACGACACTTACACGATAGTAATTAGACAATTGTAAGCAATCGCCTTTTCACTTACATTCTTCTTTAAATTTCATGTAAGATTAAAGGTATATACTTAACACGATGGCAACTACTTTCGAAAAGTCGACCCTTAAAGGCGCACTGTCCTACTTGTAGCTACTTGCTCCCTCTATATAGAAAACTTCCCCAATCGGTGCCTGTTGGTCCCCCATGATCCTCTTTTTCTTATGTTAAATGAGAGCTGAGTTAATGAGATAGCCACCTGTCACAGTGGCATCGCTGGCTCACTGGGCGGTCTAATCCCTTCTTGCTGAAGTAGTAAAGCCTACCTTTAAGGCAATTTCATTTGGTTTGTGCGTCACCTAATATGTAAGAACATGGCAGGACGTATTACGTAATCCCAACTTGATTTCTATTGGATATAAAATGGGGGATATTGAAATTGACCCTGAATTTAATTGTCGAAAATAATCGCCACCGTATTATTTCATACTTGTACCCTTTGTCCCTGAGATGTGTGATTTGTTTAAGTTATATAGAAAAATTGATAAAAAATATAGGTCTGATCCCCCTCTCCTCCCCCCCCCCCCAAAAAAAAAAAAATCTGACGACCGGGAAGAAATAATAGTCGACCGTAAAATTGTATTGGAAAAATAGTAGATTATCTTTTGAATGATTTAGGAACCAGATGATTTAATTTATTATTACCTTGAACGAATAAATTTGTTTTATTATTTGACAAATGGAGAGATGTACAATATTGAATTGAAACATGTTATAACAATATTTAGTATGTTATGTAGTATGTACCATTTGTATTACTGTGTACTGCTTATTGCCAGCACATCAAGTATTGTATACTAATGATAATTTGTCAATCTGCTTTGAGAATTATGAATAAATTTAATTTGAAGAAAAAAAGAAGAATTATAAAAGTGGTGCTATTGATTCATCATTCATTAAACACTGTTTAAGGTGTGGTAAGACTTGACCTTCACGTTCTTCGCGTTGAAGTTGTTTCTATTTGTGGATGGTTTCCTTTTCAGATTATATCAGTATCCGAAGGCGGATGAGAATAACTGGTCAAGCGGGGACAACTCTTTAATATGCTAATGAACCGGCAATGAGCACTACTATATTACTGAATGACAATTTGACAAACGCTTGTCGATCAACGGAAAGTGGGGGAAACGCCTCGAAAATCTTCCGATTGTTCTTTTAATTCTTGGAACAATATTTAGATCGTTCTATAACAATTGTGCAAACGTCATGTATTATGGTTATCTACAAATTTAAAGAATTTATATGAACACAATTTACATGATTCGTTTGAAGAAATTTTCCTTAAAACTATATTGGTATATGTAAATTTTAATTTACATATATAATCTTTTGTCCAGGTATTCTTGTCTTATATATCAGTACAGTGAAGATAATATCTATGCTCAACCATTCTAAAAGTCACTCCAATGTTACTATCCCTTTTTGTCATTCTGTTCCTGTTCATCTCTCTCTCTCTCTCTCTCTCTCTCTCTCTCTTTGTCTCTCTTTCTCTCCCCCAATCTCTCCCCCCCCCTCTCTCTCTCTCTCCATTTTCGCCCCCCATTCGTTAATGCCACTCTCCACCCAGGCGAAGAAAATGAATACCTGGGCCCTGTCTTACAAAGAGTTGATATCAATCGTAACTTAATATGTACATAAGAGATAGGAGACTGCAAACTTGCGATTGATTGGAGGACTTGCGATCTCTTAGAATTAAAGACAGGGTCCAGGTAGGAAAAAATATTTTGAATGGTTTAGCGCCTCATCTTGGTAGCTCGGCTTAATACGGGGACACTGATAGTATGCTAATTAAGTGTTTTGTATATCCTAAAGGGGGAAAACGCTTTATAAATCCAACTATCATTATTCTTATTGAATATACGATCGTTCTAAGGGGAAAAGAGGTCTGAAAGTAGAGACTGTTGGACTATACCTCCGCGAAATGTCAAATTGGAATAGGGGGTAGATCCGGAGAAATGGAGAGGGGGGAAATTCGGTCCTATATGTGCCACAAGGATAGGAGATAGATAACAGGGTCGCTATTAGGGAGTGCGTCATCCACTAGGTTTTCAAATTAGCTAAAGCAAGATTGTGGGGTCTCAAACAAATCGTGGGTAACCTATACCCCGCTTTAAGGGAATGTTCATACTAGTGAACAAAAGTCAATCAGCGTGGTGGATTCAAAAAATGAAAATAATGCTCTCAATCTGGCAAAAAGTGAATCATATATTTCAACTTTTGATTAAACAATACATCTGATCTAATGTCACTTTAAATACTTTAATCGAGAGTGATGAATAATGTAAATATAATGGATATCAAAGCGAAAATTACAATAAAGCTCCTAGAACAATTTCTAGGTTTCACAATGCGTTACTTCAAGTTTGATGACATGTTTAATACGCAATTAAAGGCTATGAAATAATGTGGATTCAACCTTTGTATAGAGAAACAAAATAATGTAAGAATTAAGTAACACCTTAATCATTGGGAGTATCAGACAAATTAACAAATTTCAGACAAATTAGCAAATATCAGAAAAAGGAAGGCTTTTAAAGAATACATCAAGTACAAACGAAATATTGATTCAGCACTTCATTGACCACAAACAATACATTCAATTACTACAGGAATATAACAATCCATTTATTTACCTCTTTACCTTAATGTGTACCATAATGTACCTTGAATTCAAGACAAATGTTATCCTAAATAGACAAATTCAAGGATAAAGGCAACTCAGTGATTATATAAAATGTGTATTGTAAAAGGACGTCCTTACACATCCCTTATTGATTGAAATTGAGTGGACTTGCAGATATTGATGATGGTATTGACAGCATTGACAAAGAAAACAAATTAATAGGGTCTATATATTTTTGTTATAACTTGAAAATAATGTAAATACAAGAGGTAAATATACATTTATAGCTATTGCATTTATACCGTAGATAGCCAAAATGAAACTTTGCTTTGAAGGTATTCTTATGAAATTGCAACGGTACGATATGTTTTTTTTTAACTTAGAACTGTATTAACTGTAATTTTACGAGAGTAAATGGACTAAACATGATTCTTCACCCTTTTTAGAAGAAATATATACACAAATCTCGGATCGGCATAGAAAGAATTGCTATAAAGTTTTCTCTCTTAATGGATATATAACCCAAATAATGATTGTGATAATGAATCAATTGGTTTTCAACTTGATAATAATTCGTATAATATAAAAGATACACATGATCAATATGTTTACACGTTTTGAATACAATTTTAAAAGAGAAATGCCTATTATAGGACAATAAAATTGTATAAGCATGAAAGTTGTGAATATCTGTATTTCACTTTGATCATTGTCAATCATTGTTTAAATTTATATCAAATTTCATTTGTTAAACTCGACTGGTATTGTCAGCAAGAAAACATGATGAAGAGATGTAGATTGTTGCTATGGTAACTGAAGTTTGTTGCATGTTAATAATAGAAAGTTTAAACAAAATACATCGTTACAAATATTGCTTAGAAAACAAACACAACGTATCAATCTACAATGATTGGGACTGATTAAGCTTTTATACTTTCTTCAAAAACTACAAGTGCTACAATTTTGTGAATTGTCATTGAATTATATTGAAATCCACATTTCTTTTGACAAAATACGGCATTTATGTTTGACGATATTAAAGGTAAATACATCAAACATTGCAAAGCTGGAGGCTAACACGAGACAGGCAGGGGCTTATGTTGGGTACGCTAGCAACAAACTTTTTAAATTTCGAGTGGTTTTAGTTGTTCACACTCAGCATTGCATCGTCAAACGAGTCCGTTCGACCACCGCGATCATTATCATCATTGAACAGTTGCTCGGGTGCGACCTCCAGGCCGGCCACCGATCGGAAATAGGTCACCATTCTCTTCTGACGTCGTAACATGACGATGAGTGCGGCAACGATCACGATGAAGGCTGCAATTCCGACTGTTATGCCCACGATAGCACCGACGTTCATGGACTTCCCTGATCACAGAAGGGCAAGAAAACGGTGGAAATTTACTTGATTTACTTTGAATTAGCCCTTGTCACGTAATATAACATCAATAAAAACACTTCTTTAATGTGGGCTGATGAGGAACGAGGTGGTTTCTTAAATACGAATATACATGGTTGATAATTTCAATTAATTTTCTGACCATGCTAGTAATAAAAGCCCCGTGTAAACGAGGGAAAGGGATTGTGCAACTCTCTTCACTTCACGTGCGTTCTATTTAAATTAAGAATTATCAGAATGTGTGCTTACCTTTCGGCTCTACTTCACTGGGTGGTGTCGATTGGTATAAAGGACTTCCTGTAATATAGGAAAAATTCAAGCATGTATTAACTATTATCATAACACGGAGGGCTTGTATGTACAGTATTACAAGAACCGTAACAGTTATACAAAGTTAATATTTCTGAAGAAATCCAATAACAACTAGCTATAAGTATAACAAATACATGTACTTACAAATTCAAACACGAATGTTATAACAAAAAAACAGGTGTTTAAATGACTGATCTACGAGGAAGAACTTTTATTTTTAAATTGATCAACGTTCCAATAAACATATCTATTAGATGGCAATTTCCATGAACATTTTCTATAGCAACGCATTGTGTAGCCACTTTCTTTACTGGGGATGAGGTTGTTCAACGAGGAACTACTGGCTTCTATTGGGCTTCTATTGCAACAATACAACAAGTACAATCAGGATCATGGACTTCCAAAATGAGGCATTATATTTGTTATCGATTCCATTTCAAACGAAGAACACAAGATTAATTTCATTTAAAGTCCCTCTGCACTAGTTTGGCCAGGAGGGGTAAGACCTCCCTGCATGGTCACTGACAGGTGGTTATTTCATCAAATCAGATCTCAATCAACATAAGAAACGAGGGGATCATGGGGGACCAACGGTCACCAAGTATGCATTGACTGCTATATAGAGGGCGCAAGTAGCTATAAGTGGTGCAGTGGGGCTTTAAAGAAAGAATTCCTTGGTGATTACCTGTGGTGTACTTGCAGACGAAAGGCCACTTCTCTAGACAGTAGAGGTCGTTCCACTGCCCCACGTGCCCACCACTGGTGTACATCTGGGTACACTGTTCGTCCTGTTCGTCCCCGTTGGTCCCGCTGGGCTCTCCAGGGCCCCAGGAGACATACTCATAGGGGCTTTCATCTTCCCAACTAAAACCTATATACAGGATAATGAAATGGTCATTCACAGTACCAATTTCGTTACTGACAACAAATTTCTGTCGGAGGTGTTAATCGACTTAATATATATTGAAGTGATTATAATAAACAGTCGCAATGGTAATAATAGTTGTTATAGTAATTATAGTGATACAGTAGTGATGCAATCGTGATTATGATGGTGATGATGATGATGATGACGTATATTGAATACACATCATAATGAAATGATGAAATTTCAATGTATTTTGTGCATTTTCATTACGGTATGAAATTCATACCAAAAAATCTGATCTGGCATCTTTGAATATTCGTACTTTGGTGTAAGAAACTATTCATCTTGATTCTTGTTTTCATAAGATTATTGTATACCTACGGCAAGATAATCAAAGTTGGCGCTTACAAATTGTGTACATCCGGAGATGTCCCAATTTCAATGGGCTTTAAATGATCGGAAGTGACCTTAGATTACCTTACCTGACCTTAAGTAACCTTAAATGACCTTTAAAAAAAAATCGAATGTCAAGTCAAAAATCTCGTTCAATACTTCTACCAATATAAAATTTAAAAAGAGTTTTGTGAATGATCCTTACCGAAGCTATTGATGTTGTTCAACCCGATCCACACACTGTAGTAATCACCCTGAGTAAGAGAGATAACATAATCCCTCTCTCTATCACTGTGGATGCTGACAAGGCTGGATCGGTCTTCCTTACAGACATAGAGGGCAGCAGACCAAGGTACGATAAATTCCTCTTCAAGATAGGCTTTGTAGCATGCACTTCCATGGACAGACCAGTCACTGCCGGGGCAATCTTCGGGTGTGAGTGTAGGCTGCTGGGGTGGTATACCACCTAACCATTGAAGGCAAATGACCAAAAAAATGAAGAGTTTCGCTGAGTCGTGGTTCCAACATGTAAATATACTGAATCATTAATAACAATATGAAATGGGTGCCATACATGTACAACAAGTAGGGTTAGGATTAATTCAGGTCTATTTTTTTTTATGGTGTACTTGATTATATTTCTGCATTTGTCAACATAAAAGAAAGTAATATTCAAACTAGGTACATGTATATTACATGAATTAATAAGTTAAAATACATATATATAAATCACATTATGATCAATTAACTAATTTTGAAGCTAGAAGTTGAATGCTGTACAAACAAAATGATGGAACAATTATTATTGGGCATGTGTCACATCATAGACCTACTAAGAAGTAGGTCTATGGTCACAAGCTACTACATTTCCAGTATAATGGCTCTTTAAAGCCACACTGTCCTACTTGTAGTTACTTGCTCCCTCTATAGAAAACAATGCCTAAACGGTGACCATTGGTCCCCCTGGTAAGCTTTAAGATGACTTGTCAAACTCTTTACCTTGAGTAAACTTGCATACGGCGCCATATGTGCTAGTGCATGAGACATCATCCCACGAACCACCGTTACTGACCCCAGCATTGACTACCACACACTTCTCTTCCGGGTTAAGGGAAGGCTGTCCCGATGCCCAGCCGGTGTAGACCACGGGCCACGTGTCATCCCAGCCGTACGTAGAGTTATTAGTCTGGAAGAAGCAAGGAAGGAAATTGTTCATGTCAAAATGGACATCAAAGAGGGAAACATGAATTTGACTTCAATAATCTTAACTTATTAATATTAGTACTATACTTAAGTGTACAGTCACGTCATGGAGCATAAAATACAAACTATAAATGCAATATTGTTGTTTTGTGTGTACTTCATGATAATATTCTTCTTTCTGGAAAATTAATGTTCGTGAGCACTCCTTCAGAACAGTTCATCTTCAAGACAGTTCCACCAGGGCCGTATGGACTCCCTTAGAAACAATAGCACGATGTTTGCAAGGATATCACCTAAGTCTTGTAGTTGTCTTAGAAGAAGACGAAACACGCCATTATACTAATGCTAAGATCGTCACCATCATTATCTTTGCCATAATCAGCATGATTAATGCAACCGTCAGTATTACCAAAACTATCTACACAGACTTACGGATATCCATTTACACAGGAATCATTATTGAAGAATGTATTATATTTTGTAAGATAAGTACCGTATATACTTGTATATACATTTCCCGTATCAAGACATGAAAATAATTAGGAATGTGAATATCGTGAATGTGACTGTGAACACCATCATCAAAACTGTATATCATTAACAATGCCCGCTATAATCAGAAGTACGTATTTAAATCCTTAAACCATGATCTTTAAACAGCTGACGCTCCCACACCGGCTACCACACAACCCCGACCGGTGTGATAAAGGGTATCAGTTACGGACATGGAGGTACATGTAAGGAGGAGGTGTATGAGATTCCTCCTATCCTAGCCCATTTTTTTTCCTTGGCCTTCCTAAAGGGGCTACGCCATTGAATAAAATTCATTTGGTGTACATAAAACATTACGGTCCGCCCTGCGAATCAGCTGCTATCGACTATTAAAACATCACCATCGGAAATGATGGGCCAGACTCTTCTATTCTCTTTTTTTTTTCACAACCTTTAGATCTTAACCTGCAAATCATTTTGGAAGATATTGTTACGGATACTACTTCTGATAATATCTAAAATAAAATAAAATATCCGTCCGGCTAATAGTGGGCACTACTGAATCCGCCGAGGGGCCTCATCGATCGTAACACCGGCTACATACTCACCTGTGTAAGTCCAATGTACATGGGTGAATCGATGCCAGCATTACGCATCATCAAGCTGATTTCAAGGTCCTCGTAGATGGAGTTTATGGATGCGAGGGTGGAACCCAAATCATCAGACTCACACATCCTGAGAGAGAGAGAGAGAGAGAGAGAGAGAGAGAAATTGACATCGAAGGTGTAGTGTTTAAAAAGGCAAAAATACTTGGAGTGAATCAAATACCATGTAAACAGTTTAGGCTTTTGTTTAGACAGAGATACATTTTTAGGGATGATTATCATATCAAGGGTTCTAAGGACATGATCTCCAAGATTTTCAAGTTTTAAGGTACATTTCAAATAGGTAATTGGCAATGCTATTGAAATGTCCAAAAGTTGATTTTTCGACAGTCTATGCGATCATGTTAAATGTACAAGGAGTGATAAAATAAAAAATACATTGATAATGAAGAAGACTAATACTTAAACATCATTATGAAAAACGTCAAAGAATCCTCCTTGTATAATGATTTGAAATGTTATCAACGTACGTCTTAGCTTGTTCCCTCGTATACGATCCATTGTAGAGTTTGTAGCAAGCGTTGCCATAGTGATGGTAGGAGCCACACAGCGAGAGAGTAGGAGCAGGAGGGGTCCCTTGTGAATCTATTTAAATCAGAAATTAGAATTCACTCTATTGCGATTACTATCAATGATCATTGAGAATTGGTAACAATTACATTATTTGCCTTCGTCGAAGAAGACCTCGCGCTGATCCCTACCCCCCCCCCCCCGCTCTCATTCTCTCTATTTATCTCGCTCCCTCCCTCCCCGCATCTTTCCTCTCTCTTTTTCTTTTTTTATCTCCCTCTCTTCTCTTCTAATCTCTCTTTCTCTGTCTCTGTAGTTCTGTCTGTCTGTCTGTCTCTATCTATCGCTCTCTCTTTCTCCTCCCTCTCTCTCCTCTCTCTCTCTCTCTCCCTCTCTTCTCTCTGATCTCTCCGAATCTCCCCTCTCTCTCTTTCTCTCTGTCTCTCACTCCCATCTCCTACCCTTCCATCCCTCTCCAGTTTTTAACAAGTACGCCTATATCCTATAAAGCATAATACTGGACGGAGACGATTACCTCTAGGTATTTGGCAGAGGGCTCTGTATTTCTGAGTACACTCAGCGTCGTTCCACGCCCCTGGATCCGTTCCACTGTTGAATCCAAACATGACGATACAATCCTCCTGCATTGGTACAGAAGAAAGGAATCGTTGTAAAAAGTCGACGTATAAACGTTAAATAAGACTAAGAATAATGATTATTAAATAATAATACTTGGTTATTGTGTGCTGTATTATTATAAAACATCATTAAGAGTTCCAAAGAGCTGTCAATGACACTGCCTATGCTTTAGCTCTTGTCAGCAACGGTTGGTGTAGAGTGCTTTCAAGGAGCTATCATATCAGTATTATTACACCTGGGTTGGGAGTGGCATTTTGTAGATTAATGTCTTCCTGGGGACATTGATTCCGTACCGGCGCTGAAACCCACTAATTCCGCATCTCTATTCAAACCTTAAAAGAGGTGTGATTTGGCATTGGGGTGTTGTGGCGTGCGCCTGTAATCCAGCTAATAATGGAAGTTACAAAGCGTTGCCGAGGACGCAGTTTCGAAACTTAGTCACGTCTTTCGGATGGTGACGTCAAAAGTCGGCCCCAGACGTAAATAATCATATCTGATTGATACACGGATGTAAAAAAACACACACATGAACAAAATAATTTTAACGGTGTCAGCCCCCTTTTAATAGCTTTTATTCCTAAACACAGACAAATTGAAGTCAACCGAAAATCGCTATCGACACAAAAAAAACTTTTCCTACGGTAACTGTAGGATAGAGGAATGAGTACATACACCATCGCCATTATCGTTGGGTTCGTTCGTGTCCCAGTTTGTGTAGAGGACCTGAGTACCGTCAGCCCAGGTGAAGCGACCCTCACTGTCACGGTCATTCAGCCCGATCCAGACGGGGTCAGGAACGCTCTCCAACAAGGTCACGATGTAAGCTGGAACAAGAAGGTGTGGATAAAGATGAGGCGTGAGTCATGAATCCTACCGTACTTTATGTTGGTAAAATATCAATCCGTCTACAACAATCATAATACCATTGTTATAAAATGTCAAGCACCCTGTCTTCAAGATTCCAAATTCCAGTTCCATTTTTGGTAACATGTTAATGTAAACACTTGGGGAGCAGAATAGGACAAGTTAATAATGATTCATTTAAAGTTTAAAAAGGACATCTCCTTCATTAATAATAATAATAATAATAATAATAAATTACATTTATATAGCGCTTAATACAAAGTTTCTAAGCGCTTAACAAAAAATTAAATTAAAGTAATTTTAACCTACAAATTACAAGAATATAATACATGATACATAATTATAATAACAAATTCCTAATAACAATCATACAATAATAATAGTTAATATTTACATAACGCTTTATAGTTAAACAAACAAAATATGATTACATTACATTACATATTAAACAGATAAGTCTTAAGTTTACTTTTGAATGTCTCTAAGGTTGGGGACTCGCGTATTTCATGGGGAAGATTGTTCCAAAGTTGGGGGGCACAGACAGAAAAGGCACGATTTCCATAGCGGGTGTGGGTGCAAGGGCCTGGGGCAAGATGAAAATGTGCTGTGGATGATGATCTGAGACGCATATATGAAGTACGAGTTTTAGGAGTGATGAGTGCCGAAAGATATGAGGGAGCAAGTTTGTGAAAGGCCTTGTATGTCAGCATGAGAATCTTGAATTTGATACGTTGTTGGAGGGGGAGCCAGTGTAGAGAACGAATGTTCGGTGTGATGTGTTCATGTTTTCTTGTACGTGTGATGAGGCGTGCTGCTGTGTTCTGAATATGTTGAAGAGGGGCTAAATGAGAGCTAGGGAGATTGATTAATAGTCCATTACAGTAATCAAGGTGGGAAGTTACAAGGGCATTAACAAGACGATGAGTAGAACTTTGATCCAGAAATTTTCGCAGTTTTCCAACTTTGTGGATCCCGAAAGCTGCGATACGACACACGTTGCGTATATGCTGGTTCACATTTAGCACGTTGTCCACCGTGACTCCCAGATCCTTGGCAGATTGGGAAAGAGTGATTGTTGTGCCATCCATGTTAAGATCAGGTAGCACACGGGAATTGCGAAACATGGAAGTGTTATGCATAACTTCTGATTATTGCCGCAGGACCAGCTTTTCACGTCACTGACGCATCTGCTGAGCTTGGAAATGCAACTGGAAGCATCACTTTGCTTGAGCACTATGTACAGTTGCGTATCGTCGGCATACATCATATGCATGACGCCATCATGAGCATGGATGACCTCACTGAGCGGACCCGTGTACAGTGAAAAGAGCAGAGGTCCTAGAACGGATCCTTGGGGGACACCCCAGGGGAGTGGGAATGCTTTAGAAGGAACTCTGTTGACAACAATAACTTGATGACGGTCCTCCAGGTAAGAAGCAAGCCACTGCAGTACCTTTCCATCAAATCCATAATCATGACGCAGACGACACATCAATTTGGCATGATCTATGGTTTCAAAAGCAGCCGAGAAATCAAGCAAAACCAGAACAGCTTCTAGCCCTCTATCGACAGCCAGTAGCAGATCATTGTAGACTTTGATGAGGGCAGTCTCTGTTGAATGGAACTGTCTGTACGCAGACTGCATACACGGGAACAGGTCGTTCGTCTCTAGGTATGCACGAAGTTGAGCTGTGACAATCCTCTCAAGGACCTTTGAAATGAACATCAAGTTGGAGATTGGCCTGTAATGCCTGAATTCATCTGGATCCAATTGCTTCTTCTTCAGAAGTGGAATCACGTGAGATTTCTTGTATGCTGCGGGTACTATTCATTGATGATCATTGGCAAAATTGGATCTTGATCCCAGTTCATTCTAAAGAGAGATTTACACCTAAGTAACTTATGCTAATGAAAAATAAACTGGAAGTTTTTTTTTCTTTTTTAACTCCTCTAAATGCGAGTAATGAAACTGGTATAAGCCGCAAACCATGTTAAAGCTTATCTGTACCAGTTTAAAGGAGGGATTAGAGCACACTGCATGAAGGGTCACTGCACAGGTGGTTATCTCACCAACTCAGCTCTCAAATAACATAAGAATAAGTTGACATGGGGACTAATGGTCACCGATTAGGCATTGTTTGCTATATAGAGGGAACAAGTAGCTACAAGTAGGACGGTATGGCTTTAAAGGAGCCCCTGGGCCTACACTGAAGTGTTGTCAAGCGATGGATCGAGCTATGATGGTAGTTCTTGGTTATCTACGTTCATATCTACAGGAGATTAATGAAACGCTATATACATTCTCGAAATCCAGCATCCTTCGTAAGGAATGTATTACAGAATCTTCCTTTAGGTCATCAGCCTTGGGCCCGTCTTACAAAGAGATGCGATTAATCGAAACCAATCGCAAGTCCTCTAATCAATCGCAAGTTTGCAGTTTCCTATCTCTTATGTACATGGTTGCGATTGATATCCATCGCAAATAAGTTGCGATTTATATCAAGTCTTTGTAAGACGGGGCCCAGACCTCTTTACATTTCCTTTTCCCTTTTTGTAGAGAGCAGTGGAACCAGATGCGCCACAATGTAACCAATACCGAAACAAAGTTCACCAAACTCTGTGTATACCGTGTGAGTCAAAAAAAAGTTTACACCTAGAAAATTGCTAATTACTTTTAAAAACAGTAGAGTATTATGCATCTTAAGAAAGAGTGTTTTATCCCGAATCGTTTGGTATCATTTTTGTGTGGTATGTGTTTACGCTTAAATGAACATGAGGCATTATTTGCGAGAGTGCAAAAATCGACTTGCGCCAAAGTGATGCCTACAGCATGTATTATGTTGGGATTAGCGGAGTGAGAGAATGAATTGAATGTATCAAATGAAATGCATAGGATATGGTTTTTGCAGGAGCAAATTCACACACACACACACACACACACACACGCACATACGCGCGCACAAATGTACGTTGATATTTGATATGTGGTATGATTAATTTTGTTAGGGATGTTATTTGGATCTGCAAAGACCGAATTAATACCCAAATCCCACTTGTTTTATTCAAACATCACACAAGCAACTTTGGCGCAAATCGATTTTTGCACTCTCGCAAACAATGCCTCGTGTTCATCCAAGCGTGAACACATACCACACAAAAAGATACCAAATGATTTGGGATAAAACACTCTTTCATAAGATGTATAATCATTTACTGTTTATAGATGATTTTTAAAATAATTAGCAATTTTCTAGGTGTAAACTTTTTTTTGGACTCACACTGTAGATGGCTCTAAGTGCTCATTGACAACACCTTCTGTTACCATTTTTGTAAGAAACATTGCTCAATTCAAGTAGGGTCCGCAGAAGTAGAATACACGTCTTTGCCAAGGAAAGGGGATAGTGCAAGTCACAATGTATTCTTTCATTAACTTATTTTCCTTTGAGAAACAGCGTATACTACAATTTCCCGCAGTCTTCAGAGATACTGTCTATACCACAAAAGCTGTAAGGTAACCATATACCTTGCTCTGTAGAATCTCGAATACTGGCCAGGTCTCCACCGAGGGTCTGGCACGAATTCCTGTGGTCGGTCCACGTGTTCCAGCTATCTAGAAACTGTAGGCACTTGTTTCCCCACGTGAACCAGTTCTTTGGGCAGAATCCATCGGCTTGCTTGGTTGGAGCAGGAGTGTAGCTATGCGGGTCTGGGGTTCGCTTACAGACGTACGCCATCTGGGTGTCGCATTCACCAAGCCTCCAGCCACCTGAATTAAAAAGTAAAGATGTGGCAATATTGCAAGTAAACATAAGAAACCTATACCATCAAGGAATCAATGTATACGTGGTGACTCCAGGAACAGTATCGAAATATGTTGATGACTAGGTACACAAGACTAGATATTGATATATTTTCCTGGTTTTTTCTCCAGAAGTGTTGGGATTTTCCTGAATGGACATAGAAGATGATTCCTTTAGGTTTACTCCCATCTTGGACTATTTACCGTTTTCACTCCTGTATTTCTATAGAAATCCGGATGTAGTACATGTACACAATTCTATTTGGGGTTTTGGTATGGGCATAAATGTTATAGATTAAATTTACGAACGATACCGCTACCAAGAAGAGAAAACAAAACCAGCTTTGATCTACACCCACAACAAAAAGTGAGTCATTTGACACATTTAAGCATAATTTTCGTGAGTCAGGTGTAAATTGACTCATTAGTAACAACCAATGAGTCTCTATTGACTCATTTATATTTCACCAGTGTGTCAATCATGAGCTGACGCATTTGCAAAATGCTTCGACTGACTCACATGGTCGTAAAAAATGAGTCAAGATCGACATAAGAGCATTTTAGAAGAAAAAAGTGAGTCAACTTGAAAGTGAGGCTGTATGCATGCGCGCGCATGCTTTCGTGACGTCATCCAAAATGCGCATTCTCGAGCCATATTTGAATTCCCGATCGACGACGCGACGTCGCCATCTTATATCTTGGATTCAGAAGAGTTTTGACTGCAGCTAGTGAAAAATTGGTACGCATAATTATTCATATGGTTTTAAACGATGATTTTTATGACTGGATTCGTGGGCTGAATCTTCTGATTATTATACAAATGATGCATGCGTTCATTTTACGATATCCGCACTCGAGTTGATGAGGCTGTGTGTAACTTAACTAGATTCTACTGTATCGCACGAAGCCGTGTCGAATGAAAACATGCATGATCTTGCATCATTGTTTTATACAACGAAACTCCTAGATCCTTGTTATTTGATGTAAAACGAATTCATTCAAGATTGTTTCGTGACAGTATGGGTGACAAATAAATCTCAAGTTAAGGCTTAATTTAGTGCGTACAAAGTAGATTTTTCAGATTCGGGTAGCGGGACCACCGATTACATCGCTAAAATGTGATATTTTAGGATATATTTTCCATTGCAAATGTGGACAGTGACTCTGGCATGGTATGGTATCACTATGAATATGACAGACAAAGAAAGCGGACAAAATATACAGTTCTTCAGGTAGACAAAGGAACATCCCTTCACTGCTATTATGTAAAAATGTGTAGAACAGGTGAATATGCATGTGACACCTGTTCTACACAGTTTTACATAATAGCAGTGAAGGGATGTTCCTTTGTCTACCTGAAGAACTGTATATTTTGTCCGCTTTCTTTGTCTGTCATGTTCATAGGGTATGTGTGTGATAGGCCTAGGGAGTAGGGGGGTCTATGTCATGATGCACCCACAACAAAAAGTGAGTCACCCTTACTCAAATTGATGAGTCACTGGTTTGTCCGTACAGCGAAACACTTGAAGGATCATGTGAGTCACTATGACTCGATACAAATGAGTCTCTTAGATAATAAGACTCATTTGTATCGAGTCATAGTGACTCACATGATCCTTCAAGTGTTTCGCTGTACGGACAAACCAGTGACTCATCAATTTGAGTAAGGGTGACTCACTTTTTGTTGTGGGTGTAGACGTCCGTTCGCCTTTCCTAAATAACATATGCCAGCTGTATCTTAGAGCATATGGCACTACCTCTTTTATTTTCCAGAAAGTAACATTACTTTTGTCTTTTGAGTTTACCACGAGCGTATAAAGTGTATATAATTTTTCTCACCCGTTGTAGCGTCCATTTCGACACACATTTTGAGGCCATTTCCAGGTTCATGCTCATCCCAACTAAAGTAGTCAGCGGGTGAACCATCCGACCACCTGGTATAAAACATAAATGTGAAGAAAAACAAATGTGATGAGGGGCAAGTGGAGTAAGTAAGTGGAGCACAAGGAGCAAGTGCCCCTTCCCACACGTAATTGTATTTTAAAAATGGGTAAAAAGCAAAAAGAAAGAAGTGGGAAAGGGAGAGGGAGAGGGAGAGGGAGAGGGAGAGAGAAGTTGAAGAGAATTTTATACGACTGTAGGCCTATCATTGCTCTCTTGCATTTTGTTTAATACAAGATCATTCTCAACCCCATATGCAGCTCATCATTTAGTATTATTTTCTGTACCCTCGATCTCTCACTTTTTTTGTCATTGTCTACTCTTTGTATTATGACCGTGTTCTTCTATCTTTGTCGTGTAAAGTATTGTCTTGTCCCTTTCTCGTCTCTGTTGGCATCTCCCTTTTTCTTTCCCCTATTTCGTAGTTCCTCTTGTAGTTACAGATTAGTTAATTTAATTACTCATTATTCCTAAGTTTCATTTGAGGTGTTCATACTTGTACAAGCATTGCTTTTTAGTGGAACCTTCTGTTTCCAACATTTTTTTCCTTAAATTTGTTTTAAATGCTTATAATTGATTTGTAATGTTTTGTTGGAAACATGAATAAATTTGAAATTTGAAATTTGAAATTTGAATTTGAATTCATCTTTATTTCCAGGGTGCCCCCCTCCATGTATAAACACACGCTATGCCACTGATGAGAGACGGAGGGATGAGAGTGAGTGAAATGAATGTGCGTAGGATAGAAAGAGAGGGAGAAAGAGGAGAAGGAGGACGAGGACGAGGAGGAGGAGGAGGAGGAGGAGAGAGAGAGAGAGGGCGGGGAAACATTATTTCATTTTTGGGGACATTTTGTAACATGACGAAAATATTTAGTTTACACGGAATTAACATCGAATTGAAACACGCCCTTATCGGAATAAACTTAATGAGGGAAAGTATTGTGACTTGAAAAATTATTGGAAGTTCTGGGAAAAAAAAGTAAGGCCAGTAATGGTTTCCTGTTACCCAACTTACTTATGAAAAGGTATAACCCACTTACACAAAACCCCCTCTGCCTGTGATATGATTATTCAAACCGGTCCAGACAGCGTCAAAGGAATTCCTGTTCACCTGTGTAATAAATGTACCAAACATACATAATTGTAAACGTTTTATAACAGTCCTATGCTTTCTTACATCACAATGACACATCACTTGTAAATTTTAACACTCTGTTATATACATGTTATTAAAAGATTATGTATTTTTCAGTTATTTTTAAAAAGTTATATATTTCATGTAAAGCGCTTAGAAACTATATAACATATGTTAAGCGATAAACTAATGTTAACTAGTGTAAGAAGTGGTAGTATAATGAAGTGTAATCATAAATTTGACGTTTTAATGATTTAATCTCATACAGTTAGCTAAGTCATTTAGCCACACAGTGTCTGTATTTACCATTTTCTCATCATTTACCGTACATTATGATCGGCGTAATTTGTATCTTCCCGGTTTATTTTGTAAACATTTCTTCAGTTTGTATGAATCTGCATTGTTTTAATGTAGATGTGGAACAAATAAACTTCAAGCTTCAAACCACAGTATTCCCAATGTTTCTAAATTTACTTTTAAAAGAGAAAGCGCTAATTATTGTCGTTGCATTAGGCCTATTTATTTAGCATTTAAAAAATTAATTACAACGAGATATTTTAGAAATTAAAAATTAGGGCTTCAATTCAATCCAATTTCAATTCAATTCCATTCAATGCAATGCAATAGAAGACGTATTAAAACAAAAATTATTAACGCATTACTCAAGTAATAATTGTTTACATGAACAATTCTAAGAGCATATTTAAATTCTTAACTCAAAGAATTGTATTATTAAAAGTGACTTCAAATTGCAGCCTCTCACCATATCCTGTACAAATTTATTCTCCTCTGGACTGTGTATGGAGACCAGTTGAGCATGCTCCCTACCGCAGGTAGCATTAGCGTCCATCCAGATGGCCCTTTCTTGTTCCGTAAGTCCCATGAACCTATAACAGGTGCCCAGGTTAGCATTGTATGTCCAGTCCTGCCAGTTCTCCCCGCACTTCTCAGCTGTTGAAATGAAACACGATTATTGGTGAATAATTTTCAGTAATCACTGGGTGTGAAGTATATTGATGTTTTCACTTGTTTAAAGCTTGGAGACCGGGAGTATATCTTTATTAGTGAGCAAAATCAACCCGGAAACTGTTATGTGGTACGTAATAACGTGAATAATTTGTTGTAAAAATGGCCTGAAAGAAACAAGATTTTACCAAGCTTGCTCCCCAAATAGCCTTAGCATATTATAGAATACGTATTCACCCGAGTTAACACCTTGCCTCCAATTATGTCCAACATGTTCAATCATTATTCTCCTTCCCATCGTCATCACAATCACCATTATCACTTCCAACATAATATTAGCCACTGACATCGACATTCACACTCATTAACTTTTCGTCACTGAATGCGTTCGGCCTGATTTTTGTGCGAGAATGTCTAATAAATCTTGAAAAACAAAAGTAAAAAGATTGTTATAATTACAATTCACTTAATTTGAAGCTATATTTATTTCTAACTATCTAAATACAATGTAATAAAGATGAAAGTGAGAACTTGTGTGGTAATGAGGAGTGAACGTAGTATACTGGACAAAAGATGACTTTACATTCATATTCTAAATGCGATGCATGCGTATATAGTTTGCGTAAGAACAGTACTTACACTGGCCGGGTGATACATTCGGAAGCGTTGTCATCATGTAGGTGTCTGTAGCCACACACAAAAATAAAAAAATAAAAATAAAGCAAAATATCGATTACTCAAATATATTGTAAAAACATTGTTGTAATAAACGAAATTTGTGTAACACACGTTAAACTCATCATTTGATCGTTCGATGGTGTTGTTCAACATAATGCTAAGAAAAGATAAGATATACAGTGATATGAATGCAATAGAAAAGTAGTATACGCCTGTCGCACGTCCAGAAAGGTTGGTTGTCCGGACGGACAACTTTCAATCAACTTTCCTTCCCATTAAAGGCTTCATGAATATTTCACGAGGTATGATGACAAAATATGAATAGCAAATTATTATAGGATAAAAAGTTAGTTGATACGTGTATAAAACAATTTTTTTTTAAATCAACGACACAGCTTAATATTATTAACCGTCCGGACATACAACCCCCTATTATATGGGACAATGGTACCTTTGGGTGTCTTGCAGACCCAATTCCTCTGGGCGGTTGCACCAATGAAGTCCCATCCATAGTCTTCAGATGCTGGGTATGCTACTAGTCCAATATAATATAGATCAGGTCTTCCTTCAGGCATGTTAACACCCCAATTGACATACTGTAATGGACTGCCATCATCCCAATAATAATCTGTTAGAGGCGCGAAAGAGAAGAAACAAAAAGTATGTTTAGAAAAAGAAGAGGTGGAAATTATACTGGTGCCCGCAAATCACAAAGTATTTTAGACCTCTGGGCCCCGTCTTATAAAGAGTAATGTTGCGATAGATCTAAATCGATGGCAAGTCCTATAATCAATCGCAAGTTTGCAATCTCCTATCTCTTATGTATATAGTTGCGATTGATATCAATCGCAAATAAGTTGCGATTAATATCCACTCTTTATAAGGCGGGGCCCTGAACATACATGTATATTGACATAAAATGTTTATCAACTTTTCTTATAATTTTGACTTGATAAAAGCCCCAGAAAGGCGATAAAAGCTCCAGTATGGCTATGAAATTAATTACAATCATCAGAATGATAGATACTGAAATCTGAGATGTATTTTGGTACACGGGACGATAGTATATTTGTTCGAAGGAACGATATTATGTATTCACTAATTACAGAAACATAATCATATCTAATCACTGCACGGTAATAGTGACATTTAAAGAACTTTCGATATGTTACTTTTAACTGAAAAGGCGCTATAATCCCTAAGAGCTTGATAAGCATACCCGTTATGCAACATTTAAAATGTATCTATTAAATAGCCGAAAGATTCAATATACCACACCTTTGGATAAACTAGTCAAAAATCATTTTTATATTCTTTTAAAATTTGGCTATACATAAACGCATTTTTATATAGGATTCATTAACTTTTTACATATTGAAGAAAAAGAAAAGAAAAATGAAATTAAACATCTTTAATTACGTACAATTATCGGTGCTTGTTAATGACATTCCTATCCAGAATTCCTCCACAGGATCAACACTGTAAAAGGAAAATCAGTAGAATAATGAAGAATTCTACTTTTTTCAAGATTCTATAATGATTGTTTCGTAGACAATGATTTCAGCGAATAAATGACTAAAAGATGTTACCCCTGACATTTTTACACCGAACCGGTGAGGTAGGTACCTGGCAGGAATTAATTCATTGAAATGCTAGAGCGCCATAATGGCAGCCATGCTAAGGCCGGGGTAATAATTGTGGTGCACCACAGACTATTTTGACAAACATGAGCGCTATATAAGAACACACTTGTATTAATATCATTCCTATTATCAGGTGGGCTGTAGTTAATACAGACCACCTTATATTTTCTTATTTCTGTACATTTTTTGTGAGCAAGATAACTTGAAAATGGCTCAATCAAATGCCTTGAAATTTGGCACACATAATGTATAGGCATATGAACAAAGCACAATAAGGTTTCCAACCTTGATCATGACTCATGAAGTCATCTAAGCGCCATTTTATGAATTTTTCGAAAATCACCTCATGATCATATCTTCATAACGGAAAGTCATTGATCAAGGACAATATCAGTCCGGTCATTTTCAGGTCAAAATTTTAAAATGCTCCAAATCGTTTCAAATTTATTTTGCACACGTTTAAGGCCATTTTGAGCATTTGTCAAAAAAAAAACGCACTGACGCGCATAACGCCATTATGCAAAATAGAATCGCCATTATTTTTTATTTCATGATATTTCCCATTTTTTCCGAACAATTTGATACCATGTTTATCTCTTTATGATTATTAATAACGGAATGAGCGTCCGTCAAGATAAATGTCTGTGCGCGCGAGCTCTTGAGTTGCAAAAAAATGCTTTAGGATGCACCTGGACCATATTTTGATAGAGTATGAGTCGGAAATATGATTTCATGTCCAAATTGACCAATAAAAATATTCCGACGTCACTATCATAATGGCCTTTGAACTCAAAATACGAATTTGCATATTATGACGTCAGCATATTTATGGACAATTGATTGTATCTCTGTAAAATGATATTGATCGATTTTCTTCCAAATCTAATCTAGCTAAGACAATTCTCTTCAAAGTCAGTCACCACCATTTTTCATTTTGATGACGTCATCATAGTGAAAATTTCGATTAAAGGCCACATGTCTGAAATATTTTTTTAAAGCAGTATATCGCTTATTTTTGCTTTATTTTGTCTCAAATTTTAGTTGGAACAGCCCACTTATACTTGTTTCAAACAAGTATTACATGTCTAGTTATTATTGTTATTAATAATATTATAATTATTATTAGTTGGCTATTATTATCATTATTAGTAGGCTATTATTATTATAATTATAATGAGTATTATCGTTGTTTACTATATCTCGATCATTATTTAAAAAAAAAATAATAATATGAGATAGTTATAATAATAAATGAAATTCTTTTTATTATTATATTATCATTCACCATTTTTTATATTCATTATTTACTATAATCATTATACATGTACATTGTTCTACATGTTGAAAAGCATTGTTATATTACCTTTATCTTCTTTATGATATCAGTAATAAACCATACTTATTATGATATGATAAAATAGTATTCTTGATACTGGAGATAAAGATCTAACCTTGGTTTCAGGTCTGCGACCAATCCTGCGACAAACTGTTCCTCTTCGTAACTATGGAAACTAGCAAGGGTTGTATCCCATGAAAAGGTTCTGGAGAAGCAGTCGTTGTAAGCGCCATTGAAGTCTTTACGATTTGCCTCATTCGTCTCACGAACCACCTTATGATATAAAATGTAACCAATGAATGTCAAAAGCACGAACAATCCCAAATACCAAAGCAATATAAAATCAAAAACTCAAAATTGTTACTCTGGCGTTACAATATAAATTTGATATAGGCCTACTCCCATGCTCATATTATATATCTCTCTCTCTCTCTCTCCCTTTCTCGTCCAGCATTTTTCAGTCGGCCGTATTAAAAATTAGCATGCTCTCGCAATTGTATGTACAAAATAAACTTCGGGGATTGCTATGACTGAGTATCACAATTGCGCTTGACATAGCCTATTCCAGCATGTTGATTTTGGTGACTACCCCGAAAATGATAATTAGGAATTCGTTGAGAAGAACACGGTATACAGGGGAGCGGACATTCATTCGGCCGCACTGAAGAATCCTCTCTTTTACCGTTCATCGATATATGGATTTTCTTTAACCCTTAGACCACTGAAATGCACCAAGGAATTAATCTTTTCACCCGAATCCATGATCTTTAAAAACACTGTATACTACTTTTGATCATAGATTACATGCAGTGGCGAAGCGCAAGCCCATCCACTGAGGAGCACCGAAACGATTGTGAAAAGCTGTCTTACTTGGACAATTTTAATAAGCGAGTGGGGGTGCGGGAGGCGGTGCTCGTGTTTTCTTTTCTCGTCTTTTCACCCCTTATCCCCATCACTTTCTCTCTAATCTCTTTTTTTCACCACTCGATGAGGCATATTGCTCCGGTTGTCTCATTTTCGCCAGCACAATCGTAGCTAGTTCGCCGTCTATAGAACGTATATAGCAGACGGCAATCGGCGGATCAGACGACACTTGATAGTGATTTTGTATGTGAGATTGCTTTGCTAAATATAAAATACAAGAACCTTTTCCATATCTTTAAACTATCATTGATATCTGATAATTAAACAGTTAGTAAAATAAACCTACCAAACTACATAATACAATGAAATACTTGACTATAGGTAGGGGAGTTTGATGTGGTGCACAATTGCAACCCTCTGTTAATAATCGAATAGTTCATGGTGTTTCATGAATATTCATGTTTTTGCTCACCTCGGCAAAATGTTGCCTATACTAAATGGAAAAATTACGGTGGGGGTTGCCTGAAGTGGACATAATGCACCAAGCTGAACTGATCTATGATAATTCATGCTTCTTACCCTTCGTGTGCTTGACCTATAATCTTTCAATCGCGTGGTAAATTGCGTCCAAAGTTCGACTTGTTACACATGCGTTGTATATGAAATGGCGAGTTTGTGACCTATTTTGATCAAATTACGGTGGGTGAACTTTCAAAAGTCAATGGGACATGAGGGTTCCAATGAAAGAGCTAGTGTCGACGTTCGTCGGGGTGGATATGCTTTTCGTTTAAACAAAAAAAAATGAATTTTTAACGATTTTTTTGGGTAAAAGTCCATAGGCTAACATGTTTATAGGCTGCTGGACTCTGACGATAGGGGGCGTTGTCAAATGAGACTAAACGGAGCTATATGAGGGGGGGGGGGGTGCCCCATTCCTCCCTCCTGTAGCTACGCCACTGTTCATACCAGGTAGCAGTAGCTTCCAAATGCACTCCAGCCATCAGGACACGATCCTGTAGGTGATGGTGTCGGTGGTAGCTCAGGATCAACCCCGGTACGTCGGGGCTTCTGACATATCGCCGAGTATTTACTGCCACAGTCCTGGTCGTCCCATTCCCCTGTGTGAGTTGTACCAGCAGACATGGCTATACACGGATGCTGGTCATTTCCTGACAAGAACAAAAAATAGACTCATAAAAAAAAGTTCTGCAATTCAAGTTTTAGCTTTGAACTTTCTCTTCTTACAGTATACGCATACTTGCATTTGGTATCACTGAAAAGCCTACTTATTTCTCTTACAACGATGTCCCGTTTGCAATAATTATTATAATCACTGAATGCATGTGCAGTACACCTTGAAAATTGGGGCGAAATTAAAAAGTTAAATGCAGCAAAATGCATTTTTAATTAGCAGCAGTGAATGTCCCATTTGTCTGGAGGATCGATTGTATTTGGAATGATATTGAAGTTGTTATTCATGAATGTAAAAATATTTGTTTGGAAGATGTGCCTTGTAGGACTTTTACTTTAAATCTTGTAAGCTTATGTCATTGCTTTGAATAGAGTAATTTATACTGCTGTGGAGAGAATTCGGATTGCGTGTTTGATGCAGTGGAAAACAGACTATAATCTGTATGAAGTATGGAATTACATAATAATCTCACAGTCAATGTAAAACGCATTTCACCTTCCAAACTGACCTTCGTGAATGACCAAAAAATCTTTCAAACATGTTTTCTTTTCCAAAACAGGAGAATCACAATTGACATGCATGCATGCTTATCTCAATATCATTACAAAACATTGCATATATGATAGGCGAATAAATGTCAGGCGAACCAGGGTCGAGAACTGAACTGAAGTACTCGCTACTGGTTTAAAAAAAATAGTGTCAGAGTATTATTACAGTGACGACTATTGAATACCATGTCGGAGACACCCCGCACAAGACCTTCGCCTTTTGTGTATACGAATCATAACCCTGTAAGTAATCAACTGTAATATCAATGGTCTTCCAATTTATTAATCCAATATATACAATTATCTGCAATCCCCATTTACTTCATTCCTTTTTTATTATCAGTTTCCCTAATATATTTCGATGGTGCAAAGACGTTTATGACATCATATCATATAAACATGGCATACCGGAAAAATGTTACAAAAATCTGAAGACGATCGCAAAAACTTTGTTTAAAAATCATGGTAAGGAGATTTCAATAGCCGTGTCGATCACCCATTGAAATGTGAAATAATAACGTAATCTGAACAGATTTTCTATGAATATAACGGGGTATTGACATTACCGTCGGGTTGACTTCCAAAAGGTCTTTATAATCGTGGTAACAAAACGCCATATTTTGTGCCCTTATAAAATCAGGAAATACAAATATACACTTTAATCTCAAAACTGAAAGTTAATTAATATACCTGGCTGGTCTTCGTCCCAATGTGTATAAGTTACGGGTTGTCCAGTAGCCCATTCATACTGTGTTCCCTTGTGAACCGTTCCATGCAGTCCAATCCAGTATAAACCGGTTAATTCCAGTAGTGCTTCACTCAGGGCATTCTGCTCTATACTGTAAAGTTCCATCCCAAAATATGACAAATGATGTATTGGATAGATCCATAAATGAACAAAAAATAAGTAAATATATAAGTACAGAAATAAACTAGCGAACAAAATAATTAATATATAAATAAATGCGTAAAACATGGTGCAAGTCCAATTGGAACACTGGGTTAATCATTTAGGGGAAGGGGACGGCTACTGAATATTTATCCACATTGAGGGTATTGATTACCTATCCATTTTACAGAATACTATAAAACTGATTGATAAATCAGTTTGAATATTTGAATCCATTTTGTAACGATAGTTTTATTGACTACATGGAAATGATACAATTGCAGTCGTTACAGCTATGTAACTAATACCTAACATAATCATAATCCATTTAATTGCAATAGAAGAGATATCATCTGGACAAGAAGCTTAGGTTCAACCTACTAGTTCGGTATGTAGGCCAGGGTGGCGTTGGTTGTCTTGCCATGGTCGCTATCTCCAGCACAGGTCGTCAAGGCTTCATCCCATGTCATCTGGCCTTCCAGGAGTTTATAACAATATATATCACTTCCGGTCCAACCCTGTCAATGAGAGGCAAAAGTTTTGTTTAATTCGGCTCATCATTTCGATTATATTTTCGTTGATTACAGAAGACATCATGCATTAATGCCTATTTTGTTTCCATTAGTACTTATGAAAAACAAAAAGGAAGGAGAAGAGGAAGAAGAAGAAGGGGAAGAAGAAAAGGAAAATGAAAAGGAGAAGAAGAAAAGGAAAAACGAAAAGGAGAAGGGTAAGTACTGAGCATTGGAGTAGTAGGAGTTTGAGCGAGATGATGAGAGAATGAGTTCATGAAATATTATGGGTATAAACAATAGTAAAAGAGTGAGTGTCGTAATAATTGTCCAGGCTTACCAGAGGACACTCGTATTCCGGTGGAGGGATCTCTGAAGGGCTAAAGTGACCCTTGTCTTTTTGACAGACATAACCAAAGTCCTCTGCTTTGCAGTCATAGTCTGCCCACTTCCCCGCGTAGTATTGCCATCCAGTGCTGTCTTTCCCACTCTAGGAACATAACGAGATTGGATGTGAGAAAACACCGTTGTTCAAAGAATGCATAATCAAGGCTAAATGTCTATACGTCAATGATCAATCATAGTATAATCATTTTCTTTCGGGGAAATATTGTGACGGACAGAAATAAAAGAACAAGAACAGAAAACGTGGTAGATTTAGAACAAGTAGCTCTCTCATTCAGATATTCGATCCATTAGCAGTAAAGAAATATAATCCCATCTTTTGAAAATGGGACATCTTTTCCTTCCCTGCCCGTTTTAGGACCAGTAAATTTAAATGATTACGGACGTTTATGACCCACTAAATACGTCCCCGAAGCTAGATTAAGACCCAACATCATTTGTATTCTTCATTCAAATGTTTGTTTCCTTCCTGTCCACCTTCCCTACCCAAAGTGCTCTTACGGCGTCTTTGGAATTTTACCTGTGAAAACGCGAAGACACAATCCTGAGAGTCGGTAAAGTCATCAGGTTCTCCTACATTCCAGTTGGTATAAGTGACCTCTGACCCGTCGGCCCATTCAAAGGTCATCTGATGGGAAAGGTCATTTAGCCCGATCCAAGCCCCTTTACTCGATAGAACTGCATGACATAAGTACATATTTATCACTTGTTTTATTGTAGATTTGAATTATTCTGCTTTAGTGTAATATCTATTCTTTCATCTTTTGACTCACTGTTCAGCAATTCCGACAGTAATTAATTGTGTATAACTGGCAGGAATTGGCAGTAAAAAAAAACCCTTACTTGCGTTTCTCTTTGTCATCGAACATTTTATTGTAAAATACTGTAAGAGCTACATTTTATAACGCACAAATTCTTGGACGCTGTAAGCATTCAAGGAAATTTCTTCCTACCAGGTACCCGTTTACTACACCTGGATTGAGAGTGGCAAATAAAGATTACTGTCTTGCCGAAGGATGTTGGTGTTAGGTTTGGGACTCGAACTGCGAACCACGGGTTGCACAATCTGGCAACCTGTCCAACCTTTTCACTAGAACACTTTACCTCTTCATACAATGATTGACAAGAAGAAGTAATAATACACTTACGTTGCTCTCTGTTATCGGACAACATTTCGTTGATGACATGCAGCTGGTCTGGTGAAGTCCGGACCTGTGCCAAAGCACCTCCTTTCGACCTGCAGTAGGCGTCTGCCTGAGACCATGTCATTGCCTCGTTTACAACGGAATAGCGATGGTCTACAAGAAGAATTACGACTTTTAAATCCTTGCTACAAAATCATCTCTTGCATTTTACCGTAATTCGATCTTTGTTTATATATCAGAGCTATATTATGTAATCAATAATTATTGTTGGTACGTTGTTTATAGAAGTTTTCATTATTTTCTTCATTATCCTACAGCTCTTTGAACTATTCTAAAAAATGCTTTATAAATACCATGTAATATAATTATCATCAGCATTTGATAGATCCCTGTGCCTATCGGAAAAGCTTTGATAATTCGTAATTCGTCCAATTGGAGGCAATAAAAATACGTTTACAAATGAAAGTTATACGCAACATGAGAAAACGGATGAATAAATAATGAAAAGAAATGAAAAGGCACTTTCGAAAGAAGGAATTTTATGTACAGGTAACGACGGACATTTAGGAAAATAATAATCCAGTTCAAATATCTGATGGATAAAACAGTTAAGGTGTCCTATACGTGTATTTTTTGTCAGGAACGAGAAGGTCATCAACTCTGTGTACAAGGATATGAACTAATAGCTTATGTATCCTAGCAGACGATATAGACCTACTAAAATACATGATAAAATTGAGTTTACTGCAAAAAGAATGTTTGAATATCTTACTTCCTGATCCCACATAGTTACTGTTAGGGTCAATGTCTTCACAGATGAACCTCTCAGCATTGTCACATGACCAGTCGTACCATTCAAATAGGTAGTTCGTAGGATCGGATTCGTCAACAGGTCTGCGCCATGAAATGAACAAAATTAGGCAAATGTCACAATTCTTTCTCCAAATACCAGTTATTCAAGAATGCGTTGGTCGTTACAGTAGAATACTCAAACAGTTGGCAAAATTACATAAGAAGATTTGTAGAAAGGTTGTACAGAAATCAGAGCGACATTTTAAAGCTGCCCTTGTTTAATTTGAGTTATGCAATTCGATTCTGTTTATCTCGACCAATCACAACGTTTGATATCATAATACGTCATCGGTTGTCACATTTCCGTATTGGATGGACAAGGCTATTGGAGTTGCCTCGCATGGGTTGATTTATCGAATGTCTTCGCGATCGTGCTATTTGAGTTGTAACATGAGACTTACGCCATGAGACCGCAGTGCTCTCCAGGACTCATGTAATTGTTCGGTTCGCCTTCACGCCATTTGAAGAAGGTCTGAGTGGTCGTACTATCAGGGTCACCACCGGTTACCCATTTGCCCTCCTGGTTGATATCATTCACTCCAAGCCAGAAGATATCAGATTCTAAAGATTTCCATGTGGGAGGAAATAAAAAAGAAAGAGAAAGTCTCGGTTAAAGTGAATAGATAACAGATTCAGAGCCTTGTTACAGGTAAATTGTGGAAGAAATTTATCAACTTTAATACATGTATGATTGTTTGGGGATTTGTGTATCAACTAATATTGAAATCTTTTTCTTAATAAAATTGATAAATTAAAAGTGCAAATCGATGATTTTCTGTAAAAGAAAAGTGTTGCTGGAGATAATGGTACAAAAGGAAGGCAAGGGGACAGGGATTTGTTTGGCCTTCTGGGTGCGGCTATCAAACTTCAGAGTGACCAAAGACCGACCAGTCGGTGTCGTGAATGCTCTCTTTTTCTGAGGTATTACGTGCCCAAAGGCCTATCAGACCTAACACTCAGTCTGCCGACATTATGACAGCTATTCAAGATTTCCATGAGACCGAAAACCGTTGGCAACCTTTCTTGCGAGCCTAGATACAATCTCGTGCTGGAACCTAGAGACGTTGTACAATTTTATCTCAAGAACGTGACAATGTACAATGTACATGTACTTACTGAAAGGATCATAGATCAAGTTTAGGAGTGAGACCATGTCTTCCTGGTCCTTCTCGCTGTTAATGGTTGCCATGGAACCATCATACTTCACACAGTGGGCCTGTGCTTCAGCGTAGGTCATGGAATCAACATGAGCTGTGTATCGGCCTAAGCTTGCGTCACCGTCATTGTTCTCGTATTCACAGACCACCTGGAACTTCTTCTCACACACCTCATCATTCCATAACCAGTTATATACGTATCTAGGGGTGAAATGTAGGGAAATAAAGCAATGGTTATAACTGAACGGAATCGAGGGATATCTTCGAGTCGTTTACGGACACCTACCCCCTGGTCAACCACCCCAGATAACTACCCCTAAGATAACCACCCTCTAGGATAACTACCCCCGTAATACTACCCCCAGAAAACTATACCCATACAAGTACCCCCTAGGATAGTTGTCCGGGGGTAGTTGTTCTAGATGATGGTTGTCGTAGGGAGTAGTTGTCTGGGGATAGTTTTCCTAGGGGGTAGTTGTCCTAGGAAGTAGTCGTCCTAGACGTTGGTTGCCTTTGGGGTAATTGTCCTAGGGGTAGTTTTCCTAGAGGGTGGTTTTCCTAAGGGGGGTATCCGGGGGTGGTTGTCCAGCGGGTTGGTGTCCTAGAACCCTTTATTTAAAAAAAGTGATTAGAAAAAGGATGGACAATAAGATAGAGAAAGACATATTGCAACAAGCAAAGTGATGAGTACTGTAGTGAGGTGGAAAAAAACGAAAAATAAGGACATTAGATGTACTTAGAATACAAAGAAACCTTTAATTACGACTTTTACAGGAAATTATCTTAATTTTCATTTCGCCAAAGCAAAGAATGGCGAAAAAATAAAATCAGTTTAATCGCAAACCCCGACACACCCCTGATATAACACGATTCAACTTACTGCATACTAACACAGTCTTCGCCAGAGCCTCCTACATTGTCTGGCTGTCCATCTGCCCAGTTGAGGTAGGTGAGCAGTGTGTCTTTGGTCCCATTCCCGTACGTCCAGGTACCATGCTTCTGAATGTCATTGGCTCCAAAGAAATAGTACTGACGGCTCTCTAAACAGTGAGATATATCGGGGAGTAGCCATATAATAAATATATGCAATCTTGTCGCTTTCGTATTATATCAAAATATAATCAAGATCTATCATTTTGATAGGTAAATTACAAATAATACAAAAATACAAATAAGTGACGTCACATGAGAAAGAAGTTTTCTTGATCTTCACGTGTCGTTTTGCCCGCTCTACTGCACAAAGTTGCCATCACCGCAATCGTTTTACATCACTTGATTTGTAGTGACGACACTGATAATTATGTCTCTCGAGCACACTGATGTACACAAACATGCACACGCACACGCACGCACACGCACACACGCAATCTCTCTCTCTCTCTCTGTCATTCACACTCTCTATCACACACACACGCACGCACACACACCCACGCACACACACACACACGCACACAAAGCTGTCTTCCTCTCTGCGGCATCATACCTTTTGATATCAGACTAGCGATGTGTGTCATCTCGCCTTCGCTGTGGACAGTGGCGAGGGAAGCACCCAGTAAGTCGCAACTTGACAGAGCCTTACTCCATGCAACAAAGTCCCGCTGCACCAAGTAACAGTGAGAACCATAGCCTGCCCAATCCATCGGGCACAGAGACCCTGGAGCTGTGGAACATACATCACATAAAAAAAAGAGTCTTGGCTGGGTTTAGGGTCCAAGTCGGGTAAATCAACTGCCGCAAATCCGTAACAATTTTGCTCCGAACAAAGGAAATGCACCGATTTCAGTATATGACAAACAACAGTTATCGTGAGATGTTCCTGTAAACCCGTTTTACAAAGCAAAAACCACGCAGGAGCATTGAACGACATTAAGGATTGAGGGTTGGGGCGACAGTCACAATGATCGGAAGTTCATGAGGAACATAGGTAATCTTGAATCATGTAGGGGAGGGAGGGAAAGATGGGCTGCCCGCAATTTAATTACCCCAGAATCGACGCCCATGAAATGACGCCCATGGAGTAATTAGCTAACAAACACGTTTATATAAAGTCGAGATGGGAAGCATTCTGTAGAGCTTTCCTACCTCTGATCCACTATATAACTGACAATGGAAAGACCTTTGACAGTCGTGATTTGTTAATCAAAAAGGCCAGTGAATGAAAAGATATGCAACTATTGAAGATACGGTTTAAGAAAATGGTGAAGCGAAATCGTGAGGTGATTACCTAGGGTTGTTGGGGCAGTAGAAGATCCAATGCTGCTCTGACCTGTAACACACAAAAAAGGACATGTTTATTCAGAATTATTACAAAAGGAAGAAGAGAAACAGTATGCAAAGTTATTGCACGTTATTGAATTACAATATTTGATTCAATAATCTTTCTTGTATACTAGTCCTTTGCGCTGACTAGGATGATGAAGGAGTAATACTACAATAAAATACCATTACACGAATTACATGAACTATACTACAATTGTGTGTATGAATAGATATATCATCTCCCGATTTTTTTTTCTCTCTCTCTCTTTCTCACTACTTTTCTTTAAACGAGAGAGTGAGTGTGCGTGTGTTCGTGTGTTCGTGTGTGCGTGTGTGCGTGCGTGTGTGTATTATGTTTGAATCCATGTGAATTTGATTTCAAATCTGCTGATTTCAGAATCAGTTACTGGTAAATGTTAATGATGGAAAAGCGAAATAATAAAAACGTTTTAAGATCAAAATACAAGAAGCTAACGCAGTTCGAATCTTACTCCTTTTCTTGCAGATGTGAGGAAACAAGAGATCACACTGTTCATCGGACCACATCCCATTTCCTCTGGCCATGAATACACATTCTTCGGTACCCATAAGATTGTCCGGTTGGCCTAGTCAAAGAAAGAGACACAACACATATAAATTTACTCTTACAACAATTTAATTTTGCAAGAAATGTTGCGCAATCTGTTGATCTTAACATGTATACACATTTTTCAATTCTATGAAGCTTATAGGTTTGGCCTACAGTCAAAGAAATAGATTTTTAAATTTATGAATTTCGAAGGTCGATGTTTCAATGACACATTTCGACATTATAGCATGTGTCGGTAGACGTACACCATAACATATAGATCAACTATAATGATCGACAGACACTCAAGGTACTTTGAACTTTATTAATCGTTCTCCGATGATTTATTTTAAAGCTATTTTCTTAAATTTCCTAAACTATTTTGGGCTACGACCCACTATCGATTCGGGTAGTTGTAAACATGATGAATGATGTGATACCAAATAACAGATTTATTTATTTCATCACAATAATAACGAGCGTTCTCGTAAATGTGCGTTTCGCAATTAACAAAAATTAAACAAGAACGTTAAATTATCGTTCTTACGCAGTAACTGATAATTGTTATATCTTGAAACTACCAATTGCATTACGTCAATCATTTTTAAAGTACAGACTAGCGTACAACTAACTCAAGCAGTAATTTTCCGTAGGTGAAAAAGTAGGCGAACACATCAAAATCATTTTTCTAAAGACTGTGTAAATGTCCGCTTCATATTAAGCGTCTGATTTAGTGAAAACAAACTGATTTTTTTCACCATAAATTGATGTAAAATCGTTTCAAGTTATCAAACGCATATATTTTAATCCATGGAAAAATAAATCAGACACAAGAACTGAGGTATACCTGATTGCCAATTTAAGTAAGAGAAAGGACTACCATCTGTCCATTCCCAGCCTGCCTCATGAAAGCGATCATTAGCTCCTATCCAGAAACCATCCACCTCCTCCGAAGAGAGCATGCCTTAAAAGAAAAACAAAGATATATGATCTTGAATGTATTTATAAATTAATGAAATAAAGTTGAGAATAGTAATTATAATGACTAATTTGCACAGATTAAGATAGCTTGGACGATTAATCAAGCGTTATTAACAAGTCAACTGGGCTTGCTGCGTTTCGCGCACACTTCAGGACGCTTTAGCAGGCATGCTGGTCTTTGGCGGCAAACGTTGTAGACCCGTGATTTGTTTATACAATTTGATGTTATAAATGTACTACCGGGGTGACTTAGAATATTCAGAGATATACCATCATCGACTTAATGTGCGCATGGTTGTGGAGGCAATCCATTGAAATCAAGCGCAATTGTTTATCAGGCAGCCTCCAGAGCTACACATGGGCTTTGTCCCTTGGAAACTCCACGGGAGCTTGCCCTTATATCTTCTTTCGTGAGTGTATAACATCAGATAATATGATGAACTAACCAACGATAAGATTTGATTCTGCCTCGGATCCGATACTTAAGAGATTGGCATCCTCCTTCTCACATTCGTCTTGGGCTTCGTCAAAACTTAGCAATAAATCCTTGTCTATCTTATAACACCACTCTTCAGTAGGGTCTGCTGTCCATCCGTCACCACCGCAGATCACTGCAAGGTTTCAGAATGAATGATAAAATATTCGAAAATTTAAGAGTGAAATGCGATTTTACTTGACAAAAAATCAGAGGATGAGGGAATAATAAGGGCTTGACCCTTACAGATCTCTGTGATACAGTTTTAGGCAAAAAATGTTGGAAATTTATGAGTGAATTGTGGAAGATTTTACCATGAACATTCTTTTAAGAGGAAGAAAGACCATATAAGGACCTTACAAATTAAAATAAATAACCGTTTATGATTGTAATAAAATATACATAGACGAAATGTTTTTTCAAGGGAGGAAAATATGAACTTATTCGTCCATATTGATAACAAGTTGTTTGGCATCGAGAAAAAATTATTAGATGAATGCATAAAAGAAGAACAAAAAGTCAAACGAGAGATAAACACCTACTCGCTCGTCAGTGTGTTTGCTGTGTATGGGCGTGTGTGTGTGCGTGCGCGTGTGCGTGTGTGCGCGTGTGTTTGTGTGTGTGTGAGAGAGAGTATTTGCATGTTCTATATTCTGTAGCTTAGTATTTTCATCCATTGTATAATCATACGTAACATTCTTTTTACTGTAAATGTATGTATTTTGTTGACTATAGGGCCCCGCTCACAAGCTTAGCTTCTAAAGGGGTCCTAAAACCATTCAGTTTATGATGTAATCAAGTTAGAATACGTTGATTGATGTACTATTACCAGTCTCTTTTTTTATGTAACAGATTATATCATGCTTTGTGTGGTTTGGAATAAAATGAACTAAACTGAACTGAACTAAAGAGGAGATGCTAGACATTCCATAAATAGCAAGTGCGCTGGCCATTGTGTATGAGAAATGTGAATAGGATTATGTACGTACAATATTAACACCAGTCACAAAGGTCGGTTTAGAAGACGACATTTTCGCAAAATCCATAATATTAGCTACCGGAAGTTGACGATATTTAGAGGTCAAAGCCTTAACACCAGCTGATTTCCTTCGGTTGTAGGGCTGGTGTTAGTGTTTATTAAACACTAATACCAGCCCTTAACATCCATTGCAACTTGAAATCACCCATTGTTACCTTTGTCGTGTTTATTAGTATGATATACATTTACATTGCATTATCAAAAGAGGATAAATGGATAAAAACCCTGTGAAATTTACTTTACTTTCAGTGATTGACTGATTATCATTAGTTTGCTTTAAAAAAAACAGGTACCGTTTAGTAGAATGTGCCTTAATGAGATGCACTGTCTTACCAGAAACCGGTCTTACCTGCTATTTCACACTGTGGAATATCACATAACTCTCTCGATAAGCCGTGAGTTCCTTGATACATGCAGAATGGTGCATCCATTCCTGCTAGAGTTGGGTTACGGCAATAGTTCTCATCCAGACCTAGAAAAAAATATCACGAAATCGATTAACAATTACAAAGTGGGACAGAAACATCGTCAATGCTCAAAAGCACTCGAAGTTGAAAGATCAAACATGTCTAATTTTGACAAATTTATTTTCCAAGAAAACACGGCTAGTAAAAAGTAGAAAACTGGATCTCTGACGAAGTTGATTTGATCAAAGAATGATGATTTAGCTTATTAGGTTTTGAAGGGGTGTCGTGATAATATATTTTTCGCTCTTCGACAATTTTTCCAAACGACTCTTCCATTTTTGTCATTGTCAGGGACTTGGGGATTGGGTGGATTGTGTGGACCCTTAGATTGCATGAGATTTCCGCGAACAACTATTATTTGTGCGAACAAAAATCGTTATCCTTTGTTATTGTTAATGCTATATTGGAGAATAAATTCATCAAGGATTGCATCCATATTCTATCAAATGAACGCAAAGACCTTCAAGTAATCAAGTCAAGGGTGATATCCATACCCTTCTGTATCACCGATAGTAATCATGATCGCACATTTCCATAGGTGACGCAACAGGCCGTTAGAACTGCCTTTGGTTAATACTCTTAAAGTCAATATGGGATCTCGTTCTTGATATCAACGTGCTTGTCGACTTCTTACCTGCATTTGGATATCTATCTGGAGTATAAAATGTGTCCTTCCATTCAACACAGACATGACCCGATACTGTGGTGCGGGCCGGGCCACGGTAGGCTGTACCCCTGACCCGCGGATCGTAGCATCCTACATCTTCAGCTGTTGGATGGGAAAAGAGGGACATGAATCAAACTGAACTGAATGAAATAATATTCTGTTGGAAGGCTGAAAACGTTTGAAATTCGGCGTCACGCTATGAACACATTTTTTGAAGGAAAGAAGATAACGTTTTTTCATGTCTCCAGCAAAATGACATAAAGACGTAAAGGTTTATGTGTGTGTGGCGTGAATTGTAAAGGAATACTGAATATGACTCCTATATGATAGTTTGCAGGCACAAACCCTGGTCAGTCGTAAAAGAGAGTCTGCACTATAAGACTACCATAGGCCATGTACTATAGCTGATATTGACACAACCAGTAGGTAGCTGGGCTAGGCTTCTCTCAAGGCACAATGATTTTTTGATAAAATGTCAAATTAGGGTTTGTGCTTGCAGACTACCTACATGATTTGGTAAATCATCGTTTGCGTAGTACAGTGTAGCGTAAACGATCGTCATAAGACAATTTTACCTGCGTATAATTATACAAATATGAAAATAATTTGAAATTGAATATAAAACATGGAATGTGGGAAGTAAAAGCTTGACTTACTTCCATTTTCACTGTTTCATTTTCCAGGATACACATGTAGCATACTTACGGTCGTAGAATAAACCATGTTTATTATTGCGTTCAGGAACTTTACAGTAATGCCAATCAGTCAAATTGTAAGAATTATCATAAAAGTATAGGATAAAGCGCATTAACGATCATATTCTGGCACTCCACTTTAATAACTCATGACCAATTAGAAAATAACAAACGCACAATGTCATTCCTGCATGTACTCTATGCACAAATTACAATCAGACGATAGTATACTTACGATTGCATTCTGGCACGCCGCAGTATGACGAATCATTGTGGTTGTGAATCGGATCATGACCGATTGGAAGATAGTATACTTACGATTGCATTCTGGCACTCCGCAGTATGACGAATTATTTTGGTTGTCAATCGGATCATAACCAATCAGAAGATAGTATACTTACGATTGCAGTCTGGCACTCCGCAGTATGACGAATCATTTTGGTTGTCAATCGGATCATAACCAATCAGAAGATAGTATACTTACGATTGCATTCTGGCACTCCGCAGTATGACGAATCATTTTGGTTGTGAATCGGATCATAGAAGTAACACCATGGGGCCATCGCACCATTTGGGTTCCGGCAATAGTTTTCCTCCAGCCCTAGAAAAATGAAAAGGAAAGTTAATTCTGCATAGATCCATCATTTCACCTCTTAACTGCTAACCTGTTATTCTGCTATTTAATTAACGCATATTATGCAATCTCACTCGACTATGATGCGCTTCGACCCTATTAAACGCTGAAAATGTAAATTGCTTGTTTATCATAATTTCCACATTTGGAAGAAATTTCAACTGTATAGGAGAAAAAGGTTGTGTGTAAAATTGAACTTTCCTTGAGACCTAATTTTAATATCAGGGGTTTTATTCACTTTCGAAATAGATCTTCTTTCAAATCTTAGTTGTTTTCTCCCTCCTGCCGTTTCTAATACTAGCACATTCTCTCTCTCTTATTATTCCATGACATTTTCCCTATTTGTATTTTGCAGAGATGTTAGGTCAAAGTACAATTTGAATGAAGCCTATTTATAAAAATTCCTTTGGTCAGGAATGGAAAGTCACCTGTATAAGGCAGGGGCTGCGTTACATCGGGAGCAATTCAATTTTACCAATTCCTTTTTTTATTTTGCTTATCAGAAATGTTGAGATTATGATGCACATTTCTCGCGCATGTCCTACATGTCCTAAGTGCTGCCTCCCTTTAAAATTACCCCCCCCCCTGGCGCCGCTCCTGTTCTCCAATATTTACCGTATGTTTGATTCCTCTCGTAATAGTCCTGTTGCGGATCGTATACTGGCTCCACATCGGCCCCGTTCATGGTACTCAAGGTGCATACTGAGTCATCCCCACCAGTACCTGTGTAATAATTGAATGCCTTACAGAAGAAGGCCTTGTGGTTGAGACACTCGTAGGCACACTCATCGCGAGTTTTTCCGTTAAAACCGGATGCCGCCCCCGTGATGGCTTTGTGCATCTGCATCGAGAACTCTTGAAGTGGTACTAAGACAAGGGGAAACAAAAGCAAGGGTGATCTTTTTTAGAAAGAAGCTCTACATCACACAACGTACTCTGCCCAATTTACTCATATAGTTAAATCTTATTATCAAGAAATAAACAGACGTTTTAATATTGGTATTAAAACATTCACATTATCTACGGTATAACGAGGTGCTACGGGTACATATCAATGTACACCCGTCTAATTCCTAGAAATTGTAGTATAGAGAAAAAGGGCAGATAAGTATGAGAAAGGAAAAAAAACACGGACTAACTAGAAGGAAAAAGTGTTATTGATCATAAAAGTATAATCCTATTAATTAGTGAGAATGAGAATATGTTTAGAAAGTTTAGTTCATTAGAACTGGACCTTCGAATATGCTCACCAGGGTAAAACTCGTTGATAAAATCAACCCAGTCAGAGCAAGTTCGTCCTATAGTGACGTAATTGGCGTTTCCACGGTACGACATGCCTTTCCCGACATAGCATCCAACTTCAGCTGTTGTTATACATGAAAATAATATTCATAAAGCCCCTTATGATTCAAACATGAAATTGACTACAACTTATGTTTAAAAAAAAAAAAAAAAAAAAAAAAAATATATAAATTTTAAAAAAAAAAATTAAAAAAAAAAAAATAAAAAAAAAAAAATAAAAAAATCGTTTTTTAGTAAATAGGATTAATTCGTTTCATGAAAGATCCCTTCGTTTTTTATTCCATCTTTTTTCGTTGTTGCAAGAATAAGTACTTGACTATGCACTTACATTTTTGACTACCTCTATGTGCAAATAAATTTGACAAGTTACGAATTTCTAAATATTAATCTTGGTGCCGACTGAGAGATCTGGTCTGGAAGTCTGCAAATAAAACAGTCAGGGTAAACATTTTTGGGGTAGAAGCATTCGACATGTTAAGAGAATGGTGATTCGACCATGTATATAGAACCATCATGTTGTGATTATATGTCCAGGAGCTGAACCCGGGACTCTTTTTAATCAATTTTTTTATCAGACACGATGAATTTAATGTTCTTTGAAATAAATGCTACATATTCATCAAGACATCGTCATACGTCTAGTAGTTGATGGGAAATTGATAGTCAGTTTTCAATTTCATGAAATACACGGTATGAAGAAGTGTCGTAGTCGAGTGGTTTAAGTACTTGACTTGAAATTCAAAGGTCGTGGTTCGATTCCCAATATATACGGCACTAATGTCCTCTGGCAAGGCATTAATCTTCATTTGCCACACTGATCGACCCAGCTGAGGTAAATGGGTACCTGGCAGGAATAAATTCCTTGAAATGCTAGAGAACTGTAATGGCAGCTAGGCTAAAGCCGGGGTAATAATAAATGCGCCTCGGAATAGAATTTCTAGATAAACGGCGCTCTAAAAATGCCTATTATTATTATTATTATTATTAAACCAAGGCTACTTACTGGCACAATGTGGCACAATACAATACTCCTGCACCAGACCCTGTTGATCGTCTGTTACGTAACACCAAGGTTCTGTGTCTTGGCTTGGGTTGCGACAGTAATTATTATCCAAACCTATCATATATTTAGTAAACATCAAATAATCTTAGAATCATGCGAGTATACTGGAATCATAACACAAATAACAATATTCAACGATTGCAGAGACAAATCGAAACAAAACTAAACAGAAACAAGAAATAACAAAATCGAAAGCAAAGTATAGACTATGAACAGACCGTCAATGTAAAATACATTTTTGTGAAATTAACGAGTTAAATAAAGTAATATTTGTTTCTTTATTTTTTTCAGAGATGTCGTGGTATAGTGGATCAATCCCTTGACTCTCTATCCAAGGGATAGGGGTTCGAATCCCAGCCCGACACTAACGTCTTTTGGCATGAAATTACATCATTATGCCCCTCTCCAGTGTACAAGTGTAAATGGGTACCTGGCAATTACAAGGGTAATAATGAAGGGCCCGCGGCAAGAATAGCGTTGGTGCTGTAGCTGAATATGCTGGGTAAACAAATTTTTATTATTTGTATTATTATTGTTAATGTTGTTGGTGTTATTATTATTATTATTATTATCATTATTATTTTTATTTTTATTATCATTATTTTTTAAAATTATAATCGTTAATATTATTATAATAATAATTATTATTATTATCATCGTTATTAACATCATCATCATTATTATTATTATTATTATTATTATTATTATCATTATCATAGCCCCCAAACAAGTAGATTCTGTAAAGCAATACATACCAGCTAAAGGATATAACGTAGGGTTGTATGGCTGGGCTGTCGCGTCTTCCCATTTAACACATGTATTCCCATTCTCTCCTTCATTCGCCGTCCCTCTATAGTTGGCACCGTTTCCCTCGTAGCAACCAGTAGCTGCGTAGGATAAGCGAAAAGGTGACGATATGTATAGTATCGTTTATGTGTAATTTATATGTTATCTTCCGGCAGAAAATACCCTCATTAGAATATCCAGGATAGTGAAGACAGTGTCAGAGTATGCCCCTCCTTCGTTCACAGACACCGTCCCTCCCTAAAAAACACTATTTAAAAAAAGATAGCCCTTTAAAAAGATAACATACTTATTCAGTAGCCGTGGGTCTTTAGAACAAAGCTCAAATAGCATTGCTTTAATTTTTTTCCAGAAGCCATTGAGATATAAAAATGTAATATTACTAATATAGTACCACGGCGCCAAAGATATTTTATGGTCTCATCAATTTACCATTATTTTTTTCTACAATATCAAAAAGATTAAAGAGAGATATCTGTTAATGTAAACAATAGGAGCTATTTTGAGGAATAATTTACCATTTCTCTCCCATCTCTCTCTCTCTCTCTCTCTCTCTGTCTCTCTCTCTATGTGTCTCTCTCTGTCTCTATCTCTCTCTCCCCTCTCTCCTCCCCTCTCTCTCTCTACCTCTCTCGATCTCTATCTCTATCTCTCTCTGTCTGCAATATTCATTTTATGTATTTAAGAATAGAGCCCTTTTGAAAGATTTGAAGCAATATTTTGTGCCGAAGTAGTAGTTGTCAGAATAAGGATACTTACTCTGACACTTGGGAATTCCACAACTTGAAGACGTGTACCAAAATGTGTCTTTGTGATAGTAGCACCATGGTCCGCTTCCGCTCCCGGATGGGTTGCGGCAGTAATTTCCCTCCAAACCTGTATAGTGATGTCAATTGCTTAACAAGTTCATCATGATGTTGTATTATATATATTTGAACAACATATATTGAGCAAGAGACGGTTTTACAGGTTATCCCCTTCCAACTTGTCTATCGATGTAAAGTGTTGAACAAGGTTACTATCAAGATGGTTTAGATTTGTATGGCCCCCCAAAAGCTAATTCTGACTAATTGCGAAATAAAGACCAAACAAAGAACAAAATAAGACCAACAGCTCATTCAATGATGAGGAGATCGCCAAAACGGCATCTTCTGTCGATCGGGAAAAGGGTGGCTCACTTCAACATCAATTCACAGACATCGGACATGTCACTGGTAAATAAATTATTGGAGGTATCATATAAGTGATTCTTAACTGTAGATTGATGATGTACGATATTTAAAACATTATGAAAGATAATAAGCTGTTTAAAAATAAAGGGGAAAACAGACGTATATGAATTTTTAGCACGGGTTCATGGTTAATAATAATACTGGAATAATAAAAAACGATGATTGTACAGCGCTTACCACCGAAGTCTCTAAGCGCTATAGCAATCAAAATACAATGATAAACAATTACATATTCAACAAAACAAAAAGTTACAAATACATTCTAGTTATACTAGGCTTCTAATAATATGAGACCACGTGAAAGAAAAATACTCACCAGCATCATTTTGGTCTTCCCACAAATTAACATTCTCTTTAAATTAGAGTGAAGTATCCTTTCTGTTTGTCTTATGTAAGATTAGAGAACAAATCTACACCTTCCAGTTCTTGTTGATATTTATTTTTCATTTGAATATACAATCTCAAAAAGGGAAAAAAACTGAGGAGACATATAACACAAAGGATTAAAATAGCACACAAAGGGATTGAAATCGGGTTTAAAGAAGTAAAATAAAGAGGAAAGGGCTGACAAAGGGGTTAAGCAAAAAGAGAACGTTTACCTTCTTCTGGAAAGTTACCAGGTCTGTAATAAGCTGAATCGTCAAGCGAGGCCCAAGCCAGACAATTACTACCATTCTGAGTCTGGGCCACCTTTCCTCGATACAAGTACCCATCACCTTCATAACAGTCTACAGGAGCTGCATTAATAGAGAAAGGGTATTGGTATAATTTTTTAAAGGCAAATACGGTCAAAGACTAGCTTGCTATCAATACGAACAGAAAATTCAGTACAAATTAGGAATACCTCACAAATTATACGAAAGGTATGATTCTTTATTGACATGAAAAACAATGGTTTTAACAACAAATAATTTAGTAATGCATTCCGGTGATTCGGTATTCTTCGACTATCTTCTGGTTCAATTCCTGAAGTTGCTCACAAATCATGACGATGAACTATTACATAATGAGAATAAAATAGTTACAGCTAAATTATTCTTTAACAAAAACATGTCTAAATAGCTTCAAATATGCTGATTTATTTGTCAATCAATTATTTAATGCTGCTCCCTACATCAGCGTGATCATCGACCCTGAAATATACATCTTACCGTCGCATTGAGGAACATCACAGTCTTTAAAACCGAAGTCCACATAACACCAAGGCTTGGCAGCATTGTTTGGATTCCGACAGTAGTTCTCCGTTAAATCTATAGAGTCAAAAGAAAGTAAATGACGTAAGACATTTCTTTAAGAATGAATTTCAAACCAAATCTAAAAATGGGGTGGGTATCGCCCTGAGGACAATATTGGTCATATTAAAAATTTAAAAAATTGTAAGCAAAACAAACTTGATCCGAGAATTTCATAAATCATAGCTGAAAGTATCTTACAAGAATCAACAATAGCGTTCATGATGAAATGGTAGACAGTTTGCAAGTTAACGAGCCAAGTTTTGACGATTTCATTTTCCTGCTGACGACTCTACGGCGTAATGTACAGATGTCTTCAGAAATGCCGCCATTTTATTTGTTATTTATCTCTCAATATTCCACTAATTGAAAATATATATTAAAATTGTCAGTCTGATACTCATGTTTTTTTCTTGGGGGGGGGGGGGAGATGGGGACATGGAGGTTGTTGTATTCATATTCTACATGTGCCTTGCGTTTAACCCCCTCCCTCTAAAGCCGTTACGACTTGTGATGAAAGACCCTTTGCTTTCTATTTGTCGATTGTGATTATGTAAAAATAATGTCTGTAAGTTGATTCCATAAATATCCCTTGAACATGCAAATCATATAAAAAATAGAAAATTAGCTCTAATAAATCAACTTACCTTTATCGGGGTAGTCGATAGGATTGTACTCTCTGTTCGCGTCTTTCCAATTGTAACAGAGATCCCCATCTACCGTCACTATTGCATTGCCTTTATACTGCTGGAAAGGCTCGTAACATGCCACATTAGCTAGATAAAACATGTAAAATGGCGACATATTTATGTGATTTCAACTTTAATCGTTTACAATGACGTAGCGTACGTTCTCGGTCAGTGCAGGGGCACTGGCATTACTACAACTTTGATGAGATACGAGAGGGCGAAGCGGCCGAGATGAACCGAAGAATCATTTCCTTCTCCTATCTTTCTTCCCTGGCCCTTTAATTTTGTTTTCATTTTGGTTTAAACTTCCCCTTGAACGCAGCTCTTTCTTTTATATTTGAGTATTTGACTAATCAATTTGATCTAGTTCCTGTAAAGCTGATCATAAATAATCAGTGCATGCCATAAATATCTCTTTATTTTTCAGTTTGACATGAATTAGACATCGTGGTCTAAAAAAAATATACGGAAATGTATCTTATTATAATTAGTATACGGGTAGAATAAGTTACATTTTTATTTCATTTTATTACCAACAAATTATAAATCAAAAAGGCTTCGCTAATTTGAACCATAGATCTTTAAATCTTTTGAAATACAATTCCGCAACAGCCTAAAAACTACAAAGAAGTCGGTAAGTTATGTCTGAGGCTCTCAATGTATCATATCGTAAAGAATGCCTTATTTTACTCACGTGGATTAGTCGGCGGGGGTGGTGTTGTCGCATCTGTAAAAATGCATAAAAAGAGATCAACTAAAGATGAAACACAAATGTATTCTTGAAAAATAATTTTAATTATTAAACGAATCGACTCCGCTCCCCAATATGACCTTACTTGATTTTTCTTTCGAGCAACCATTCATTCTCTAGTGTTGAGTTTTGAAAAACACAATTTTAAAAGTAATCATAAGGAATCACATGTGGACAGTTTTACTTTAAAGTTGCGGAATAATTATTCATTTTGTATGTTTTAGAAGAAAAACAAATTTATTTTAGTTAAATACCTGCTGCTTTTTTGCAGATAGAAGCATACTCTCTGTCACACGAGATGTCGTTCCACACACCCGATGGATTGGTATAAGGCCCTCTAACATGAACACAATCCTCGCCGTTACCAGAGTCATTTGGTTCTCCAATATCCCAATTGTGGTAATCAAACTGTGGGAAAACAAGAAATTGTTACCACGGCAACGGATATAAATATATTATATTGACAGTATTGTTGAAAGCTACACATTTCGCAAGTGTATATTAAATTAAGCTCAAACATTGGGATTAATTAGTTAAAAACTTTAGAAAATGAAATCTAATTAATTTTACTATCTAGAGAGGTCTGTCCAGAAAGTAAAAATTGGCAAATTACTCAAGACAAGGCGAATACTTCGTCGAATAATGAAAATTCATGATGTCGATCTAGCTTATCTTAATATGAAACTTTTTGTAATAAGTTAAAAAATAACTTTATTTCCCTTTTCCACATGACATATGTGATATATAATGTCATCTTCGTGCAGTATACAGATGAACATGTTTTTTATTTTGTGTTTCTTTAGAGATACCCTTGTGAGGTTTGACTGACCTATGTGTTGTAATAAAAAATGATCGTCGAAATTGTAATGTAAGAACAGTGACAGACTCATGACAAAATGGGCAAGGGCTGTTCAAATCTCTAAAATAAGATTATGTGAATGTTTGACGAGGTTTACGACGTTTAATACAACGATAGGAAAGGTACCTGTGTGCCGTCTGTCCATTGGAAATCGTTAATTCCAGTTCCCTTTCTTGTCAGTCCCACATAGTAGTCATTGGCTTGAAGGTGCACTACAAATAAGTATTAAACAATAATCATGATGATCGTGCCGTCATACCATCTTTAAAGAGAGGTATATCGCATTAATGCCAAACTACATGCATGCATTTCTACAATAGATATCTACATTACAGAGCATAATACCAAGATATACATGATATTATATTACCAATTTATATAACTATTTTTGAGGAAGAAGAACATTGACAAAAAAGAAAAAAAAAATTGTATGGTATGTCACTACTGCGGATATGAATGATACATAGTGTTCGTCACGACATGTCAATGATAACGGCCACAATAAGGATTGTAAAGAGTGATAAAGGATCATTGTCTAAATTACATGAACGCTACACCAATAGGAGTTGAACACTTCGTAGGAGGTGCTTTTTATTGGGCGCGTATGTCTTTAGATGCATTTCATGTATATTGCTTCTCCCCACACAGGTGTATAACTGAATGAGAGATTGCGACAATGAAGCGGAGAGGATGCTGGTTGTAAATGCGGAATTGATACGGAATCCGCATGACCGAGTCATGATACACCAAATGTGACGCGCGTTGATTGCGTCAACTACGTGATGAAAAAGGTGATTTTAATATTATCGTAGTAAGTAATGATAATAGCAATACATGTCATGCAGAACTAATAACAATATTTGCAATAGCTTACATTCTATGAATGACATTTCCTCTGTACTGTGGATGCTTGCAAGCTTGCCTCCCTTCTGGTTGCAGTTTTGTTGTGATTCGGCATAAGTAACCCCGTCTCCTTCATCCACGAAATAGCAGAAATCGTTGTAGAAATACCAGTCTGCCGGACAATATCCAGTCGCTGAAAAATCAATTGCATTTGATAATCAATGTAAAGCCTCTGTCACAAATACCATTACGAACTGCTACGAACGCCGTACGAACGATCTTCAGACCATTTCATAAGATCTTCTTAGAAGGCCATAAGAAACCAGCGTTCGTAGATCGTTCGTAAGAACCACGCAAGATTTTCGTGCATTTCGTATGATGGCCGTAAGTCTGACGGGAGAAGACCTCAAGGCATTCTCACGAAAAATTAAACGGCGTCCGTACGAACTCCGTGAGAACTCCGTATAAGAAACTATGCCGCATTGACGGATCTCTACGAACTCTGGAATTCGTACAAACCTTTGTGACCGTAGCTTAAACTTAGAAGTCAATCATCTCGGAACTTATATACTCTCTCTCTCTCTCTGCTGAGACTTTCGATGAATCAACTCAAGGTGATGGAAAAGTGATTGAAATTGACTTAGGTAGTTATTCCGAAAGTCCTCGCGATCATTGGCAGTATGAGGAAAATGTGATTCAAAGTTTTGAAAATCAATATAATTATTTACGATCATTGAATGAAACATTTTCCAAAATCAGGTATTTATAACGCCAAAATCTGTTTGAGACAAGTTATGATTCTAATTACAAAAAGGCGTGTAATGAGTGTTTCTACTGCTCTTGTTCAAAAGAAATGGCAAATCAATCTCATATGAGTAACATGGCCATCATCAACAAAGTTTTATAATGCTTACGTTTCTCAGGATCCACGGGCGTTATAGGCGCTCCTGAAAGGAAAGCGAAACATTAAAGAGTGGTCTTTGATCCTATTGAAAGATTTTTGTTTGCAAGAAAAGAAAAGAAAAATTAATTTGTAATACACAATATTATGTATCATTTAATTTTAAATGTGCCGATGTTCATATTTCACCTCATAGCTTCAATTCCTCACAATCTCCCCTTTATCCCTTTCCCTTCCCGGCCTCCCTCCCCCTCCCTCTACCCCCTCCCTCTACCCCCTCCCCAACTCTCTCCCCCCTCTCTCTCTCCCCCCCTCTCTCTCTATTTCACTCTCTTTCCCTTCCTCTCCCCAACCACTCTTCATTATTTCGTTTTAGCTGTAAAAGCCAGTACACTTTTAGCATTAGGAATATTTGCCTAACATGCTCCAACATAATTCTAAAAGAGTTTTGGATATGCTTCGACGAAACTTCTCTATATATAGTGCCACTCAGCTTCAGTATTGAATAGGGTTACTTGAATTGAAACATTACCTTCGCGAATCTTGCAGGAGTAGTCAAAGAGATTGAAACAGTCACCATAATCCCACTGCCCAATCGAAGAACCTGTGGAAAGCCACAAAAATGAAAATCAATATGATGAGGTTGTGAATAAGTTTCAATAGAGAGTTGTTGAAAGTTAATTAAAAAGTTGTAAAAGCTTGTTGTGGTACTCCACTGGTACATGTAGAGATGTTCGTTCCAATCGGCCAATGAACATTGCAAAAGCATGTTGGGATTTTTATAAATGCGTTCATTTCAATATAAAAACAATGTCGCAGTGTTTGTAATCATTATCCAGAAATAGAGCCGTTTCTATATAATTCGGATAATGACTACTGGAAAATTATTGACTATTAGGGTTCAACAGGAAAACATGCACTTAGTATGTACATATTTCTTCTCAAATGTGTTACCAATAAAGTGATTCATACATGCTGACTGCTGTTTTCATCCTCATAACTTCGTGTAAAGCTCCTCTGCACTACATATAGCTACTTGCGCCCTCTATATAGCAAACAATGCCTAATCGGTGACCATTGGTCCCCCTTTTTTGTTATGTTAATTGAGAGCTGATTTGATGAGATAACCACATGTCAGTGACCATGCAGGGAGGTCTAATCCCTCCTGGTCAAACTGGCTTAAACTTTTTAGAAAATTTTTAGAAAAAAATGGAGAAGGAAAAGGGGCTGTATACCAGCATAAATAGATCCGCATTGTGCCTCATCCTCCCTGTTAGCCGGTTTCTTGTGAGCGGGCCAGTTCTGGTAAGCTGTATCATCATACGCCGTTCCGTCTGTCCATTTCATTTCTCCGTCTGTAATGGTATCTGAAAAGAGAACAACCCCAGTTTGAATTGCAACATGGTATATGTATTACAGTCAGACTATACACAAAAGTCATTGTTTTAAAGCTGACCGCCTAAAGAAGATGAGTTTACATTATTTTCATTGATTAAACAAACAGATAAAATTATTTAGTAAATTCAACACCATATGTCAGTGGCGTTAAAATGGAGGAGCAGGATAGCTCGATCATAATAGTGATTTCACAAAAGTGAACCTTCTCTAAAACAACAGATTTGAACATGAGGAACATATGCATTTTAATTATTCGTTTTGAGTTTGATGAAGAAACAAGATATTTACTGGTAAAGCCATCCGCCTGCAATCAAATTAGTGATCAAATGACAATTCTTTTAAAAAACCTACTAAAAGCCAACTGACCTCCAACCAAAAGAGTGGGGAGACGGAAGCTGTGGGACCAACATGCTCCATGACAGCAAAAGTCACAGCACAATGTGTGTCAGCGAATGAGTAAACGATGACCCCCCCCCCCCCCCCGATGAATAAACTAAATAGCTAGGCGTGTCTGCTGCTAACTGAACACTTAAGCAGTATGTGGGAAATCTTACTCACCTGAGATCCCCAGCCAAATGTTTGAGATTCCAGTTTGCCAAAGGACGGGTAACTGTTCATTGATGAAGTCCTGCTCCTTTTCACTAAGAAAAATAAAATATCGGATATTAAAAGATATCAAGGACCATCAATCATACTGTTTCCATTTTTTACAAATCATATTGTAGACCAATGATTTCAATCAAAAATGAGTTACTATTCTAGGATAACCAACCCCTTGACTATTATTCCGGACAATACCCTCTAGGACAATAACCTAGGACTATTAACACAGGTGGCTCTCCAACGACCATGCTAGTTGTTTTAGGGTATTTGGGGGTATTTATCAGAGGGTAGCCTAATTCCTGTGTAACAAGGGCAATTGTCCTAGGAATTATTGCCCGTATGTGTAGTTGCCCGAGTGTACATATCAGGTGTAGATGCCCGGGGTGGATGTCTGGGTGTAGTTGTCCGGGTGTAGGTGTCTCGGTTAATTGTCCGTAGATAATACCTGGGTAGTAGATTTCTTAAACATCAATCTGATAAATGTAGAATAACTATTGTTGGGGGTTGGTTGGTTGGTTGGTTGGTTGGTTTTAGCTGACTTCCCAAAAAAGCATTTTTATGCTTGAAAGTAAGCAAGCAGCCAGGGGATCGATGGCTTTATACTCCTCTACAAGGACGTGGTAATGAATACTGCCTAATGACAAAGGGCACTAGCGCATCGAATTGGTTTCGCACGTAGTTGTTCTCGGTTGCGAGACCACTGCTCTACCACTGAGCCACAGAGCCTTACTAACATGTCAGGCAGGCGCGTACGCAGCATTTTTTCAAGGGGGGGGGGGGGGTTAACATTTATAAATCGGGCCGAAAATTTCGCAACGACTCAGCCAGCCGCTGAATAAGCGGGGGGGGGGGGGGGGGGGGGGGGGGGGGGGGGGGGGTAAGAGGTCACTTTTTTTTTTTTTGGTCCCCCAAAAATCGCAACGACTCAGCCGACCGCTGAATAAGCGGGGGGGGGGGGGGGGGGGGGGGGGGGGGGGGGGGGGGGGGTAAGAGGACACTTTTTTTTTTTTTTTTGTATCGAAATTTGAAAATTTGACATTTTGCTCCGTTGGGGGGGGGGGGTAAGGTCATCTTTTTGAGGTCAGCCATGGGGAAAAAAATCCAAAAGGGGGGGTTTTAGGGGAATTTAGGGGGGGTTTACACACAAAAAATACCAAAGGGGGGTTTAACCCCCCCAAACCCCCCCCCCCCCCCCCTGTGTACGCGCCTGATGTCAGGACACACTTTTATCAAGAAAACATTATAGATCAAGTAAAGAACTTCATGGACCTTAATGACTTTATTGGATAGATAAAAGTAGAATGTATTTATTTATCGATGGCCTACTCTTTGATGGTGAGTAAGGTGGAACCCTGTGCTTCACACTGCTGTTTGGCATCCACCCACGTGGTAGGTGAGTATGCAACCATCTGATAGCAGTAACCATCGTATATCCGCCAGCCTGGATAACACATACCTGATAGGATGTAAAATAGACAGAGAGAGATGTAATGAAAACAAAATGAATGGGCGCGAGAAAGATATCGGGATTAACAGGGTTAAGAAAGAGTGTGTGAGAGAGAGAGAGAGAGAGAGAGAAAGAGAGAGAGAGAGAGAGAGGGAGAGAGAAAGAGGGTAAGGGAAATTATGATAATAATAAGTATAAGAAGAAGGTGAAGAAGAAAATAAAGAAGAAGAAAAACAAAAACGAGAGAGTAAGAGTGAGAGAGAGAGAGAGAGAAGGAGAGAGAGAGAGAGAGAGAGAGCGTTAGAGAAAAAGATACGATTCAGATTCAAATCTTATTCGATTAAAAGCTACATTTCTTGCTATGTTAATATCTTGATACGAAAAATTAGGCCTATCAACACATTTCAGTGCTGTATCGTCGAAATAGACCCTGTGTAATAACATATACATGCCTAAAGTAACGGAGATGTAATATAGACAGACAAGATAAAGAGAAGTATGACCGGATTACTGTTCAGTTTTAGAACGTGAATTATCTCAATACTCAAAGTACGATATGTATGGGAAGAATGACATAGTTTTACACCTTTTCTTCCTATTCTGTATGAGGGATAAAACATAATTGGCTGGAATATTGATATCTAATTACCAGTTGGTTTCTCGCAAATAAATCTCCTTGTCCACTGGCAGTCTGTCGTCGACCAGTTACCTGTCCCAGTGTCCTGATATCTCGCCTGAGTACACTTCTCAAGAGCACTGAGAGAACGAGGGTGGTTGATAGACCGACATAGAGAGAGAGAGGGAGAGAGACAGGGGAGAGAGAGAGAGATAAGGGAGGGAGGGAGAGAGAGAGAGAGAGAGAGAGATAAAGGAGCGAGATGGGAGGGAGAGAAAATAATACAAGGTAAGCATTATAAAATAGAAAAATGCAAAAGATAAACAAACAAGCGGGAAAAAAATACCCCCCCCCAAAAAAAAAAAAAATAAATAAATAAATAAATAAAAATAAGAAATAAAAAATAGACGAATGTGTTGTTAAAATCATTTTGTATTATTAAGTTGGTAATACTTTAATTAACTTACAATAAAATAAAAATTTGGTAATGCTTATTATATCTTTTTTTCGAGATACATGTGTACTTACTCCATATTCGGTTCATTCACAGCCCATTGTTCGAAACCTGTTTCGAGTCCTGATGTCCACTTGAAATTATCCCTTCCAGCCTGATGTGAAGTAGAAACAAAAATGAAATCAAGAAGAATCAAGGTTATCTAGTGTGTTAAAGACGAATATATTTCTTGTTGAATGACCCGAATTTGTTTTGGTATTGTATTGTTGTAAGCAGACGAACATGATGAAAACACAGCTTTGTGGGTGTATTCGTGTGTACGAGTTTCTGTTACAAGGCGTTAATTGCTTGGATGTCTATGTGCAAGGGCTTTGGCCATCATCTTCTCATTTTGCCGTTCCCTTATTCCTCCTGCCAACGTTAAACATTCCCTCATTTTGTTGTGTCCACAGAACATTTCCTCCTCAGCTTTATCCAATACTTGAATACACTCTATTTAAACCATAAAATGTTTTCCAAGCTCGTCGTATTTAGTGGCTCCGTCTATTTAATACCATTTTCTCCTTGAGTATCTTATGCTTTGAAACCAACATCGTAAAATATAGCTCCATAGTGACACAACTTTCCAGGCCAATCTTTAGCTATAGTGTAGTATAGTATTTATTTTCCGTTTTAAAAACAAACATATAATATATATATATATATATATATATATATATACATAACGTCAATAAAACGGCTGGATAGCCCATATTCAGCTGTGCCAGGCACGACACTGCTGATCCTCCATGGGGTGTGGTATCTATGATTGTACCAATGGCTTATTGTATTTCTTTCTTTGAATAATGAATACAATCTATTTTGTGTATTGTTCAGGTATACTTACTATTGTTTTGTATCCTATCCATAGATAACTCTTGGCTTCTTCTACAAATTCTACAAGTAACATCTGCTCATCTTCATCAGCAATGTCGATAAGGTTAGCATCAGAACGCGTGCATAATTCCTGACGAAAAGAGGTATTTATGAAACTCAACACAACAAGGCACTATGAATATGACGAACAAAGAAAGCGGACAAAATATACAGTTCCTCAGGTAGACAAAGGAACATCCCTTCACTGCTATTATGTAAAAATGTGTAGAACAGGTGTCACATGCATATTCACCTTTTTACATAATAGCAGTGAAGGGATGTTCCTTTGTCTACCCAGGAAGCTGTAATGAATGGAGATCCCGTCCAAGAGGCCCCTTTGAAGTCATCCGTGGCACCGCGCGTCTTTTGTTTCCCCTACCGTAATCCCCTTAATCCCCCTCCAAAACCTTACAGCTCCCTAGTAGCACTAAGTCCTCCCTTTCCACACACAGCCCAGCCCAGCGAGCACGGCGGCTTTTGCTTTGCCGGCCCGTACTTTGGGTGAATAGTGGTGCTAACTTGACAACTTCTAGCCCTAAATCAATAAATGCGCAAACATACAACACAATTTCATTTAGTTCTTTAGGAAGATAAACCTTTGGACTACCTTCCTAGCTATGTACAAATTTCGGAAATTTTCGGAAAATGTCAATAATTAGATGAGAAAATCATGATTATGAAAATCTTTCATTCGCTCTAACTCATGATTTCGCTGGTTAAAATGGCCATGTCTTCAGTAGAGCTATCCGAGAACGGAAGACGCATTTGATGACTAATAGAAAGTTGCATTGGTCATAATGTTGTGAATTCTGCATTTTATATGTTATAGCTAAATACATCTTCCATGAACATGACTTAATTTGTCGGTGCCACGCATGGCTTCAAAGCCCGATGCTTGCATATTTTTGCAAACGAGTGAATAGAGAACTTAGGGAAACAGATGGCGTTGCGTAACATTTCGTACTATTTGGAATGCCAGAGAGGGACTGTGCATTGATATGGACAGCTGTTGATGGAAATGATGGCTGGAGAGGGTTACATTTCTTTTTGTTAAGCCAGGTTAATCTTGAATAATTTTCCCTCAGAAAATTCTTTCGAGACGGTATCTCCATTCATTACAGCTTCCTGGTCTACCTGAGGAACTGTATATTTTGTCCGCTTTCTTTGTTCGTCATATTCATAGAGAAAGTGACGGAACAAAAGCCTCGGTCACAAATGTCATAACGAACTGCTATGAACGCCGTACGAACGATTTTCAGACAATGGAAATTTGGGAAGACAATGGAAAAACAGGGAGATTCGTACGAAACACTATGAACATGACTGACAAAGAAAGCGGCCAAAATATACAGTTCCTCAGGTAGACAAAGGAACATCCCTTCACTGCTATTATGTAAAAATGTGTAGAACAGGTGTCACACGCATATTCACGTTTTTACATAATAGCAGTGAAGGGATGTTCTTTTGTCTACCTTAGGAACTGTATATTTTGTCCACTTTCTTTGTCTGTCCTATTCATAGTGAAAGTATCGTTCGTACGAACCTTTGTGACCGTAGCATAACTTGACTGGCAATGTCGGTCTCTTGGTCGTTTGTTTTTGTGTCACATAACTAAATTATGGAGTATGGGTTTATATTGTCTTCAAATTGTTCACATCGAGTATGCAACATTTTTAAAAGTCTCGATATTACAGGTGCAGAGAGTTACCCATCACCTATTTTGTTTTTCAATTTTATATTTAAACTTGATTGGGTTCGTGGTTTTTTGCGAGACACATGATATTATGATAACCAATCATCTTCGTCAACAGCAGCAGCAGCAGCAGCAACCCCAGTAACAACAATAATAACAACAACAACAACAATAACAACAACAATACAACAACAACATCAGAAAAAAAGTGTGATGATGCGACGATCGCCGATGATCTTCAAAAGGTTAGATTTGTCATTATTCGTAGATTGAATAAAATTGCAAGTTGTATTGCTTTTTAGCTTCATTTACCTGAGCATCGTCAAAGGTCATCCATTTTGTTGAAAGATAGTAGCAGTTTTGAAATTTCTCTATCCATCCATTGCTCTCATCACACCGGACAGGTTGAGCTGCATTCGCAAAGAAAATGATTTCATTTTGGGTAAGAGATGTTTAAAGGTACTATGTCCCTTTTGCAGCCAACCTCAAATGCTGTAGAACTTTGCAGGAATTATGAATATGTCATGTATGTCCTATCTGTGAAATTTAAACGTTAGCAGTGTCCTCATATTCAAATTATGCAAGGAAACCCGTTTACTTGCTAGACTTCACTGTCAGACACTATTGAGTGACTGACTGGCTTTTTTCTTCTTTGGTGGTAACATACATGAAAAGAGTTGTAAAGGGTACATGAGCATTTGTCTACACCAATAACCCACTTCTTGTGATGGCCAAGATTAAACTGATTGAATCTTTGCGCAGCATAAAACGTATGACCATTCGGACAATTGTCTGAAAATCAAGACTATTACTTTTGAGCTCTATAGCCCTAAAGTCGATTTGACAACTATTAGTCGTTATTTTCCCACTTGAAGACATTTTCAAGCCCCACCTTTTTTAGGGAAGTTTTAAATTAGTATTATCTTTCAAATGCAGTTGGAATTTAACGTTTTCATTTTTTTGGCCTGCATATGGGAGATAGAACCTTTCAGGGTCTCATTTTCAAACAGACCAGTATAAGTAAAAAGACATTTTCCAATTACTGTTTGTTATTGTTTGGGAAATTCTTTGTTTCATCCATTAGTTTCACCACACCGAACAGGTTTCGCTGAACTCGAAAAAAATGCAACGATATAATCTAAGGTTAGAGGCATGAAAATTGTTTTATCATAAATATTGAGAAGGAGAAACAAAATCAATTATTTCAATTGATTTGATGGTGTTTAAGTTGTTATAATTTTTGCCTATAGTCGTGTCATATTTCACTGACTCTAAACGACGACTGGTGAGAAAGACTTAAAACACAAATATATGTACTATTTCGAGCTTGATCGTGTTTAATAGTTTGACGTGTTTTTTTAAGGGTTCTTTTTTAACCTTGAAAGTTTAACATGTGTGTGTTTTATTGATGTGCCCACACGGATGTTGACATTGGTCTGGAAAATGATGATGAGACACAATCATGCAGAATCCATACTCATAACTAATGCGGCCGCCTACCACAACAATGATCAAATTTAACAAAGCAATAGATTTGATTGGTTTTGCACATTAAAAATCAAATATAGTAAATGTACACAAGCAATATTTTGTGTGTGTATGTGTGTGCGTGTATATGTGTGTGTGTGACTATAATCGTTGAAAAATTGTAGTTGTCAAAATGAATTATTAAAATGACAACGTGAAGGTGATTTTAAAATCCAGTCATGCAATTAAAAGACCGGATTTCAGTGATAATCTACATAATAATATTAAAAAATGTAAATGAATCTATTGGAGCTTTGCTTGGTTTGTAAGTTTCGTGTCTGGAATGGACTTACTGAGTGTCTTATGGCATACATATGCCTTGGCGGAACCACAATCTTCGTCGAGCCAGGCCCATCCCGGACTATAGCCCATGGCTACACAAGCCTTGGTACCCTTACTGTGACTGGGACGACCGCTATCCCAGTTCCTGAAACCAGACACACAAGACAACATTTAGTAAAGAAATGGTCTATGAAAATGTAAAAGAAGGCTTCAGAAACCTGAAATTTAACGCTTGTATAACTCTTTCCATAAGCATGTCAACCCGTTTGGAAAAAGAAAATTGTCAACGAGTTCAGCAGAATCAGACAGTCAATGAATTAGGTGTTGCTTCTCTATCTGCATAGCTTCTCGCTCAACAAGAATCAAACAATTTTGGACAAATTAATAATGGGTATAAAATATGTCATACATGTCGTCTGCTTTATTCTTTTATTTAAAATAAAAAGAAAATGCATTCCTTGTTGAGTAATAAATGCTTCTAACTTTGTAATGGCTTTTAAAAAGTAAAGGGTGCCATACATTTGTCACATTGGTGATGTACACTTAAACAAAAAATCATGACGTACACGTAAAAATTACCAGCAATAAATGAGTGCTCTTAACTCCTTTGTTCTCAATCTCATTTACACATGGTAGTATACAACTGAAGTTATATGATATTTACTGAATCTATAGAGCGGAATAAATGTAAGTGAACTTCATTGTGAACACTTACGCCAAGTTTGGATCATATATTGATCCATCACTCCAAACATAAACTAGATGACCGAAGGGATCACTTAATCCAATCCAATAATCGCCAATGAACGATGATCCAGACAGTTGAGAGATTACCCATTCCTGTAAAGAAAAAGTAATCCCCCTTCCATGGTGATACAAACATTTAAAAAAGTCAAATCATGATAAAACTTCAAAGGATGGGGCAACTGTCTCACCACGTAATGGGTAGTTAATGATTTGGCAGACTCCTTCAACCTCCTTTTGACGTGCATATATAGCATTTTTTCGACAACCAAGAGTCTACAAAACTCCTGATCAGTTTCTTGGTAAATTATAAGCTGCCCCTATGAAGAAGAAAAAATTGTCTGTCATAATAGATTAAAATTAAAGCCTATTTGAGATATAGCTAGAACAAGCTAAGTGAGTACCTATCATTGCTATTAAACCACGTTTCACTATGTATATCACGGTGTATTCTATGTTCAATATAGCAATTTTTTGCAAAATATACTAAATTGAAAATAAAGAAGTTTCTCCTTTTCACCTCAAATCGCTGTCACAGGACAGCTGTATATATTTTTCATTTAATGAGAATAGACTACATTATTAATGTAGATGCCATTCTTCTTAGTACATAAACCCTAGACAAGTCCTTCCTACTTAAAATGAGTTATTTCTAATTAAGTGCAAGTAAAAATATTACGTTTTCTCCTGCTTTATCGAGTGAAGTAAGGTCTGCCTCTTGGGTGTGGCAGTTAGCCCTTGCCTGGTCCCATGAAGTGGTGTCTGTTTTGAACTGGTAGCAGTCGTATGTCCCCTGTCGCTGTACCCACCCACTCGGGCATGACAGGCAGGAACCTGTCTCATAACAAAATGAATTGGTTTGATTAGATTATATTAAATTTGATTAAATTTGATTTGATTTGATTTGTGATTTGTGATTTGGTTTTATTTTATTTTATTTGCGATTTGGTTTAGTTAGATTTGATTTGATTTGATTTGATTTGTGATTTTGTATGATTAGATTTGATTTGATTTAAATCATCAGGTTTAAATCACTTAAAACTTAGGAAATAGCTAACATTGAAAGGAATTTTTCAACTTTGACAGGATAGCCCATAAAAGCTGACAATTAGCTAATGGGGTCCACAAAATTATCAGGTCAGAGAAATCAATTACATTTTACAAGGTTAATATAGTATAGCAAACTGTCCAAAGTTTGTATGGAAAGCAGCAAACAAATCAGATGAAAAAGTCAGTGATGGTTTGAAAAAATATGAGAAAAGAAAAGTTTAAGCGAAATTTTAAAAATGTAATATTGCTGACATAGAGAACCTCCCTTTGGCAATTGGTCCACAACTTACGATTATTAAAGTTGAATGACCTCTCCATTCGATGTATACTAAAGCTAACCATTTTAGAATTGAACAGACATATTTTGTTATTATAGATTTCTTTTTAACAGGCATTCCCGTGTGATTCTTTCTGTTCAATTATATCAGAGTGAGAAAAATAGCATTTTTGTTCGTCTCTAACGAATATTTATGTTATTCAGATATGACATACATGTCGTAAAGTATTGCAATACTGAACATGGACTAGGGCTAGCTCAAATTTCGCTCAATTGCTTTATTTGATCCTTTATGTGATCAATACCGAAATATATTATTGAAAGGAAAGCATGAGGAAGATCTCCCAAACTTCGACTTTAACCTTAAGGGTTGATTTGTGTCTTAGTAAACAGTGGTTTATCACGAGGATCTATAAAACTACTTCACTTCGTCTTCACGAACGTGTTTACAATGAATATTATCGAGCAAGACAATGCTATTAAAAAATCATATTATTACCCTAGTACCATCGTGCTACTGGTAAACCTGAAATAAAAGTTTTATTGCCAATTATATTGTAAATCTCAGTACTTGAATAATGGAAAAGGGTAAAGGGCCTATGAAAAGTGTTTAAGCTTTAAATAAATGGTATAGTATAAACATAAAATGATAATTAAATGAATCTTGACTACGGCAATGCCATCCTGCCATGAACTTTTTTTATTGCAGCATTCATTGGCACACCAAAATGTGCCCATAGAGTTATTTTACAATTTAAATATTAATAAAAATTCCCATAAGCTCGGAAGTCCCTTGAAACCAAGATTTTGATAAGTCGCTTTATGTATATAACTTTTTGTTTAAATCTTTGGATTTCTATCTTGTTTTTAGTATATTAAAGAAACTTTTTATGTAAATTTTATTATTTTTGGGAAGAACCTTGATAGGTCATTGGCCTCTGTTTTTCCCACCACATTATGATTTCAATTGAAGATGTTTCATTTAAACGTTTGTTATTGTATATATGCATATAAATCGTACTTGTGTTTTTTAAAATCAGATGTGGAAATCAAACTTGAACTTGAACTTGAACTTTTGTGTTGTAACGTGGATTAATCACTTTCCAGAGGTAAAGCGAATGTGTTTCATTCAGTATGGAAATCTTCAAGGTAATTTCAAGACCAATAAATATAAGAATTCTGTCGTGGAAAACAACATGGTATGAATATCAAAATAAAATGTATACAATATACCTGAGTTGGTATCATGCATAGATTATATAATTAAAATAAGCATAAAGAAAACAAAGAGATATTTATTGTGTATGTCTGCCACAAACTTGAAATATTGTTATGCCTATAATTTTGATCCATATCTATCTATAAAGAAAGAAACAAGTGACAGAAAACAAAGACAAAAGCTAGAAATGTAAACTGTTTAAATTATTAAAGACTCTAATTGGATACTAGAGTTTTAGAAGCTAGGGAAGACAAACTTAAGAAACCTAGGGCGTGAACAAAATGCAACAGTAATAGGGACAGGGGGAGGGATCGGGAAGGAAAAGAAAGTACAAATCCCACAACCTACCTTCTTGCATGAAAAGCACCAATGCAGCAAGGCTGAAAAGAACTTTCAAGCCTGCGCCGAAAGCCATTGTAGACAATGCTGCTTTGCAAATCCGAAGACGCGTAAGCACCTCTCTCTGTTCATCCAAAAGAACTCCAGGAAACTCGAAAGAACTAAACTTAGACGTAACCTTCAATATGCATGGTCCATTTGTGAAAAGGGGGATTATTGATTCAAATACATAAAAGTTACTAACAGCAGTATACAATATCCTCCTTTTACTCTAGGTACTTTATAACAGTTTGACTTGACCGCAAAGTGCCAGACCAAACTCAACAACCTGTTGTGCGAACCTGTGTAATAAATATTAGAAGATAATCTCGAAAATCTTGCCGCAAATAGATATGATCTTTTGTAGGTACAAGGGCTAAAGTACATGCTTCTGAAATGCAACTACCGCCATGCAATCTGAATAGTGCTAATCATGGCCAAAACCAGAATTGTTTGTTTGATTTGATGTTTGGTATTGAGTAAGTGTAGCCGCCCTCTCTTTAAGCCATGTTAAAACACAGTAAATACTAGGATCGGATTTTTTAAAGACAGGAATAATGAAGCAAAATGTAAAGTTTTAGAGCAAAAAATGTTGGGACGAAGCACGATTAATCTGACAAGTGGCAACGTGTGCATTTCAGAAACATTCAATTTATTAGTAAGATATTTTGAATGATCGGATGTGTGATTTAAAGATTTAATAAAAATCTAGATGACGAACAATCTGATTTTCCAACGAGATTCAACTCCCAAATATGATGGACTTATGATCGACATTTGGGCCAAAGACGACACCCCGACTAACATGGGTTCATGTCCATATTAGGTGTGGTATAGTGGTGGTGGTGGTGTTGTGTTTGATGGTGTTGGTGTTGTTGGTGTTGTTTTGGTGTTGGTGGTGGTGAAGGTGGTGGTGCTGTATGTGTTGGTGGCTGTGGTGGTGGTGGTGTTGGTGGTTGTGGTGGTGATGTTGTTGGTGGTTTTGTTGTTGGTGGTGGTGGTGGTGGTGAAAGTGGTGCTGCTGTATGTGTTGCTGGTTGTGGTGGTTTTGGTGGTGGTGGAGGAGGTGATGGTGGTGGTGCTGTTGGTGATAGTGGGGTTGGTGGTGGTGGTGGCGGTTGTATGGTGGTGGCAGCAGTTGGGTGGTGGTGGTGGTGCGTGTATGGTGGTGCGTGTGTGGTGGTGGTGTTAGAATTGAGAGAAGACTCGATATGAGGGGCTACAAGGTCATCAAGTGTAATGTAACATTATATACTTTCATCCTAGACATGTGTTTGACTTCATTGTGAAACAAAAATTAAGTTGCATTGTACAATTATTATTATTCTAAAGGACATAATTTGTATCGAAAAGAAGCATTGATATCAATAGTGCTTTAATAACAAGACGTGTGCCTAGAAAGATTTTTTTTCTCAAACAAGTATTTTGCATATATTATCTACAGGGCTATGATGTAATGTCGCAATGTACACTATCATAATCATATTTTTTGTCGTTACATGGTACACAGCGATACATGTAAGGGGCGGGATGTGTTTAATCAGTAAATTGATTTACTTAAGCATCGATCTTTCCTCCCAGTGACCCGAAATTATGATCTTGTTGACAATAACAGGTTAATATCGTACAGTCTGCCTATTGCAGTCAACTATTAAAAGTGACCGTAGTTCCGCAAGATGACTCACAGTGAGGTATGAAAATGAATGTATGCCATCGCTTATCTAAATATTTTTCACATTTATTACTATAGATTTTTATTTTTAAGAGATGATAATATGAGAATAATAATAATCATATTCGGAAGGGCAGTCTCGTAAAAAAAATGGAGAGGGAGAGAGAGAGAGAGAGAGAGAGGGGGGGGGGGGGGAGGGGGGGGGGGAAAGAGAAAAAGAGTGTAAACGATATTATGTATAGTGTTGTAAGGTTTATAGGTTTTACACTTAAATTCGACAAATAAATTATATGAACCAAATAAGTCAGCATATATTCACACAAAATATGTTTTATTTCATTTCATCATGAAAAGAAAGTGTACAAAAAGAACTATCATTACACAGAATAAATTTACAACATTCAAAATGACACGTGAAAAGTTGTCATGACAAATCTATATCGCCTGATGAGGACGAGTTTCATTTTCAAACACCACATTTAGGAAAAACAGAGTTGAATAATTTGACTTACAGCATAGATTTTAGTAAATCGTCCTTGTACCAATACTGAACGTCTATTTAAGAGTTGATAAATTAGTGGAAGTGGTAGTAGTAGTAGTAGTAGTAGTAGTATGTAGCAGCAATCATAGTAATACTGATGTTATAACACAGAAAGAAAATATTAATCTTATAATGTTTCCCCTATGATAACGGGATAGTTTGTATATTGAGAAGAGTAAAATAACAAAGTAGAAGAAGGTGTGAATAAAACTTCATAATAAATATTCATTTCTAAGATGCATAAACAATAATGGCACATAAGTAAATAATGCTAGGAGTAAGACGTGTTTATAATCTAAAAATATACAATGTATCATTTAATATGCTTTACTCCCAGGGATGCAGGTGGTATTAATTTTAATATAATTGATATCATATTGTGTACTATATTCAACTAATAATTGTATTTTTGAAGTAAACAGGTATAAATATATCAACATTTTTGCACAATGTTCATACAAATTTAAACGGTTGACAAAAATCAACAACTTTAACATTTGTTAAACTTTGATAATCCGCTGCTTAATCTACACTATTCTTATTTCAGCTAATCAAAGCATTTTCTTTCTAATTTCTGACTTCTAACTAGTATTATGATGTAATATTCGATGAAAATAGGTAATAACTACGGCGAATCAGCTAAAATACATACATGTATGATTATGAAAAATTAATAAGTTTGAAAAACAAAATTAGATTTTAATCAAATAAAGTTAAGTATAAATATTTACATTACAACTGCATAATAAAGGGCCACCTGCTCTTCATCATAAACATGAATATAACAAATATGTTCAGCTTCAGCCTAAATGTGAATCATTGACTGAATTAGTGTGATGTCAGCCTGATTTTATCATTAATGTCTCCAAAAGCATTGCATAATTCGTCTCGACTGCAGCTCACGAGACTGACAGCTCACGAGACTGACAGCCCACAGGACCATCTCACATATATGGCCTGAAAAGTTATCTGAGGGTTCCCTAGACCAATACACAAGAGCCGACATCTCAAGGTGGTCGGTATCGGTCTCATGGGCACCCGGTCTGGTGGGCCGATGATCTACCTTGATGTTCCGATTATTCTCTCTATTTTATTTTTTCGGTCACAACAAAGCTTGTCTTGTGGTTCAGAGCAATGCAAAACGTAACTTGCTTAGGTTATCAGATAATAAGTCACAACATTGTCACTGAAAGAAAACTGATTGTTTACATATGTGTAAGTATCTGTAAATGAAAAAAAAATGTTCAGAGAGTACAAAATCAAACGTTGTGAGGATTGGGAAGATAACTGATTTTGATATTAATGAATGAGCGACCTTGGATCAATTTTGAAGCGCTGTAACTCTTATTCCACACTGGCTATTTCAGAGCAAACGAGAAAATAAACGAGATTTAAACATATGCCGATCACGATCACAAATGTCATTAATAATGTATGAATATCGATTTACAAACTGATACACATTCATTCTTAGCATTGCATTTTGAAAATCATGTAAGGCCTCTTTAAATGCAGCAGCACAAAGTTAATAAAAATGATTTTTAAATACACACGAACACGGATGGTACATAATCAAGATCCCATAAGTAGAGATGGTGATGTTATAATTTGCATAGTTCCTAGTCGAAATGCATCAACCAAAATAACTTAAATAAGTTCTATTCTTAAGAATCTAAGGCTGGAGATTGTTCAAGATTGCATGGATTTGCGACCATTCGCAGAGAACTTAAAATATGGAAGACTGCCCAGGACTTCGGCATTATACCTGGTACTTGACGAATCATTTCTCACCCGAAACGCCTCTAGAAATGTGATTTTCACTAGGTTAAGGATATATAAACTTACGAAAGAAGCAATGTTTAGTGCCATCATTTGCTAATATCGATCGTCGAATGCAGCATAATGGCAACATGATATGGAAGATGTGTATTATTTCAGTTTTATCAATACAGGTGTCTGAACAAACATGATAGTAATTTAATGATAGCATTTTTGGTTACTAATTCCCAAGTCTTTTATCACGAACGAGTTATGTTTTGCATAGAATACCCCCTTTTCTCCACAGTACACACAACGGTCTAATATTCACATATTCACAAAAATGCAATATAAATATAAAAACGAGCACCATTTTCAGATAAAGTCAGTTTGTAAAATAGAAATGATCAATTCCATTATGAAGAGGCACATCATTGTTTCCACGTTGAGTAAGAACTGTGATCGGCATGAGCGCAGAAGACGGACTTTTGAACAAAAAACTTCCCATCTTGATCAACCGTAAGGGGCGCATTTATAAGCGGTCCTTCGACTTTGGCGGTAACCAACTTGATAAATGATCCTGTATGAAGAGAGAGGGAGAGAGAGAGAGAAATTGATAATTTCCTTAACATATATCATTGATCGTAGATATGCATACGATATATATATATATATTTGATAAATAAACTTTAACTTTTCTTGAATGGACTTTAGCAAGCAAAATTGTACACATGTTGAACCGAATTTGAGTTGTGATCTACAATAAATATTTGTTCTATCCTTTACGCTAACCAGATGTGGTGCAATCATTCAGAATTGGAGAAACTAATAAAGACAATAGGGAAAACATATTACTTACAAACGATACTTTGGGGTGACACTGACTTGCTTTATTATTACTTTTACCGCTTCTATAGGCTTTCCATGGTGCCAAAAAGTATTAATATTATTTTTTTCATATCATCATTTTCTACAAATTTACTTTTATATATCCTTAACCCATTTTAATGTAAAGGGTTATATGAACATTATGATTTTACCTTGTTGATTCGCATGTTTTTAAACCATATTGTCCACACCGCACTCTGTACTTCTGTATAGCTGGCTTGATGTATGTGAAAGTGTACGTCTCTATAAACGACTGCAGGGGACACCATTGTCTCCTGTTATATGAAATAAGAATAAACACATTTCTATTAAAGGGAAATCCAACCCTGATAACAAACACCTCTAAAGGAATGGAGAAAAATTCAGAAAAGTTGACTGGTGAAGTTTGAGCGAAAACTGACAAAAGAAAAAGTAAGTTATACATTTTCAAAGTTGTACTCACTATTGCCTATTTGAGCTTAATTTTTGCATGGATGTAGTGTTCCTATATTTCAAAAATTTATGCTGTACATTTCTTATTATTGGTCCGATTCATTTCAAACTTTCATCGTACTGTTTCTTTGATTTTTGTTTTCATTCAAATGAACTTGAAATGAACTATTATGACTCTAACGAGGCTTGGATTTGTCCTTTAATTCCATATTCAATGTTTTAACTTCCTTTTTGTTAGTATAACTTGGCAGAAAATGGCCTATGTATGGCGTGTGTTAATGTGGACTGCTGCACTATCAGTGAATAAAAGAAATAGTCTTAATATTCCGCCGTGTAGCCTAATAGTTTCATTATCAAAATGACATTGCATTCATGTTTCATTCATTATTGGACCTACTGTTATCGTCCTTACTTTCATCTCATGCTCGATATGCTTTTTATAATAATGTACGGATGAAAATCCGCATTTCAACCATGAGATAAATAGTAACAAAGTATAGTTTAAAGCGTAACACTTTTACAGCATTATTTTGATGGAAATTCAAATACTCAAATAACAGAGCTTTAATGACGTCACTCGTTGCCTACCTCCTCGTCGTCGTCGACGATGACACCACGTGACGTCCAAATGATGAACATGAGTTTTGGCCAATACATTGTGAATAGCCTGGACAACCTCCTGGGCATTTACCTGGAAAAAGAAATAAAGTAAAAATATAATTCAAATTATTTCATTTATTCCATTCAGACAGACACTTTTATAAAGTTATCATTTTTCCATCTTTGTTTATTCAGGTATTTGACAATGTTTCATCATTTGCAACTGGAAAAACAAATTACATTCAATATAGATAGAATCTGATATATAAACGTGCCTACAAGGTCGACGAGATCGAGATCGAGATCGATAGCCCATGAGACCAACCACGCCAGTCGCAATGGCCTTCTGAAAAATTATTAGAGGGTTCACTAGATCGACGGACTACGAGACTGACATTTTGGTCTCGCGAGACTTGTGACAATTTCTTTTGAGGGTTCACTAAGATTTTGTCAGTCAACTGGGATTTCTCGATATAACATTAGAGATACATTTTTGCGCCTCGGAATAGAATTTCTAGGTAGACGGCGCTATAGAAATGCCTATTATAATATTAATAAATAATATGATATTTATATAAGTGTAAAATGACAAAAAAGGGGACGAATTTTAAAAGAAGGTTTGGGTGAAGATGTCATTCTTACTTTGTCGACACAAAGCACCAGTGTATCCTCTCGGGCAGGTACAGGTATCTGGACCAGAACATCTCCCGCCATTTAAACACGAGTGTCTGCAGTAAGCTGGAAGATTAAACAAACATTATTATAAAGTTATAAAACAAACATATTAATACATCGCTATAAGAAACCCAGTACAACCTCCATACATACACACACGGTTCTAAGACACCTACCCCCTGGACAACCACACCCGGAAAATTACCCCCTAGGACAACTACCCCCGGACAACTATCCTAGGGGGTAGTTGTCTAGGGGTAGTTGTCCGGGTGGTAGTTGTCCGAGGGGGTAGTTGTCCGGATAAGACACACACACACACACACACACACACACACACACGTCGTGAGTAGCCAAATAATGACGTAGACATTTATTAACAAATATATTCGCTATGTACATAATTTTAAATTTAGGTAGCCTATATAAAAATCATCCTAAAGACAAATTGCGATGAATAATGAAACCTTTGACAAGAATTATTATTTTTTAATCTCTGTCATGTTGGCAATTTGATGACACCAGATATTGTATTGTATATTGTATTGTGTAGTATTTTAGGTTATAGACAGGTATAATGTTTGAAAACCTGAACCAGTTGATAGCCAAAAACAAGCTCTTTAAGAAAAGTAGATAATAAACAGAAATGGAGGGCCGTGACAGTCGATGTCTGTAACAGACCTTGCACATGATGATAATGATAATAATGTTTGATAAATCATACCACTGCTACACATTTAGTACAGATAGTCTGAAATACATAACTTTAAAGAGAACTGAGGGATTCAATAATGATAATATCTACTGACCTATTTGACATCCCATACCCCTGTAGCCTGCTGGACATCGACAGAATCCTGCTCGTATACAAGCACCGCCATTCTCACACGGAGGACTACATTGAGCTGTGAAAGTGAACCAAAGAACATTTCATTCATAAATGATACAGAGAAACGTATTATATCATATGTCCTTAATATATTCAAAGTCCATTCATCAAATTGTTTTCTTTGTTCATATTTTCACTACCTTTGTTGTTATATCAACTTAGTCAACTTTGCTCATCGTTATATTTAATATTTTCTCATTCCTGATCTTGTCTATTTGCTTGTTTTTTGTCTTTCTCTTTTCTTGATAAATATTTTTATAATTTTGAAAGAATTGTTTATTTCAATCAGTAGAAGCCCTCTGTTACATATTAGATACAATTGCTTATCGAGGTGTTCTTCTGATTTACCCTTTACATTTATAACCATGTTAGATGTTTATGACCAATGAGACGTAAGAATGGAACTAATAAATAAAAATAATCGATCTTAGACCCACAAACTTAGACTAATTCTTATTTAGAAATCCACAGGGCAAGACACGTACGTTTACTACAGTCTGGTCCTGAATATCCGGTGGGACAGTGACATCGGTCTGGTGCCACACACGTTCCGCCATTCAAACAACCAGACCGACAAATCGCTGTATAGATTAAAATACAGGAAAAAGAAAGGTACATAATAATAATAACATGTTTTAAGAATAATTGTTCATGGCCCCTACGTATTTAATGTTAAATCAAGGAGAATTCTTTTCTCCTGATGAAGACTTAATCGAGGAGAAAAGAATTCTCCTTGATTAAGTCTTCATCATTTGGGTTTATAGTTTGTATATTAACATCGCTGCAAGATAAAGCATGCTCCGTACGCTTGTGACAAACCTAAAATGCATCGGCCAATTCAAATAATATTTCAATGATTGTAAAAGGAAAAAGTCCTGAAAACGTTAACGTGATAAAATAGGTATCAATTAATTTTCTCATTAAACATGACAATATAGTGTCCCCCAAATCGCAATGATTTATGCGATGGTATATGAGGGAGCAAAGTAGAAGGATTGGGGATACCGTGAACAGGGAGGTGGGAGGACACCTCCCTGCCCTTACCAATTTTTGTATTTTTTAAGTGTGTGAAAAATGGATTTGACCCGATTTATGTTCCTTGAGAATGTGACATATATAAATCTTGCATTTAAAGAGAAGGTTGAGTTCTGGGAAGAGGTGAAAAATAATTTGTGAGCATTACTCATTCTTATTATGCAAGTATGGAAGAACATCAGTTAAGACATGTTCCCTGAAAAGCATGGCTCTTTAAATGCCTTCATATTCTAAATATGCATGTAACATCGTAAAAATCGGGGGCCGGCTTTTTACGCCACGTGTTCGTGTAGTCCCATATACATCTTTCTGTGCAAGTGTTTGTAACTTTACCAAGACTTGGCCGAATTTCTTATCATTTTGATGATTCCAGAACCTTGCAATTCACACAAATTCTTATATGCTAGATGATCAACCTTTTCTGGTCGGTTCCACACCGTTTCTTTCACAATGCAATCGCATGACCAGAACTCAACTTCATCTTTAAAAGTAGTCAACAAAGGCACCAATTCGACCAGTCTATCCTTCATTCTTGAGTTACAAAAAACACAAAAAAACATAAAAATTTGAATAATTCAGTTGTCAACTATAACTAGCTTACGTTTACTGCATGAAGGACCAGTATATCCCTTAGGACAGACACATCTTCCAGGGTGGATGCATCGTCCATTGTTCTGACATGGAGGGTTGCAAAGAGCTGTGAAGAAAACAAAACATAGCAAAATAGAATAAAATAACCATGATAAAGTATATAATAGTCATCGAAACAACGAGGGCAAGAAATTGAAATGGAATTATATTGTATTTCTATGTCGCCATTGCAGTATTTTGCATTATTTAAATATAATAGCATTAACTGAATATAGTGCCACTAAAGTTTCATTCTTCTTTGTATTAATAGTGAGATTTGAAAAATTGTTTTATCAAGCCTGCCGATTGACAGGTTTGAAACACTTCTTTTCATACTGTTTTCAAGATGTTAAAAATACGGAAATAATTTTTTCTTCAATGACTATTTACCAAAACATTTCTTCATATTAACATCACTGAAATAAGGATCTTATGTGTTAATGTGTGGTATTCATGTTTTAACCTGTCCTGATAATATATACTGAAACGAACAGGAAACAGTCACACTTTTTTTACTTTCAACTTACGCTCACAAAACGGGGGTAAGTGACCATATGGGCAGAGACATTTGTTCTTCCCAACACATCTCCCACCGTTCTTACATGAATGCTGACAAAGCTCTGATGATAAAAATAAAACAACATGCAGCAAACTTATAATAAAATGGATGGAGAATGAATGAACAACAAAAAAATAAGTGGAAGTAACTGAAAAAATGTCAAATTATAAGAAGAAATATGGAAATGGATTGCAAATCATTACAAGCAAACTATTGATGCTGAGCCGAAAATTATGACATATTTTAAGTATACAATATGTCCTTTCTAAATGTGCCCCATGAAATATATTACTGTAATCAGTTCTTTCTCCTTGATGTCAGAGGAAAGAGTATACTTCGACATGAACAAGTGGAAGATATAAGAAAGAAATACAAATACTTTAAATGAAAGTATCATCATAATGAAAGAGAGAGAGATAGAGAGGGAGAGGGAGAGAGAGAGAGAGAGAGAGGGAGAGAGATAGGGGTGGGGTGAGGGGGTGAGAACGAGTAAACTAGATAGAGAAGTGTTTTAAGGCCCGGTCACACAGGGAGGACGCATGGGGAACGCACGGCCAGCGCATTGGAAATTTACAATTTGGGCCAGTGCGTTGTCGTTCGCTAGGCGTGCGTCATCATTCGTTACTCTTCGTCGAGCGCGCTGTGTGCGTCGGGTTTTTTTTAGCATGCTCAAAAGTGTGCAAGACGCATGAATGTACATGCCAAAGGCACGCCAGACATGCGTGGAGCGCGCTAGACCAGCGCCAGACATACGCGGAGCACACGCCCTGTATACGCACAGCGCGCTAGCTACACGCTGTGCATTTTTTGTCAGCTCGCTAGCTTTTCCAAAATCATGACAAAAGTTAGGCACACGGCCTTTTCCGATTTCCAATGCGCTGGCCATGCGTCGTAGAACGCGGTGCATGCGTGGACCATTCGTCCAGCGCGCTGGCAACACGCTATGCATTAATGGTGTCAGCTCGCTGTAGCTTCGACAAAAGTTGGGCGCACGACAACGCACTGGCCAAAATTGAAAATTTCCCATGCGCTGGCCGTGCGTTCCCCATGCGTCCTCCCTGTGTGACCGGGCCTTAAGAAAGAGTGGTGATAGAGATGAAAATAATTTGTAGTTGTTTGTAGAGCGCCAGTATACCTGGCGGATACCGGCGCTATATAAATGTTCATTACTATTGATATTATTATCATCATATAGCAAGATATTATAAGCATGAATTATGGACATTGAAAACAATGAGATAGAAAAATAAAAGACGAGAAAGAAAAGGAAGATTATATCTCACCTGTCTCACACACTCGCCCCTCATATCCAGCAGGACATTGACACACACCTCCTGGCATACACGTTCCTCCATTCAGACATCCACCAATACAGTAATCTAGAATTAAAGAAAAATAAATCAGAGCTAATCAATGATAAATAAAAGAGAAGGATGTTTTTATTAATTAATGTGTAATTATCGAACAATACCTTACTTAAACTATCAAATTATCACATATTTACTATACATGAACGACAGCACTATAAGAAAACCCTTTTGAACTGGTCCCAAAACCACACCTTACATTATACTACTCAGAATAAACAATTCTAAACATTGGTTTGTCCGTTTCTTCGCTCGAATTTTTCAACGGTATCTACGTTAGTGATCATGTAAACACATTTTGTTGGAGGTAAAATGTCTAAAATAAATAACGAGAGTAAGTCGTCACCATAACGAGATTGAAAGGAAAAATGGAGATACTGATGAGAAATTACAATTGAGGATAAGCTGATGATAGTAGTAGTAGTAGTAGTAGTAGTGGTAGTAGTAGTATTAGTATTAGAAGTATTAGTATTAGTAGTAGTGGTAGTAGTAGTATTAGTATTAGAAGTATTAGTATTAGTAGTAGTAGTAGTAGTAGTAGTGGTGGTAGTAGTAGTAGTAGTACACTCTAAAAAAAAACTGCTCAATTTGAGTCAAAATGTTACTCTTTTGGGTGGTCAAAAGGAAACCACCCGACTTTTGAGTAAACTTTACTCAGCATGTGTTGAGTAACAAATCTACCCATCTGTTGAGTAAAAATATTACTCAATAAAAGACTAAATCTCTACTCAGTTTGAATGAGTCAACCTTTACTCAATATTTACTCTTTGTTTAGCGGTTTCCTTTTTTACTCAGTACTGGGTAGAAACGTAATCAACTCATGTCGAGTAAGAAACTGCTCATGAGTTGAGCCAAATTTTACTCAATTAACGAGTACATGTTTTGACTCAAATTGTTTGAGCGATTTTTTTGCTCAAATATTGAGTATGTTTTCTGGGTAACGCTTAGTTACTCAATCAATATTGAGTAAAAACATGTACTTAGTTAAGTACATGTTTTTACTCCATTAGGGGTGCAAACCGATGCAATAGCAGCACCTTTAGGGGTTCAATCCTGCACCCTTTAAAAGGTGCAATCCTGCACCCATCATCGAGGAATACTGGTAAAATTTGCTCGTACACAAATACATATTAAACATGCATGATGTTTCTTGGTTAGTAATCATATAATCAATATATCTATTGCTAAAACGTGAATGTAATTGTAACATGATCAGACAAAATAATATATTGGTTAATGATTGCCAAAGGAAAATACAAAATCAAAAAATTGATGTGCATTGTCATAATTTGCTTAACAAATCATGATAAATGTATTTTTATGTGAACACGTGGAAAGTAATCATGAATATGCATGAAATATGCAAACTTTTATTTTGCACCCTCTTTTGGTCGATAGGGTTCATTTTTGTGGGAAGGGTGCAAAATCTTATATTGCACCCTTTTTTTTAACCCCTTTTCCTTCAATAGGGTTCATTTTTATGTAAAGGGTGCAAACTCTTATTTTGCACCCTTTTTTGCACCCTTTTTTCTAAGAGTGTATCTCAGTTCTTTCGCATCTTTCTGCACGCGCACATGCATGCACGAGACATGCACATGACGGACAATGAAAGAGTACAAAATATCCAGTTCCTTAGGTAGACAAACGAACATACAGCTGCTATTATGTAAAAATGTGTAGAACAGGTGTCACATGCATATTGACAGCTAGTTGCACTTTCCATCGATCCAACTTTCACTCGCACCCGAGGTAAATTCGGGTAAGAGATCAATGTTGATTTATTTATCACCTGCCGCAGCGTAATACCCAACCGTAGTTTACTCAAAATTGATACAAACGAAATTCGTACTCAATGTTGAGTCATTGATTTACTCTTTATCGAAGGTAACAAATTACTCGGGTGACGAGTACCACTAAAATCAAGGTCTTACTCCAGCTTGAGTACTGAATTGCTCATTTTTTTTGTTACTCAACTTGTTTTACTCGGCACAATTTACTCGCTGACATTAAGAGTGTAGTAGTAGTAGTAGTAGCAGTAGTAGCAGCAGCAGCAGCAGCAGCAGTAGTAGTAGTAGTAGTAGTAGTAGTAGTAGTAGTAGTAGTAATAGTAGTAGTTATTTTCCGTATAAAACACCAACATGAAATATACAAAGCGAAAATACATTCATAATAAATACATACGGATGGATAGCCCTGCTCAACAATAACAACAACATGATATCGCTGGTTTTAAAGGGGTCCATATTTACTATACATGATGACTTTGCTGATGGTAGTGAATGATCATGTCTGTGACGATGATATTGATGAAGATAAAGATAAAGGCGATGATGACGATGACAATGAATAAAGAGATATTGATGATAAACAAAATGTAGATGACTTACTTGGACATTCAGAGAGTCCCTCACACCCCCTTCGCTCGATCATCAACTGGCCGACCTTGGTACAGTTCTCATGCGAATCGATGTCTCTGCAGATGGCCACTCGAGTCTCGAATCCTGAACCACAAGTCTGGGTGCAGGCACCCCAATCGCTCCACCTAAGTACACCTGTTATAGTCAATTCGAGAGAGAGAGGGAATGAATTCTAAATTCAGTATCCTAAATTTCTAAAAATGGCAAATACATTATATTGCGGTTAAATTGGCGTGATGTATCAAAATAAAATACTTTAGCTTGATATTTTCTCTCAAATGTCTCTTTGTCTAACTTTTCTTTCACTGCTTCTTATTCGTTTGTCTCTTTTTAAATGTTTCACTACAGCTTATAGTAGCCGATGCCTGTTCGATCCTCCTTCTCTAGGAGAACCATCTACGATTTAAATCGTTACAAACCTTTGCAATCATTGTTGAGTTGACATGATTTATGTTGCGCTGCAATACCGCGTCCGGTTCTGCAGTCGGGCAGCTTCGAATCTGGGCTGCATACTGTGTACCGGTACCGGGTCCCCGAACCACAGGTCCGACTACATGTGCTCCATGTGGACCAGTTCGCATTTTCTAGTCATGTACAAAAAAAAAATAGGCCTATGTTTCATGGGATCATAAAAAATATTTCGAACTCGATTACGGAAAGGGAAATACCCGGTCAACACGGTATTAAAAATATAATTTTCAAAAATAAGATGTATGAACGGCTTTCATTTGGCTCTATGCCAATGCATCTGGACAAGGCACTTCCATAGGAAGCGAAAATATCATGTATTAATTCTGTAAAAAAAATTGTTCAACAGCGTCGAGATATCACATTGTTAGCGTATATCTTATAAAAAAAAAGGGTTATTATACGGTGGTACAGGTAAAATATAAATTTACAGAGAAAAGATAAACTTCCAAATTTACGCCTACATTACATTATTACCAAAATAAATTTATTGTCTTTACATTACCTAATACATTTTTGTGATATTTTAAAAATGTAATTATTAGTTTATTCATCCATTTTCCTTGGTAGGGGACCTTATTCTTAAAACCGAGAAACACATTCGATGTTATGTACTTGGTTATAAGATATTGATTCAAAGTTACATACCATATATACATATACATACCATCAATTGGTCTACCATGGTAGATAGATGGACGTTGAGCAATAGCAGGGGCAACAGGTGAAAGGGCATCACCAGGGGGAGCAGGGATCAGACCGTCATTCAGTGGTCTTTCACTGTTATTATCAACGTCCGCATCACCAAGGATATCATTCATCTCCGACGTCGACTTCATAAAGACAGTCGATGTCGTCGACAATGGGGTGGTTGTTGGTATAGTTCTTGTTGTCGGCACTGAGGTGGTTGTGGTGGAAGCTGGTGTTGTTGTCGTCGCGGGAGTGGTTGTCATCGTTGTTGTAGCTTTGGTAGTTGAAGGAACAGTGGTTGGTTTGTTTGTCGTTGTCGTCATCTTGTGTGTTGTTGATTCCGTGATCGTCGTAGGTAAGACCTTGACCTGCGAGTACGCGCTTGGTCCTCGCCGCGATGTCGGCGTCGTGGGTGTTACCGTCCAGTACCTTGAGTCATCCGAACGTTCAGCTGAACTCCGACTGCTGTCATCATATACAGGTTCGGCTGTCGCATGATTGTTGTCAATGGGCGATTCGCTCTCCACTCCAAACTCTACCGATTCCTCAGGATCCATGATGTCTTTGATTACATCACTGTTTGACTGGTTGGCTCCAAATGCTCCATTGTCCAACTTCACCGTCAATTTCGTCAACGCAGGAGTTGATGTTCTTGGTCTTTGAGTCATAATCTGAAGCAGAAAAGAAAAAGAACACAGCATATTCCAGTTTGCTTCATCTGCTTCTTCCTTCATAATTTCTTAGCTCTCATTGTTTTCTTCTAAGAAATATCTTTCTACATCTTCTCTCTCTCTCCCTCCCTCTCTCTCTCTCTCTCTTCATTGGTCAAACTTGATCATCATTTTTGTTAAAGCTGGAGGTTTTTTTCCCTTCATTGAGTCATATTTTGTACTGTGTGTTTATTATTGGCTCTAATGTTTTATTAGTGTATCACACCTGTCCAAATAAATTATTGATCTTGAAAACTTAATAAAATTGTATTTCTAAATCATGTTCGACAATGAATTGCAATAAAAATTGTGTTTCTCTGCAGATATAAGGATTCTATTAAATAAACAGAAGTTACTTTACCTTTTTAGTTATCCTTCGAGTGGTCGAAGGCATAGTCGGAGTCATAGTCGAAGACCCACTCGCTTCGTGCAGTCCATCCCCAGTGATGTCGGGTTCCGAAAACGAAGGAAACACGGTGTCCATGGGCATTGACGTAGTCGTTTCCGTGTCCATGAAGAGGAATGGGTCGAAGAGGTTGTCGTACACGAGATCGATGTCGAAGGATGTATCCATGCCGTTCACTGAGCTCGAGGGCGGCGCGGTCGATGCAATGTCTAGCAGGTCGGGAAACTGGGAGGGAGTGAATAGAGAATCCAGGTTAAACTCCACCTGCTGCACAATTTTGATGACTTAAAGGGAATATAGCTTGGAAAATACTGGTTAACGCCATCTACGTCATCTTTTGGACAACTGCACGTAAACGAATGGACTTGATTAATAGTAGTCAGCGACTTGATCTCTACATGGTCAGCGTTCGCGAAACAGACCGAACTTCTCCTCACGCTCCGGTTTTGCGTATGATGCACGCACGTGATTGCTGCGGTCGCGTCGTCCGTAGTCGTATAGCTGATTGGCCCCTGACAGGCTACAGGAAAGACGCGTAGTCTCGTCAGGCTACACTCCCTTTAACAATTCATGGTTAAGTAATATTCATTAGGGATAAATAAATGTGGATTCCCCATGATCATGCCTTGGAGAAAAATGTGTTTCTAAATTTAAGAGTACGTTTCCTGACGAGATGAAGTAAGCTCATACGACTATAATAACACTACAGTTTTCATCTGGTGACTAGCATCTGTTCTTATCATATCTTTCCAGGTTTTAGAAGGTGTTATAGATGGTCTTGCAAATTGAGGGTCTCGTTGACTGACTAGATAGTTTCTAAAAGCTCATAAGTGTGCATAAAAGTAGACCATTTGATTGTGCATTTAATGAGCAACTTAGCGGCAAAGAAAGAAAAGGAGACTCACATGGTATTAAATAACACAAGAATTAGGGAGCGATATATTTAGATAGAGAAAGAGAGAGAGATATAGAGAGAGAGAGAGAAAGAGAGAGAAAGAGAGAGAAAGAGAGGGGAAGAGAGGGAGCGGGGGGGGGGGGGAGGGGGGAGGGGGTCTGGGGGTCATGGAGCAGGGCAGAGAGAACGATAGAGCATGCGATCATACTTACACGTCTTTCTTGCGGCAGGCACTGAAACTCTGCGGTTGACGAGTCATTCGTCAAAACCAGTTGATCGATATCACCCTGAAAATTAAATTCAAATATTTAAATTGCAACATATCGACTTGTCAATTCAAGTTCAAGATAATATCAGATAAAGATAAGGACTCTTCTGTAATAGCATAATCATGAAATTAAGTAATATTTTATTATCCACGATTTTCGTTTTTACTAACTTTTCTTTGACGCCATTAAATTTCATTATGTTTTGAATTGTCATTAATATTCCACTGCTTATTTCTGGTTGTATATTGCAGTATAGATCACCAATGACATCGAGGAAATGTGATATTTACCTCAAAATAAGCACTATTGACTGCTCGATATCCACCACCGATTGATGCCGTACCCGTAGCATCAATCGTTGCTCGATCGCTCCTCTCAATATTGAGTGTGAACACTTGCTTACAGTCTGCAATCAACGTTACTGTATGCTTGTTAACACTAAAAGCCATGTAATGCCAACTTCTATCCAAAACATAATCGGTGAAATTGAGTTCCTTGAGCGTCCCGTCCAGTTGACTATACACGACGGAAGGGGTCTTTGCGAGTTTGATGCCAAATTGAATGTTGCCACCAGCGTCGGTGAAAAGCAAGGCGTACGGATCTCCGCGGTTTTTGCGTAGCGTAACCTTGGGTTTGACGGTGAGGAGGACGGCGAACTGGTGCGGGAAACTCTTGCCGTAGATCTCGCTGGTCGGAACACGAAGCGTTCTGGCTTGATGCGTGATTCTGTAAGCTGTCCACCGGCTTGGAGCCCGTCGAACCCCGGGAGGAAAGTCATCAAGATGAAGGATCTTCTTCATGTCTTTCACATCTGAGAAGCGGGAAAGAAAAGAAAAAAATGGAAAGAAGATAGCGAAAAGTTTGTGAGAACAATGCAAATTCGATACTTTAAAAAGTCTAATATTGTGGATGACGTGTTCCATAAGTCGACAGAAGCAGCTAAAAGGTTAAGAGAACACCAAGTATTATTCCCTCCCTTTAACAATAGAATTTAAGTTTGAAAGTAGGCTTCAGTCCAACAAAGTCATTATTCTTAACGAGATAATTCTTAAAGTCATCCGGATCTTGCAAAAGTTTATGATGTCCATTTTTGGGTGTGTTAAGTGATTTTGGGTTTTTGTTAAGTTAATATAAACATATGAGGTTAAATGATGTTTCGAACTATCGTCGACAAAGAACTCTGTCTAATTTAATTTTAGTTTGATACAGGAACATAATCATTTATATAAAGCAATTCATCGAATGAGTGACAAACAGAAATAATTCAATCTATCAGCAACCGTAGCAGGAAAGATAGGCCTATCTATATCAGAAACTGTGATTTTAACATAGAACAAAAACAAAACGCCATTCTGTTAAACCTTTTTTTATCAGCTGTTCAACTTTTTGAGCAACTTCCAAATTGTGGATAAGTATCTATAGGCCTACAATTTTAATGTTGCAGTTTATTGCGGAAGGGTCCATGGCTTTACAAAGCATTATGAGAAGTATTTTTATAACCAGCTCCCCATTCGGCGCACCTCTCCTCCCTACAAAGAGTTTTGGTCAAAGAAATATTTTCCCAGGGAATTTTATAAATAAGCATCATGTCTGAGTACTATTCAATCAATATTGATCGGACAAATTATTGTTCTCATACACGACGCAAACGTCATAATCATATACTTTGAATGAAACGTCATGTCATATATTGTTTACAATTTATTTTTTATTTAATGATATTTCATTTACGGATATCTTATTTTATACCGTTGCACAATCTTTCAATAATTCGGACAAAATTAATCGTAAAATATTTGTTTTGTTTTGAATATCATAATTATGTCTGGCAAATATAAAGTTCAAGCTCGAGTCAACTAAATTTCCCGCGTAAAAAGAAAGAGGAAGTGAGCTCCAGTCGAAATTGGTCATAATACCCGTACTTCCATCCTCTCCAAACCGACTTTGACTGTACTTTCGACATGTTCGAGTTAAATGGTTTTGTTGTTATTGGGCTCTTATGAGATGTTTATGAATTTAACAAGGTAACAGAAATTGACACCAACAAAACAAATTGAAACAGTTTTCTCAACCACTTATTTCCACCTGGTTTGTTCATCACGCGATAGAGGTGTATCAATTGATGTAAATGGGATCTAAAGTTCGCAGACTGGTTAATTGACCTACTGTATTGGGGTGTGGGAAAGATCTATTTTTCAACAACAAATGCTATGTTGTTATTTTATCACGAGGTAAGTGGAGAGGTGTGGGTTGACTTGACTGTTTTCATGTTTTTTTTAAGCGAGGGAAAGTAGACAAGAGTTAGATAATGTAGGGCCGACATGAAGAAGGAGAAAGGGAAGGAGAGCAGGGAGAGAGGGACAGAGAGAGAGAGAGAGAGAAAGAAAGAGAGAGAGGGAGAAGGGAAGAAATAAGAGAAGAGAGAGAGAGAGGGAGAAAGGGGGATACAGAGAAATAAAGAGTGATAGAGAAGTGGAAGGAGAGATAAAGATAGGAAGAGTGAGAGAAAGAGACCGAGATATTGGAAAATGAAAGAAAAAGAGAGAGAACAAAATATATATATTAATGGACAAGAGAGAAGAAAGGAACAGACGGACAGTGAAAAAAATTACATATTTAACATTTTTATTTCACCTTTTCTTCAAAAAGCTTCTTTGATGTATTTATCATAAATATACAAAATTTGTGATCATATTAAGTTTGACTAATAAGGTCAGCATGAACCAACTAACACTGATACGGCGTTGTTAAGTTGTTAAGTGCCAAGAAAAAATATAAACATGACTATTATTTCATATAATTTGTGGTTCATGAAGATTGTCAAAATAAACAGTTTGATGGGTGAATCACTTGTTGATGTTTTCAGCTTGGGGTAACCCCAATCTCTCCGACATCTCATTGAACTCTCGTTCCAACAGTGTTTCGTACTTTGAGAGATCATTAGTACCTCTCCTTCCTCAAAACAAGGTCGCGGGGGTTCAGACTTTAGCCCAAAACTTGACACATTCAGTTCCACCCGACGAGAGGACTATCAGTCAGTGAGAATCATCAAATTGACATCATTCGAGGTGAAAATGTTTATTCGAAGAGATACCCATGAGTAACGTTTATTTCATCTGTTCACGTGTGGTGTCTGGAAGAGGGAAGGTTCAACTTGGGGTTACGACGTCGTACAGAAGAACTTTGGAACTTCTATCTCAAGGGCATAATGATTTCAGATTGATTCTTCTCAAATAAATGAGAGTATCACTGGTGGCAAAAAGTACAAGTTGATGGTTGTGGTGGAATTAGTAAAGGTGGTTGTGGTGATGGTGGTAGTAGTGATGGTGGTGGTAGTGGAGGTGGTAGTGGTGGTGCTGGTGGTGTTGGTGATGGTGGTGGTGGTGGTAGAGGTGGTGGTGGTGGTGATGGGGATGATGTTGGTGGTGGTGGTAGCGGTGGTATTAGTGGTAGTGTAGGTGGTGATGGGGTGGTAGTGGCGGTGGTAGTGGTGGTGGTGGTGGTGGTGGTAGAGGTGGTGGTGGTGGTGGTGGTGATGGTGATGATGGTGGTGGTGGTAGAGGTGGTGTTAGTGGTAGTGTAGGTGGTGGTGGTGGTGGTGGTAGAGGTGGTGGTGGTGGTGGTTGGGTTGATGATAAGGGCAATTTCAATACCCTATACATCATTTTCGGATTATATACCATTTCATTGTCATGTTCACACATTTCAATAGGCGAAGCTCAAGGCAATCAAAATGTTCTCAGGTTGATTTCTTGAAAGTCTTTGCGATCAGAAATAGGTCATGTTCCGGTCATGCTCCTATTCATGCATTACGCCACGCCATTCACCCCCTATCACTTTCTAGTACAGTCAGGCGTGATGTTTGGAGAATACATGCATGGAATTCATCGCTTCCGAGGGGAGTGATACCACCGCCTAAGCGACAATGCTATCTTCTTACTGAGAGGGGGGGGGGGGGGATGCCTTGTGATGACGGTGAGGAGGTGGTTGGTGATGGCCGGTGGTATCCAGATATCCAGCGGTAGCAGAGTGACGATCGGGGTGACGAGTGAGATCGCGATAGAGTTGACGTTGAATTTGACGGTGATGACAGGGATAATGCAATGACACCGGTCTCATTAAAATGGTAATTAAAGTTGTGCTATATGTCTTGCTAAGATCATAACCATGTTGGTGGTGGTGATGACAGCATGACCAATATTTTAATGGAGAAGAAAGGGCAACACCCCCAAAATGTTATTATGTAATTAAGGAGGAGAGGAAGATCATAGGAATTGAGACGTCAAATGATGCAGCAGTCTAACATGAATGGATAATTGCTGCTACATTAACAAATTATTACATAAACTGTCGAACCCCCCAATCGAATTTTATTCTAAAGCATTGTTTCTCATATCTTTTGGATTGCATCAGAGCCGACAAGAATATCATTCCACGTTTTCGTAATCAATACTCGAAACTAAAAAGATAAAGAGTATATATTGATTCCTTTTTGTTTGGTGTAAGAAAACATAGCCACCTAGCTCTATTTCTCTTACATGAAACCATGATCTCGGAATGGTAAATCGATCACATCCGTTCCATAGGATACCATTACAGGTATCACTTTAGCTACGCAGATCACCATGGGAGACAAAAAAATAGGTTAGACGGGTAGGGCTTCGACGCGACATTTCCTTCAAAACTAGGGTTTACAAACCTCGGAAATTATTTTGACATTTACAATTCCCTTTCCCTTTAGTATATCTTTGTGCAGACATCGAAGAGTAAGGGCATTGTTTGAACTCACCTGAACAGTCGAAGTTGTTGCATTGTCGTTTCTGTTTGGCATCTCCCTCGCATGCATTGGGAACATCACGAACGCACACTCGACGTCGAGTCTGGTGTCCAGCTCCACATTCCTTGGTACACGATGACCACGACGCCCATGGTCGCCAACCTAGATGGGAGAAATGACAAGAGAACATAATAAATCAGAAGGAAACGTCTAAAGCAAAAGAAAACAAATTAAAAACAAACAAACAATAACAAACATAGAATCCATGAGAAGGAAATAGCAGTGATGTTCATATGAAACAACATGGCAATGTCTCTAATATAAAATCAAATGATACATCATCACAAAAGACATTTACGGATCACACAGTTATACATGTATATTTGACGGAAACTATATACCAATAGGACCGCATTCTAATGATTTAGTTATACTCGACCCTGGTTATAAAATCACGTTTAATAAAAGGAAAACTTAGCCCTCATAATAACTTCCTTTATTAAATCCGATTTTGAACGGAAGCGTCGTTTTAAACTTTTTAGAATTCAGGCCATAAAGTTTTTTGAAAATATCAAACAATTGTAAAAGGGATACGTCATGATTACTGACCTAACATCAAGGATATATCTAACATATTGTATACCAATTGCCCTCCTTTATTAAACCACCCTCTCTTAATCATCTTTTTGCTTTCTTTTCCCATTAATGAATCATATTTCCAACAAAATTTATTTAAAAGTGGTGCCTGGAGCTCAAAATAATGGAAGCTACTTTTCCCTTTAAAATATATTCGTCAAGCCCACGGTGAGCGTTCAAGCATTTCCTGCTGAGGCAACACTTGGGTATTTGAGAAAGATCAATGTCAATGAGTGGAAAGAGAAAGAAATATAAGAAGTATTTCCACTCGATATCAATTTTCCAACATCTCTCGTCGAATTGCGCTATTAGTCATTGAAAAGACATCCCTGAGCATGAAAGCAAAGATCAAATATTTCATCGGCCTGTTCAGTGGACATCATCAACTGCATCTTAAGTAATACATCGTATCATGAAACGTGTTATTTCTTAGCATTGGTGAATGGTGAGTGAAAGCATGGACCTACTATGGTGAAAGTGGCTAGAGCTTGTTTAGGTCAACGAAGGTAAGACAAACGATATACAATCATGATCTCTATATCATCACCGATGTAATAAAATCACCTGGACGTGTGAGTATCTCTATGAAGATAGCCTTCGAAAAGACGTATTGAATGATCACCATGACCAGAAATAATAAGCATTTTCGTAAATCAATTCACATGGATACCTTGACATGATTCAAACTCACGCCCGGACAAGGTTCTAGAACATTTTCTTCGGGGGGGGGGGGGGGGGCTTTTGGAGCTGGGGTTCCTGCATTACTTTTCAAAATGTGTGTCTCAAATTAATTTATAATCAAGAAAAACTAGGGAGTTGACGAATTGTATTTTTCTCTCTTTGTATGTGTGTGTGTGTGTGTGTGCGCGTGCGTGTGCGTGTGTATGTGTGTGTGTATGGGGGGGGGGGGGGCTAGAACTACAAAAGCCCCACTCTAGAACCACTTCTGCTCACGCCACATTCTAATGACCTCTTTCTTACTTTGACCTTAACCAAGCCTGGTGAATAATCCTTGAGACGAGCACTCTGACGCACGATGGACGAAGAGAGAATATAATACAAGATTGTGGTTTAGAAAATCCCTTCCCTTATTAATTAGTTCCTCAAATCTTAAAAGACATTACAATTATACCACACCAACCCAGTTTTATGCTCTAAAATAGCCAAGTACAATGTTGACCTGACAGAATTATAACTTCCTGTGATGCACTCTATGGTTGCTCCGATATTACAATGTGAGTATAATGTATGTTTTTATTGAAAGAACATATTTCGTTCCAATAGTTTCATACATCAATGTCTGAAACCACGAAAGCATATTCGAAGGAAACAATTAATTTTAATGAATTACATCTTACGTTTTTACACACGATGCCCAGTTAAAGGGATAGAGTTGAATATTGGCCTACTGCATTTGTATATCTTAAATTGAATAATAACTTCAACGTTATAAAACTGAAGATTCACTTTTTCTTTCTTTCCAATATTACAAAATATCTTTTTTTAAAGGGTTTACTTTCTCCAATATTAAAGAAAAACATACTTCGTTACAGTCGTGTTATTGTTTCGAAATTAAAGGTCGTACATTTTCGGCAATAATTGCAATTTATTATTTTTCCATTTTAACTTCCAACATCCCTCGAATAGAGTACAAGGTCTGCGATCTCAGGCAAATTGCCCTCAGAAGCGTTAAACTCCAACTACCGGATCGGAAATTACCATTACAATTCCATTCATAAAAAATAATCAACATGTCATTTATGATCATAAAACGGTCCTATCCGGCAAAAGGAAACTAGAACTAAACATAAAAAATAGCTAGACCTTGTAAGCAAGAGGGCGAACCATGATGGCGATGTTTTGCTAGCAGCGTGTGTTGTTTGTACACCCTGTTGGTGAGTGCTTGGAGCTTGAATTGCAGTGTGGGGTCGATTACTTGTAAGTCAACATGGTCAATGGCTGGAAACATAGAGAATATTTTCATATCGCGCTCTTCTTCATCGTCAGCCTCAAGATAAGACCGACTGGAAACCGCTAAGGAGGTCTTAGAAGACAGGGGCGGCGTCGTGGATCTTTTTTTCTTCTTCAAGGGGACACAGGTCTAAAAAATACCTCACATTTCGGAATTAGTTTGTCGTTACGCTTGCCCCCCCACCCCCCATCTGAAAGGGGGGGGGGGGCACGGGAGAGATTGTCAAAGAAGGCAAGGATGATATCGTACAATATCGTGCACGTAACTAACTTAAAACTTAAATAAACAAACACAATAGTAAAGAAAGCCCCCCCCCCCCCCCAAAAAGACAGAAAGAGGATTATTTGGTAATGAGGGCGTACGAACGAACTTTCCGCTCATTGTATAAATTTATTCCAATGATTAAAACACTGCATTTTAGTTGCGAAAGAACGTTAAAAATCATATCGATAATCACCAACCTTAAAGTTTAGATAATTTCAAGCGATTTACTCTCAGACTAGTAATAGTAAGCAATTGTGTTTGGAAATTTGAGATTACCTAAATTAAATCGAAGTCGTGTAGAGAGAAGAGGATTATGCATATAGACACGATGGACATAATAGAAGGGTGCATGTGGATTTATTTATTATTTTTACCTTATATTATAAGCGATTGAGACAATCATCTAATCAAACTAAAATTGTGTGATCCAATATCGCACTTCCCCCCGAGTCGGAATATAATATATTTCCAGTATCGCGACTAATTATCTTGAGCCAATATGTCAAATCACACCACCAGTCTTGGTCTCTCGGCTCATTCTGTATTTATAAACCTTGCTTTTCTTTCTATAACTGATAAGAAATATCATACTAATCTTTACAATCGGAATGACAGTTTATCCACCCTATCCAGGGAAACAATATGTATTAAAATCTTTTGTTATTAGTCTAATTATTTACATTTCGTACGATTGTATTGCCTTTCTAAGCACTTCTTTGTTTGCTCTGTGTAATTAGATATCAATTTGATGACTTTATTATAATCAGTATTGGAGTACGATCTCCAAAATCTTAAGATAGTGTCTGATAAAGCTACAAACCCGTATTAAATGGTATAACCAGATTGAATTCGCGTTGATCTAATAGGGGCTCCGCGATGAGAACTTTTTTAAATGTGGAAGCAAATTGTTGAACGTGAGAATCCCTTACAGAATAAACATTTCAAACTTTACATTTGTTGAATTAAGCTATACCACAATGGCCACAACATTCAAACCATTCTCACACACTATGCAACATTCTCAAGCAAATTCTAAGTATTTTAGAAACTGTGAATAAAACATTTCATATACACATTCAATTTGTTCTCACAAGGATCATCTGTATCAGAAAAACATTGTTCCCTTTGTATAATAACAAATAGACAGATGTAAACTTATTTTGAGTGATAGATACTTGACATTTAAGAAAAGAAGGATATTCGTTCCCTTATCAAAGTATATTGCTAGAAAGGTGTCATAAAGGAAACTTTTATCAGTTTACAGGTTTCGACTAAAAATGAAGAAAAAAATTTGCCTGTATACACCTGGAATCTCCATCTTCTTAATAATTGCACTTTTCGCTTCAACTTCATACCTATTTTCCAAATGGAAAGCATTGATTAAACACATACTTTACTCCTGACCTTTGATTTTCCCCATGTACCATTCAAATCCATCTTCTTTTATTCTCACTCCCAACTTCTTCTCGGGGGAGGAGGATGTAGGGGGGGGGGGGGGGGCTTGAACCCCTGTCTCCTCAGTTCGTGCATGACCATGCCCACTTCTCCCGCAGAGTTTCTCGTTTACATTACCCACACGATAATCATCCCGTTATCATGTGATAAGAGAGGTGCAAAGATTGAAATATTGGATATCCCCCATGTCTTCTAAACAACAGTGAGTTTCTATCTCTGTGTTGTATTTACTCTAGTGAATATCTCCATGCCTGGTAGACAATATACTACTGTCATAAGTGTAATATCATGTAACTTCTGTATCATTACTAATTCCGAACCATTTTATTTAAATCATTCTTGCAGCATGATGCATTGAATCAGAATTTACATACCGTTCTAGAAATTCAAGAAATGGTCTTGAAGAAAATAGGATAGACGTGAATTGAAAAATCGTAATTCAGAGAAATTTGTGTACTGTACAAAGAATGCAATTTCCGTGCGAAGCGTAACATGAAATGCAGCGGAAATGGCGTTTTTAATTTATAACGGTGAAAATGGGTGATCGCTATTTATTTCGTCAGCATGAAATATGTGATAAAGTGACGTTCACTTAAAAGAAAACCGGGGAACATTATGTTGTAAATGAGAGATAGTAAAAATCTTGAAGAACGCTACATCTTTTTCGTTCATGGTTCAACAGGAAAAAAAACATCATGACGTCATTGAGAAACATACATTTTGGAGAATGTTACGCTTCTGCCATGTTTCGGCTCAAAGCTAGCATGCTTCTCATGTTGCTATGGGGAAGGTCTAGTAAGTAGTATAAACTCCTTTTAACGATGACCCAAGGCCTGGAGCTCTTGACATTACGATGACCCTGGCTTTCCTCGCTAAGA